TCGTACTTCGTCGTCGTCGTCGAACGCTGTTGTTTACGCTCGTGATCGCGTGGCACTTGTGGTGGCGACAATGAGGCGCTGTAAATAAGGACTACCTGGAGGAGCCGCGCGAGCCTTTTAACTCGTTTCGACGAGGGAAAGAGAGAGAGAGAGAGAGAGAGAGAGAGAGAGAGAGGACTGTTAACGGTCTGGTGCGTCTCGTTAGTCCGCCATGGTCTCAAGTTTTTCTCCCTTCTTCAGGGCAACCGCGGGAGACGACTCTTTCGCGGAAAATTTCAGACGCGGTCGCTTTCGCTCTCGTCAACTTCGTTTCAGCAACTTTGCGAAGACTTGCGGAAGGTCCGTTGAATCGAACTGCGAGTTGGAGTAAATTCTATTCGGCTGCTCGTTGAGAGACGATGACACTTCGCCTTCGTGTGCATTCTGTATTCTGGAACAGCTTCTGATCGATCCGCACGTTTGTGGTGAAAGTTCAGGTCGAAGTGTCGACTGACTCTTCGCACGCTCCTCCACGAGGACGCGGTTGGGACTAGGGTTGCCAACTGCCGGGTTTTGACCCGGACTGTCAGGTTTTCAGAAATCTTGTCCGGTTCAGTGTCCGATTAATAAGTCAAACCGGACGTCATATGTCTGGTTTGTAAGCTATATCCGATCAGTGGAATAAGAGTTCAGATTTTAGCAACGTTTCTCCGTTTCAAGCGCCTACAAACGATCGAGCGCCACGAAAAGCCATCCAGTGGATGATCTGCCGATCCATCATTTCATATATATTAAAAAAGTGATAGTTTATTATTTTGTTCAATCAAATCTCGTTTATAAAATTGTTTGGAAATTAATATTGTAAATAAATTCGTGTCATATTTTGTATTTAATGTAACGTTATGATTATTATTTCGGTCCGGTTTGGGTTTGTTATTGTTAAGGGTAAGAAATGTCCGGTAATTTTAACTTTTGGATTTGGCAACCCTACTTGGGACTCATCGCGCGAACCTGATGAGAGAGGGGGGAGGATCTCGTCCAAAACGCGCCCGAGTCAGTCAGGACCACCTGGCTTCTCTCTCGGCGCGTTCCAGTATCAGGAAACGTGCGTTTCCTCTTGTCGACCTGCCGGGGAGAGAGCCACCTCTTCCTGACCTTGTCTCGTCGGATCTATTCGGAAGTTCGCAAACGAGCCGCGCGCCGTCGCTCAAGTGCTCCGAGAAAGAAGTCCTCGCGCTCCTCGCTACGCTTGATTAATCCCCCGCGTAATAGCGACTGCGATTTCCGGCGAGGACACGGAGTTACCTCGTTACGTGCAACAGCGACGTCGCCGGCGACGACGCAGTGCTTAGTCGGCGGCTCTCTCGACTCGACGACGGTAAAAGTCCGCGGCTCGGTTTTTTCATCAGATTTGTCGGAGCGGAACAATCCGTCAGCGGACGCGGTTCTGTGCCGCGGGTACAGTTTGTTCGTTTGTTCGTCCGTCGCCCGCACGCACCGAGCAAGACAGAGCGCTCGCGTAATGCGGTATTAACTTACATAATGGGATTACGGTTACGAGATCGAAATGAAGTCAACTGTATCGGAATGCTGTCGCGAATGCGATCGGCCGGATAATTGAGCGCGATAATCGCTGCTTTTCCTCCCTCGCAGGACGCCCGGCTTATCGCCGCGAAATAAATCGCGTTGGCGATCGAACGGGGCAAGAAGCCGAGCGAGCGACGGCGACGGTCGATTACGGCAAATATGGAGAGGGCACTTTTATCCCGCGATAATAGCGCCGCGCCGTATCGCGTAACTGCGGTATCTTTATATCAAAGTTCAACTTTGCGCATTAATTAACAGCTCGCCCGGGTAGCTCGTTAATTCTGCACTCTGAGAGTTTCTACCGGGCGCGCGCGCAAGCGCGCCCCATCTTCGAGTGTTTTTGATAATAGGAGTAGGGTAGTACTCCAGCTTCAAAGCTGGACAAGCTGACACTTTGTCAGTCCCAAAAGATTCGTATCCTCGAGAAAAATTCTCTCTCCATACGGGAGCGGGAGAAATTGCGCGAGCAACGTAGACCGGAAGAATAGAGCGAGCGGGTATATTCCGGCGAAACATTAGCAGCTTCCTCGTTGCGAGCTTCTCTTGACTCGCAAGCGTGCAGCACTCTCATCACCCTTCCTGATCTCATCTCGACGATCGCGGAGCGCGCGCCGGCTTCGCGAGATTACGAAACTCCCGAGACTACTTGGGCAACAAGGATAAACGCCGGCTGCGATATAACTGTGATATAACTCCGGCGGCTAATTAAACGGGAACTTGCGTAATTAAGCGCTCGCGCAATGGATCATCATTACGCTCGCGCGGCGTGACCGAAGGATGGGTGTTGGCCGAGCGCGACCTGATCGATCGATCTCATCGACCTCGCTCGCAATCGACTCCGTAATCGGCCGCGACTCGATGAAACGTGGAAAGACCGAAGGAGCGCGAAAAAGACAGAGCGCCGCGGATGAGCTTGCAAGCAGCACACACACACACACATACGCCGCGGGGGCCTTTAGTCACGGCGCTAAATATAACGGCCGGCCGAGCGACCGGTTCGTGAGCGAACGGTCGACGCGTTCGATGCGCGACGCTCCGGAGGCGCGAGAAGCGCCTCCTCCTCCGCAACGTGCAAACCGTGCCGTGAGCTTTTAAAGAGGCGCTGCCCGAGAGCCGAGCGCCGAGTAGGCGTCGAGAGACACGTCGAGAGAGACGACACGTCGCGCTCTTTTTTCCTTCCCCGCCGACGACACGTGCGCCGGTTCCGCGATACGACGCACGTGCGGACGGCCAGTCGTCCGTTCCTTCTCCATTTGTCCCGGGCCGTAGCTTACGTAACAACTCCCGGACGCCGATTTCCGCGGCGCGACCCCTTCGACGCCCCCGTTTTCTTCCCGCAGCTCTCCCTCGAGCGTTGATTTTGCCTCCGAGTATCGACGCCTCGGTTGTCGGCGCGGAAATTCAGCCGGAAAGAATCCGGCTCGCGATACTCGTGAGAAGTGCGGGAAACGCTAGTTGCGCTCGAGCGAGCTTTCAACTCGAGCTTGTCAAGCGAGCTCTCAAAGCGGATAGCTCAGGCCGATGTATAGGTTTTTAGCAAAGGCGCGTCTCTTTAAAGATTTTCCCCATTGCTTTCTCTCTCGGCAGAGCGTTTCTTCGGAGCGCGCTGACAATTTCACGGAATTTACTTATCTCGGAAACCTCATGTTGCGAGCGAAGAAATGCGCGGCTGAATTTCCGCGATACCTGCGCCCGTCCTCCCCTCCTCCCCCCCCCGCTCTCTCTCTCTCTCTCTCTCTCTCTCTCTCTCTCTCTCTCTCGCGATGATCGATACTTGCGTTCTCTCCGTCGTTTTACAAGCGCGTGGTACCTCGAAGCCCGTGGCGACCCGTGAGTTCCGTCCGCGCAAAAATTCCGGCGGACAGATCGCATTATATAACTGTCATTTTTCCCGAAGCAGCTCGTGTGGAAAGCGAGAAGCGCCTGTAGCGCGACCGACCTGAAGCTCGCGCGGCGAGAGAGCCCAAGAATAAAACCGCCCGCCCGCGAAGAGGGCAGACTTTCGCGGCGCGGAAACCCGGCGCGCGCGCGGTTCGTTTCGCCGTTTCCGCCGCGCGAGATCGGAAGCGCGGCGTTTCTCGCCGCAGCGAGACCGCGTCGCGGACGCGGTCGTGTTTGGTTTCTCGGCGCGTCTGCTTTCGCGCGGGATCACGCGTTGAGAGACGGTAAACTCGACGCAAGAGGCGCGCGCGCGCGCGCGCGCGCATTCTCGTCCGCGGGATCGCTGGGACTGTGCTTTGCGAGTGGCCGCTGTCCACGCAGTTGAAAGCTCGCAAGCAAAGGTGGCCTACGAGGATGACAATGAACGCTGATCGCAAACTCATCAACCAGCCGTCGGTGGACAGCGAGAATAACGAACGCGTCACTTCCGAACGCGTGGGTAGTTTCTCGTTTTTAATGTTTATACAGAGTAGGCAGGGCTAATTCTGCATGCGAAAAACATCCCGCGCGCTCTGAGTAAACGCTGAGTAAGCCCCGCTGACGTACTATATCGTACCAAAGTATTTCTAGGATAATCATTGCTGTCGAATTCACGTCCGATAGGTCAGCTTTTCTCTCATTCTTCCTCTCTCTCTCTCTCTCTCTCTCTCTCTCTGTCTGTCTTTCGCTTTTTGTTTCTCGATTTGATACTCTTGTCTCGACGCTAATGAAAACGTATAATACATTTTTCACGAGAATACGTGCTTTTGTTCGCCCACTCTTCATCGCATGATATTTGTGTTTCACTGCTGAAGATATGAAGAACACTCGCAGAAAACATTCAGACGAGCCGAGAGAGAGAGAGAGAGAGAGAGAGAGAGAGGGGGGAGAGGGGCGAGAGAGAGAGAGAGAGAGAGAGAGTGGAAGAGGAGGATGAAGGGAAGAAGAAAAAGAAGAAGAAGAAGAAGAAGAAGAAGAAGATGCAGCTGAGGGAGAGAGGAAGAGACCTACCTACGGATGATCGTTGGGATAACACGAGAGATGCAATGGCGGAAGTTCCCGGAAAGATCCCGAGTCGATACGTAACGCGGTCCATTAGTCGGCATATTAGTCGGGGATTAAAGGCACTACGCCTTTAATCGGCCTCTCCGACGCCGACGTCGGCGTGCATCTCGACGGCGCGACGCATTGTGCCCATTATCCTTCCGCGATTGCATCCGCGATGCGCACCTGGGGGCAACACCTTACGGCTCGTCGTCCGCGTTGCGTAACGACCATAATCAACGCTGGTCGCGTTGTACGCACGTGAAGCATCGCACGTGTACGCCTTTCGTGAGCGTGCACGTGCGGTCTTCATCACGAGACGACGATGCGATAATCGACTGACAACTGGCTTTCGTCTCCTCTCTCTCTCTCTCTCTCTCTCTCTCTCTACTCCTCTCGTCGGATGTATCTTTCTCCCGAACGTCGCTCGTAACAAGTTCTCACCATTGTCTTTTGTTCGTGTTTTGCAGGACACGAGGACCCACGTGGTTGTGGAGCTGTACGACACGGAACGCTCTTACGTGGAGGCGCTACAAATACTAGTCAATGTGAGTACGAGAACCGAATTTCTTGCGGGAGCTTGCCTCGCATCTTTCTTCTTTTGATTTTATTTTACGTATCGCGAAATGTGCGTCGTCTCCGCGCGTGCTTATTCCCTCGCGTGAGATTTTAATTTCGATCTCGGGCGTATACGGTTTCCTTCTTCTCGAGCGCGAATTTCAAAACCTGAGTCTGAGCAGGCTCGATTTGAAGATGATCGGCGATGATCGAGAGGGAGAGACAGCAAATCGCGTAAACGTTATTTGATCTTGCCTCCGAAAACGATAGTTTGAAGTGACTGCAAGGAAGTGGCATCGATCGCAGACCTCTCGCGTTGCGCTACACCGTCGTAATGGCGTTGCGCTGATGCATGTCGGAACTGCGATTCGTCCTTGCATCTTGTAAACAAACACCCTCGTCCGTTTATTCGCTCCGATCGAACAACAGTTCCGCTCGAGCGAGCTACTCCGCAAACTGTTGCTCGTTATACTCGAGCACGCCGTCTCCGCGCGTTTCGTTGTTTTCATAAAATCTCCACCCCCGATTTCTCTCTCTCTCTCTCCCTCTCTCTCTCTCTCTCTCTCTCTCTCGTGCGCGCGCGTGGCCACTTCTCGTTCAATACCGAAAATACACGCGAATACTGATCAGTGCTCGTTTAAAGTCGTGAAAAAATTCGCCTGCCTTCGCCCTCGCACAATCGCACCAACGAGTCAATAGCAACAATAGTACAAATGCCAAAAATCTGTGTAAATTTGAACGACGAAAAATCACGAAGGGTTCACAAACGCGTGTGATTAACATCCCGCCCGATTCGATCGACGTGAATATTTGACGAGAATTTATCTCCGTCGCGATAAAAATCATTCCCTCACGTATTATTCCGCGTCGCAACGTTACTGCTATTCGAGACTGAAGCGATTCCGACATAAAACCATTTCCAACAAATGGAAAAATTGATCGTTCTTGTGTCTCAGACTCTTATATGAGACTGACGAGATTGCCGAACCCTGACGCCGTTGTCACGCATATGTACATCTTCGGCGCGCGACCAACCAAAGAGCTTAACGCGCGATACCTTTAAATGAAAAAAATCGCACTTCGCAAACGGGCGAGAATTTGCGAATTCTTAGGAACGCGTCTGGTGGAGAGCGCGTGTCAAGGTCGTGTGTGAGATACGCAACGCGCGGCGCCCGACCGCCCCCGAAGGTCGCATTGTGCAATTTGATTTCCGCGCGGCGCCCTTGCGAAGGCGCGCGCGCGCACGCGCTCGCTCGCGACCTTTGCCGAATATTTTGTTAAACGGCACAATGCGCCGTTCTCATATTTGCCGAAGGATATTTCGCGCGACTGAATTAATCGGCGATGCGCGAGGCGACTTTGCAAATACGCGTGTCAAGACGTCGTCACGTCGCTCTATCGCGCGGAACGATAATAACATTATTCGTCTAAATCCGATTTCCGTCACGGGCATCTCGCACGCGGAATTGTCCTCTCCTCGCTCCGCCGCCGTCCGCCTCTCTTGCCTCGTGCCCCTTTTAACCTCAACGTTGTTAAAATTGAAAGCTAAAAATGAAAAAATTCCGCGAAGATCCCCGTGGGGATCTACCTCCGTCTCGTTCTCTCCTTTTCTGACAACTCTTCAAAATTATATATTGCGTAATTCGCAATTTGCATCGAGAGACGCGAGAAAGAAGGTAGGTGGGAAGTAGAATGAAATAAAGTAGAATCTCGCGACACGGAACCTCGAGTTTCGTCTTTGCTTTGATTCGTACAATTTTTTTTACTCGCGATCGTGCATGCAACTGGAATTTATTTGCATTTGACGACGTTTGTATTTTTTATTTGTATTACTTATATTTATGTATAGCAAATAATTTTAGACACAATTTTTATTTCATATGTTTTATTTATTATTTATTTTATCGCATCTGATCAAAGGCAAATTGAACGATCTGATCGAACGCTTATTGTGAGAAATCAATTGGAATTCTTCCGCGGTTGAAAACGCGCGACGGGCGTTTTCAATCGCGCGGGCGTTTTTCCACGCACCCGCCGCCGCGGTGTTTTCCGAACGTTTCTCGCTAATCGACGAAATAACCGAAGAAAATGGAGGGAAATTCCCGGACACACCTCGCTATCACTCGTGGCCGGAAGTGTCGGCCGAGTACTCGAACACGTGCGCGGCGGGAGGGGAAGCGGGTCACATTAACGCGCAACGTGCCCGCGTAATATTGCGTAGAGTGCAGTCGGCGCTTTGATAAGAGCATTGGCTTGCGTAAGTGGTCGGCGACGAGGCCGAACTTTGTTTAAAATAATGACGAGCGAGCCACGCGCACCTCGCGCTAATTGCATTCGCCGCCTGTCGCGCAGCGCAAAGTAACCGTAGAATCAAACAATTACGGTAATGCGCGTGATAACGCGGGTTGGACAATTGACGCCACCTCATCGCTCGAGCACTCCTCTTGTTTACACTATCGTTATCGATAGACGCGATCAAGTAATCGTGCCGCGGACTCGCGAGAGTTTCAGCGAGCTTCAGCGGCATTTTTCGCCGAGACGAATGCGTCGCGTGATGAAAGGAAAAACCCTCGCTGCAGCTTCAGAGAAACAGGCATGTTGACAAGCGCAGTTTTTTACACGAGTCCGAATCTCATTATCTTGCATTCTACGGACGGTAGATAGATCCGGGAGGGAGTCGTACCAGCAGGCTCGATCTATGACAAATACACCGAAGGGGAAAAGTATTTGACGTTTTTAACTATATAATCGCACAGTGAAAGAATTACAGTCAGAAGAGTGATTTTTATAACAAATATCACTGTAGCGTTGGCAATAATAACTACATATATATATATATATATATATATCGCGAATTTTACTTTTTCTAGAACAACAAGAAACTATGATCGAAAAATAAATGTTCGAAAATAACTATAATTTTCATAGCATTGACTCTACTTTTTCCTGTCAAGCGTGCCTTCAGTTTCTCGCTCGAAGCTCCAAGCTGCGCCGTAACTTCTGGCGAAGGACGCTTCTCCCGCTATCAGAAGCAATAACGTTTCCAGCTGAAGGATTACGACGTTCGGGAGGCGATTTCGCCGGGAACGAAGTCGCACAGCTCCGCGCGACTCCGGGCTGAAAAACTTTCGGCTGTCGCGTCTGTCGTGGGTCGGACCTGAGGGGAAGTTTCAGTCGCGTTTCGGGTCGCGGGGTTCAGGGCATCCGGGACACCCCATCGTTTACGCATCCGAAATAGGACGCGACGGTAGCTTCGGGGCCCGGCGCGTCGCACGAGGCGAGGCGATTTTTAACCGACGCAACACCCGCGGAATCTCAGCGTCGCCGTAATGGCGCGCCCGGCCGCGCTTGATTGTCATATTTTCTAAACAACGTCGCCGGCGCACAACGGCAGCCCTTGTCGGCACGCTTGCCGATTATTTCACTCGGCGGCCTTGGGCTCGGCGACGGCCCCCCCCCCCTCCTTCTCGCCTGCGCATTTTTCACGTTCCGTCGACGTGACCGTAGAAAAATAATAGGGGAGGAAGTCTCGCGCGAATAAACGGCGATGTATTCCTCGTCGCGCTCGATTAGCGAGTGTCCGATGTTAATTGAACTTAATTCATCTGTCGATACCGGCCATTGAAATTCTAGCGTTCAAGCTCGCTCGGGATCTCCTTCGCGTCCTCGAAGGGCGACGGAGAAATCGAGCGGAGTGGCCGCCACGAGCTTTCTCTCTCTCTCTCTCTCTCTCTCCCTCTCTCTTAAATCTTCCGGCAGCGCCTGATCATTTCCAGCTTCTCCTTTCTCATCACGACCGCGAATGGCGGATGAAAAGTATACTTCTTGCAGATCGCAGTTAACAAATTCGTCCTCATCGGACGATAAATGCGTTAAGGGGGGAATTATATATGTAGAACGCCGTTTTCAAGGCTATTTTTACAAATTTTTTCAACAGAAACGGTAAGGTCAATGGACTTGAAATTTTCGCAGCGTATTCATTAATGTTCAAAGTATAAAATAAATTTTATTGAATCGCAAGAATCGCTCCAATTTGTTATTATAGATAAAAATCCGAGACAGTCATCCGTTTGCGAACTCTACGTTCGCTGTCGACATAATTCCGAGTCTCTCACTATTCTGAAATCAAAAATTGGGAAAAATTTTTTAAATATACGGTTGCCATTGTACCAAAATGAAGGCAATGAAGTCAAGTTTGAAAAAATAATGACTGTACAAAAAAAAGTATCGAAAATGAAACCTTTTTCAACTTGTAATCATGTTTAAAAAAATGAATAAAATAAAATATAACTGTGTTCGAAGTAGAGGTAAAAACTACATGTCTACTGTATATTGAAAATGAAATTTTTCTCAACTTGTAATTGTTTAAAAAAAATGAATAAAATAAAGTGTGACTGTGTTCGAGGTAGGGCCACGAAAACTTCATGTCTACTGTATATTGTGTAAAAATTTCAAGTTATTCGGTTCAGTAGTTTTTGCGCAATCGTGTCGATAGTTTAAGAAAATGGTGTTTCCAGATAAACGCGTTTAAAGTTTTATGTGTATACCTTCCATACAGACAGTGACAAATTTATTTTATACTTTGAACATTAATGAATACACTGTGAAAATTTCACGTCTATTGATCCTACTGTTTCTGTTAAAAAAATGCGTAAAAATAATCTTGAAACCGTCCTGCTCTGCAGGTAATTTCACGTGATAGACAAATCGACAAACGGATTAATATTTTTATTCGCTAGAGCTGAAAACGATGACGCGCGCGATGTTGCCGTGTTGAATTCTGTCCAAATAATCGGCGCGAACGGAACGTCAGCTGAAAGCGGTGAAAGCATTGAAAAAAAAAGAAAGAAAAACCGTTGGGATACAAAGGGATACGAAGTTTCTCATTCGGAATCTCCTATCGCCGGAATGATACCAGTCCGGCTGATAAATTTCGCCGGTCTGCTCGAGACGCGGGTAGAGACGGGTGAAGCTCGGCGGAAGCAGAAAGACTGGCGGCGCGTTTGGAAAATATTGTGAAGCCGGTATCTTGCTATGCGTTCCAGAAATACCTGCAGCCCCTGAAGAGCCCCGAGAATGCCGGTCTAGTGGATTCCGGAACGGTCGACGAGATATTTTATCAGGTGAGTATCGCAGAGGCGGCCTTGTCTTCGCACGACTTTGGTCGTGCATGCGCGCGCTACTACGCTTATTATTTCCGCGCTGATCTCCTCGTAAATCCAGCCGTCGCTACGGCTTGTAATTCAACATCCGGACAGTCGCGCTCCCCTGCCTCCTCTCGCGTCTCGCAGCTCGCGGAGAGCGTTAGATCTCAAATGGCGCGCCGAGTCGCGCAAGACGACGGCGAAACGGAGCTTTACGGAGCGACCTTCCGACCGGTCTACTCGCAGAGAGAGAATTTCTTGAGGCGCGGCCAGAGCAGCGATTAATTAGCGGCTCGCTGCTTGTTAATTGGCCGTTGACGAATCTGCGGTCGGGAAGCGGTAAACAGTCGTTTGAGAGAGAGAGCGCGCGCGCGCGCGGTACGACTTCGACCGACGTTTAATCGGATTGTCATTTCGTCCCCGGCGAATATCAATCGCGACTGCGAGAACTGCAGATTTGCTATCTGTTATTGCGTTATTCTTCTCCCTCGTCCTTCTCCCCCGAAGCTTCCCTCCACCTCGCGGAAGACACGGAGTATTAACGGAATTAACGTCCCTCGATGGGGAGAGCACGCTTGTGCGTCTCTCGGCACGGAGAAGGTTCTCACCTTTGCCATTCATCGCGCGATGATGTAATGCAAACGCGTGTAACGACGATGTTTACGTGTCGCCCGACTTTTTCATCTTCTCTCTCCCCGGCGTACTTAATCCTTTTTTAGAACACGCACTCCTGTGACGCGACGCCGCTCGACGAACAACACGAGATACATCCCCGTGAAAGTGAATCCTCTCCGTGGCGCGAAGTTCGCCTCGCGCCTCGCGAACGCCGCACGCGCGTCCGAATTTCTCGTCGACGTCGCGACGCCCCCTTCCCCCCTCTCCGCCTCGCGGTATCGATCGGCTCGATCGGAGACAAAATTGCCGACGGCAGTGCTCACGCATTTCAGATCCCTGCGATCCTCAGCCACCACGAGGTATTCTTAGAGGAGCTGCGTAGGCGACTCGACACCTGGGAGCTCAGGCAGACGATCGGTGACGTCTTCCTCGACGTGGTGAGTTTACATTGTTACTAGGTGCGCAGATATTTCCTCCTCACGGCCCCCGCCCCCGCCCCCGCCGTGTAAGCCGGCCGGACACCGGCGATAAATTATTCGCGCGCGACCGTATATCCGTCTGGGCGCGCGTCCGTTAAGATTCCCAGACGATTCCGACGGGACGGACGGACGGACCGATCGACCGACCCCATAACGTTAATTCGCGCCGCGTTATTTTGCCGTTCGGGAGGTGTATATAATCCTCGTTAATAAATCGACCGTCGTCGCCGCTGCCGCCGCCGCCGCCGCCGCCTCCTCCTCCTCCTCCTCCTCCTCCTCCTCCTCCTCCTCCTCCTCCTCCTCCTCCTCCTCCTCCTCCTCCTCCTCCTCCTCCTCCTTGCACGTGCGTGTAAGCGCGGAATATATTTTTAACCCTCGGAATAAATTTATTTATTTGCGCGCGCCGCATTTTTTTCTCCTCCGCGTCGCGTGTTATCTAACGGATAAATCGCGGTGTTAATTTCGCGCTCGCGCTCGCGTATATTTCAGGATCTTCTCTCGGCGAGTTGCGACTTCGCATCGGGCGACAAGTTCCGCCCGATGTATCGGCGACCGAGCGAGCTTTCGGCGGCGTCGCTTCCGCGCGCGGCCTCGCTAAAGTCTGTTTCTCGTTTTCTTACGTCCAATGTCTCCCGCTGACGAGCGTCGTCGCCGAGAAGCCGCTCGGGGTGATATATACTTCCACTTGTATCTCTCGGGCGAATCTCTCGCCGATGAGATTCGCAAGGTACGTGCCTCGCGCGAGCGCCCCGGAGCTTACTTGAACGAGCTTCTCTTTATGCTCGGACTGAGTAGCGGTTTATTAAGGACCGATTAAGTGATGACTCGGCTCCCTTTACCGAGATAACACGCGCGCGCGTTTGGAGGACGCGGCGCGTCCCGCGTGCGACGTGCGGCACTTCTGCCGGCTGCACGTAGACGTGCAAACACAAAGAAACCGCGCTGCTTTGCAGTTCACGAAGCCGGTGGTGCTGGAGACGTATACCCTGTTCTTGGACAATTGGAAGTCGGCGAGGAAGGCGATTAAAACAACATGCCAGGCGAAGCCCGCCTTTGCACGATTTCTCGAGGTAGGCTATTATGTTGTGTCCGCTACTATTCACCCCCTCTCTCTCTCTCCCTCTCCCTTTTTCCTGCTCTTTGCAAAAAACACGAGGTTATTATTAAATACGAAACTTTTTCGCTCCGCGTCGCCTCCTCGAGCGCCGCGGTCAAACCTGACCTTTCGCAATTTTATCGATACAATTAACTCATTACTTGATTGCCGGCGACACAGTCGCCCACTTATCATTCAGACTCCCCTGAGACACCCCAGGCGCATCCTCGACATGCTCGGCGACCTGCGCCTCGGAATGCAAAGTATAAAGCACTCGGAACGCCAAAGTGCACTTAACGTATCGTCCCAGTGGCTTATCGCTCGGCTAACAACGCGTTACGCTAAGCTTACAGCGAAGCACGCGCGAGCGTCTAATTCTTCTCAAGTTCGACGTAATAACAATAACAATGACATTTTTGTTACGCGCACGTTTCTCCAGAGAAACGCCCCGAGCAAAAGATTGTTAGGGCCATCCTCACGAAGTGCAAGACCCCTGATATAGGATAAGGCTGAAAGTAGGATGCCCTAAGAAAGGATGCCTCTTTATTATCACACCCCGAGATGAATCTTTTAGGGATGCCTTAGATTTTGCAAAATAAGGTTTTGATAGAAAAAGCTGAGAAGAACCTTTTTAGAAGGATCTTTTAAGGATGCTTTAGATATACAAAATCAAGTTTTGTTATAGAAAATTAATAAGATCTGAAGCGTAAGTAGTAAAATTGTCATAGTTTAGTATTGTTTTAGTAGGTACGCTCTGTTTGGTTTTTCTAAAGATTTTTTAATTATACCCCAATTAAAAACAAATTTTATTAGTTTTATTCGTTGCCATATTCATTAGTCTCTTCCAAGGATCTTTCTGGTATTACCTTCGTTTCAAAATGCGGCAAACTTTAATAAAAACAGTAGCAGGATTTTCATCTGTAAAGAATGCCAAATTTTATTGTAAAGTGTGCTATATTTTTAAAATAAAAGATTCTTGTTGCATACTAACAAGATTATAAAGAAATAAAGAAATTACAGTCTAAATTTCTTGGAAAAGAACGAATATTTCTACTCGAGTAATAATAAAAATATTTCCTTACAAGGCCCTATTAATATTGTCTTATAAGGTTCCGTTAAACCATTTGTTACACATCTTGTAGGAGCCTTGTCATTCTATCCCCCTAGTAGGGCCCTATTAATGTTAGGGAAAAATAATCAAGCCCTTACCAGAGCCCCATTAGTTTTTCTGCTCGGGGCGGCGCGTGAGTGGGAAAAATATTCTCATGTCGGGTCAAGCTGATGATGATCTATGTTCGAGATAATAATAGACCGGAAAGTTAATCTCTATCGCAACGTTGTCATATAATAATAATAATATGATGGATGTGATAAAACCGCCGTCGCTTCGGAAATCTGAGTTTGCACAGTCGAGCTTAATTTCCCCGAGCCGAACGAGCGAATTCGTAAAGTTACATGGGGGGGGGCTAAGTTATACAAGAAGCTATCGATGTGGAGTGAATCACTGTGTGCTGTTGTCGCGTTCAGACGATGGAGCGCGAGCACAAGGGCAAACTGGGCTTGGACCAGTTGTTGATCAAGCCCGTGCAGAAGATCCCGCGGTACGAGCTACTGATCCAGAGGCTGCTGAAGCACACGGACCCGACGCATCCGGATTACGAGCTGCTGCAGGCCGCGCAGAAGGAGGTGCACGAGCTGGTCGTGAAGATCAACTGCACGGAAAGGGAGTCGCTCGAGTGGGAACAGCAGCAGACCACGTTGAGGGAGGTCCAAGCCCTCGTCGAAGGTCTCGCCGGCATCGTAACGAACGACAGGTAACGACCGCTGTCTCAGAGCGACTGTGTGTCGAGCGGAAAAGTTCGGCTCGATTTGTAGTTTGATATATATATAGGGTGTCCCATTTTAAATACCCCGGGCAAGTATCTCGAAAAATGTGGAAGACACGGGAAAACTGTTTCAGACAGAAAAGTTGCATGGTTTGAGGGGGGACATAAAATAACTACATCAGTTTATTTACAGATGGCGACACTTTCGAAATATTCACCGATCATTACTTTTCTTAAATGGAAATCCAAATTTTTTTATCGCATCATCTTCTTCTATCAATTAATTTTAACGACTTTTGTCTGAAACATTTTTCCGTATCTTTCATATTTTTCGAGATATTTGCCTGGGGCATTTAGAATGAGACACCCTGTATATAATATAATAAAGTTATCATTGATATTATTATTATTATTATTATTATTATTATTTGGTAGAGTTTATAAATTTTGGTCATGAAAGACGACTTTTGCTGCCGAAGGAGATGGAAAATCGAGCCGGACTTTTTTTTGTCTTTGCTTGATCATTTTTAATTAGGCAACGTAACGAATATTTGCCGACCTTTCGCGAGGAGACGCACACGGCGCGCGTTCCACGGTCGATCCACTTTTACTTTCGTCGAGAGAGATCCACTCGAGGCGGAAGAATCGCGTGTATAATTGCGACCGTGCCGAACATTTGCCCTTTGTCGCCGACTATACAGGCACGACGCAAATAACGGAGGCGCATGATCCTCGTTAAATTCGCGCCGCCTGCGACGAGCTGATACATCGTGCCGAGAGAGGAATCGATACGCTCGCGCGAGAGCGTATCCGTGCGCTGCCATCGACGATAGGTCGATCGACACTTCTGATGAAGCAAGTTCCCGAATATATTCGATCCGGCTTTGTTTTCCCCGACTACAGCTGGCACCGAATTTACGATCGATACACCAGCGGCGATTTACGATCATTTTCCAGCTTAATATCCTCGCGCCGGTAATACGCACCGGCCTCGAATTTATGATCAATGCGCGCATGGCGATTTATCGCGACGGGGAAAACACTGTCGATCGTTTCTCACTTTGCCGAGCTCGTCGACGGAAAGCGTAGAAATTCGATCGCGACTGAGTGCGCGGACGAACAAAAAGCTCGGCGCTTTTCACGAGGTAATTAATGAGGTAATTATTCTGCGGAATCGAAGAGTCCGCTCGATTTACGCATTCTTCGTGTGTGTGTGTGTGTGTGTGTGTGTTTCCAGATATTTAAGTATAAATGTCGCTGCTTCACGTTCGAGCGATAATAATGAAATATTAAGACCGAACACAGCTAGTAAATTTTTCCCACGTATTATCTTGTAAATTCGCCGACGAATTTCCCACGAGTCGAGTCGAGTCGAGCTTTCAGCGCGCCGTTTGATTTTACTTATTCACGGCACGGTTCCTCGCGGACGTCCCTCGGAACGGTCTTTAGAGGCACAGACGACCGTGGAAATGCAGACTGTCTTGCGCCGCGAGTGTGGTTTTCCAATAAATTGTCGGACATTGCTGTGACAGGAACGTCGTCCCACTTCACGCGCCTTTCAATCTGTGCCAATCGCGGCGTACGCGTTACATCGTTTTTCCGCCGGACTTATTTAGCCGTTGGAATCGGGCTATCGATTACCGATAATGATGCGTGCTGTGGTGGAAACTGGCCGCGACACACGACAAAAAGATCCATCGAATTGTGTGACACGTCCGCTTTTTCTCTCGCTTTCAGGGCCTTCGTCCGGCACGATCTGGTCACTATAGCGTCGAATCAGGGCACGCGGAAGGAACGGGCTTTATTTTTGTTCTCCGATCTCCTCGTCATCACAAGCATCAAGCGCAGGAGCGGCACGATAAGGAAGCCGTCGACGTGAGTACCTCGCCGGAACGTGTCGCGTGCGGAAATTCGAGCGCGCTCGAAAACTGCGCGTTGAAGATTGCGAATTCCGCTTCATACGCGAGCCGACGCATCTTCCGCGGTTTGTCCCTCGCTTCAGCGTGTCGTGTTTGGAGATTTAATTGGGAGGAGAACATTATTTTACTGTATATAATATCTCGTCGTGACATTAATTATAGTAGAAAAATATTGATTCTCATCTATTCGATCCAGTGAGCAAAAATCATTGGTGATGGAATATTTTCACAATATTTCACGATATCGTGTGACATTTTTTAATGCGTAAGCCTCGACGTCGTGGCGATGACATTTTTGCATATTCCGAATGATATATTCTTATCCGGCAATATCCGGTTGAGTTATATGTAAAAAATTTCAAGTGCGTACGTTTGAAAGATCTCGAGACATTTCTTTGTTTACTGGCTGAAAAATGTACATGTCACTTCATCATGTACGCAGGAGCGCGTGTCCGAACAGCCTGGTCGGCCTGCTCGAAGCGAACAAGTACAAAATGCTGATGCGGATCCCACTGGACGATCTCGAGGTGATGAAAGGTACCGTATCGACGCGTCGACTACGCAAACGCACTCGAGAGCTCGCGAGACTACTCCGCTATTGTTTCCAGCCAAAGATGAGAATTTAAGGCGAATGGCGCGCGAAGTGGACCACCTGCGGGAAGACTGCCTGACGCTGACTAACCTTCAGGAAATCGCCGCGACCTTGCACGGCCCGAAGCAACAATTGGAAGAACTTATCAAGGATATGCTGGGTCAAGCCCAGCGGCAATTGGCGGAGAGGAATGCGGCGGATTCGCAATTGGCCTGCCTGGAACTCACGCTCAATACCCAGTAAGAGAGTGAATTGCTCTTTCTTCCCGAAATTAGGCTGGACGAGCGGACGAACAGAACAGCTTGATTCGCGAGCTCAACAGTATATTATGACGCTTACTGCTGGCTGAGTCTTAGCCGCCGCGAATTCGCCCGAGGCGAAACACACCATCAAGATAATTTCGCGATAACGCAAAGCGCTTCTTCTTATAGTTCTTCTTATAGAACAGACCCGTGTCTTCCTTATTCGAGACAATAACATACAGCGAGCGGAATCAGGAAGTTGCCGAGAACAATGGGGGAATTAATTTCTTCATTAATTCAAGTAGATGCGCGGTAATCCGTTTGACGCAAATGAGAAAAAGATAATAAGAGGGAGAAAGAGAGAAAGAGAAGGAGAAAAAATTGACTGTATTGAAAACTAATAGCGGAGAATTTTCGCGAAATTGTGTAATAGCAAGAAATCCTTCGATATTTCGGCGAGATTGTTCTCGACCACGTTACCGGTACACGTGTTCCTCTGTAGATCCTTAAATCGTGATGCCTCGCGAACGTAACTCATATTGTCCTGCTTGGCATGTTTGCAGAGCCGGCATCGAGAACATATCCGTCATGTTCACGAAGCCTGACAAGCGTGCGAGTTGGGAGGAGAGCTTTAACGAAGCCAAACAGAAGCTCGGTGAGTAACGTTGCCCCCTCTCCCCCCCCTCCCCCCTCCCCCCGACGATGGATGTTCCGAGAATGTTACGCATTCCGCAAAAGGATATTCCCAAAAAGGGGAGACATTTCGACATGTCTCTTTGTCGCAACGTAGGATCGGAAAATGTCGGACGTCCCGCGGATAAACGAGCGATTCGATTAGCCGCGATTACTTCCCGCAGACTTTTGCACGAAAGTGGCGTCTGCGAAACGAGAAGCTGAACGGGCGACAGCCGTGACCTTGATTGAATTACGCTACGTAAAGCGAACGCGACATCATCGCGTAATAAAATTTCGATTTCGCGCTCGCCCACACTTTTCACACACGCACCGACGCGTAAGCTCGCTAAAATGGCGCTCTTTGCAATTCCGGCTGATTGAATCGTTCGCGTGAAACCCGCTCACGCTTTAATTTTCAAACGTTACCGCCTTCGTTCCTCGGGACTTTTAACTGCAACTGTGGAGTCTCTCTCTCTCTGGCCAGAGAATATTTCGAAAAAAAAAAAATATATATATATATATATACGTAAATTATCGTATATTATAATTATTACTCGTAAATTCGTCAAGGCTTTCAGATGCACGATCAATTATAGATTAGAAAAAAGCCAACGCAGAAAGAGCCTGCACAGGAGTTGCCGGTTGTGAAAGCCGCTGATAGAACAGGAACTTCTGCGATTGACATCTTGCGTAGGCCCTGATTGACTTTTTGTAGCGAATTTTCTCAATATACGTTTTCGCATTATCCTCGCGTGCAGCGCTGTCGGCCGACCGAAGGCCGTGTCCCGAGTTCGTGGGGCCGCTACCGATCAGGAAGACACGAGCGGGTCTTCAGTTCACCTGCGCGGCGCCGACGCTGGCGAACGGACAAGGCTCGAGGGACGTTTGGGTGTGCAACAGCGACGGTTACGTCGGCCAGGTGTGTGTGCTGAGCTTGAGCCCGGAACCGCCGCAGGTGACATCGTGTAACGGAGTGTGCAACGCCAGGATACTGTGCGTCGCCGGGATACCCGCTTGCACGCCTGGGTAGGTTGACGACGGTGGAATGGACAGAGTGATCGTAGAGAAACTCGGGATTCGGGACGATCGCGGAGCGAGACGAAGCGATTGTATCAAGATGAAGGAGACTATGATTACACGGTACAGCTGAGCGTTGTGTCTTTTCAGTTCGAACTCGTGCACGTCGAACAACAGTCCTTTCATTAACAGCAAAAGCGGCATAAGCATATCGGTGCAAGATGTGGATGCCAGCGGCGGTAACATACAGTTAGACAGGTAATAATTCTCCCGCGGCGACGCACATCCGACGAAATCCGCGATTTGGCAGCCGAGCGCCGAGCGGCTCGCAATATCGCACATAGGGCGTTTGATAATAACGAATTAACAATGGCCGCACTCGGACTCTTCGCTCGGCGAGCTGAGAAGCGGACTGCACATTTATCCAGCACCAACAAATTTATGACGCTTAAGTGTAATTTCGGTGTTCACCAGAGTCCACTTTGAGACTGAGGAAATTAACGATCGCGACAATTTTTTCCGCCGCTCGCCTATTAGGATTCTCGAGAAGAAACGAGGAGGAAACATTCGAAAGTAAAGGGAACGAACGTGAAGAAGAAAGATCGAGCGTAACAACGAGCGAACCAATCGTGTTTCGGTTGGGAGAAACAAAATTTTCGATCGACAACTGAATTCGATTCGTAAGAAGCAGAAATACTGCTTCTTTTTCCTCCAGTCGAAATGCATCCATTTTCAGTCACGTTAACTTAACGAAATTTCCTCTTTCTAAGAGAAAGCCTAAAATTTAGCAGTTTGCGAAGATATCCTTTTCATCAGAGATCACGACCACGCCCTTGCCGTGCGAGTCGCCTCACATTCACCTTTGACCCGCGCACTTTACAGTAGCTCGAGCTCCGACGAGTCGGACTCGGACGACATTCCATGCGCGGACACGGGCAGTGTGACACTGAGCGGTGATGTGTCGAGCATCGACAATACCGTCACAGAGGAGGACGTCAACCAGCCCACTATGTGGCTGGGAACTGAGGATGGCTGCATCCACGTGTACAACTGCAACGACAATATCCGAATCAAGAAGAACAAAGTGAAGATCCAACACGGCAGCAGCGTGCACTGCATCATGTGAGTCGGCCATTTGTTAGACTAGCGCAGCAACTCGTTGTAGTTAACGGCGTCGTAATATCGATTTGCGCGCTTTCAGATACCTGGACAACAAAGTGTTCGTCTCCCTCGCCAACGGAGACATCACGGTTTACGCTCGGGACCACAGTGAGTTGCGACATTTAATTAGTAGTAGTACTCCTCGCAGTTGATACGATAAACTATTGGTGTCAGTCGAGAAGTTCGATTGAATGGCTTATTTTCAATAAGCCATCTCCGATGACCGTGTTCTAAGAGAATGTTGCCAAAACGTTGGCGGAGAATCGTGGACAGTGACTTGCTTAAAGAATCAATTATTTATCTGTCAATTTGTCTCCATCAAAGACCTTCCCACTCGCGCCGAAACGTCGAACCGAACTTTTCGACCACCTCAACAATATCGATCAGGTTCTTTCTGCTTTGCAATTGTAATTCGGATTTCTACTTCTCGCCTACTTCTCGCTTGTGCTTCAGCCGGTGGATGGAACACTCCGGATCCAACGACGGTGTCCGTCGGGACGGTGGCGTCGCCGGTGACCAAAATGCTGTCCGTCTCCGGGAAGCTTTGGTGCGGCTGCCACAACAGCGTGAAAGTCTTGAACACTCACACGTTGGACATCGAGCACACGTTCGCCGTGAGCAGCGACACGAGCCGCGCCGTCTCTTGCATGGCGAACTCCGGGGGTTTGGGTGTCTGGATCTCTTTGCATAACAGCGCGGTACTGAGGCTCTTCCATTCCGGTAGTTACGAGTGCCTGACGGACATCAACATCGCGCCAGCAGTCACCAAGATGCTTGCCAGTAAGTCTCAAATCTCGAACAGCCAGCAATTTTAGAGGAATTATTGTCCCACGTGTAAACACCATCAATCCTCTTCGCATCAATTTGCTGTCGCAAGTTAATTCTTGCCAGTTGCAAGTTGGATTCTCTTGCAGCCTGCGAAGACGAAACGAGATTAAAATTAGCAAATTAAAAGATAGAAGAAAGTGTTTAACGATGTCGTCTTTTCATGGACTCTTAGACCTTGATTATTGTTATTGTCAGGCTTGAAGTTTTTATAAATATACACAAGTCGCTGATCTCAAAGCTATCAAGCTTTGTTATCGATCGGTCTAGCTCGGTTGATTAATCGACAGTAAGGAGGACCTCGTCGAAGAACAAGTGGCCCGGCACACTTATTTTAACAGAAGCGTTAAACTTGCTGCAGGTTGCGATGACATAATTCGCCAGCACAAGGCCGCGTGTCTCAGGGTCACCGCACTGTTGGCTTGCAACGAGTTGCTTTGGATCGGCACGAGCGCCGGCGTGCTACTCACCGTGCCAATTCCCCATATAAAGCCATCCACTCAGAGGATGTCGCAGCCGCCGATCGTGACTGGTGCGTATTGACGTCACGTTTTGTCGCATATATCGCCGTTATTATTGCCCGGCGGTATAATTAGAAGCTGGCTGACACCCCAAAAGCGCGCCGCGATCGCGCCGTTCCCACGTGGAAGGATGCAGGAGCGATCGATCAGTGTCGAGTCTTTTCGATACAGGATGTAACGCCATGACTCGCGCGCGAACTTATTAATCCTCTGCAGCCCCCTCCGGCAAACTGTCGTCTATGCCTCATTAGTCCCGGAAAATCAGACGAATTACAATTCGCCAGAAATATATTTCATGCGCAGTCCGATAAAAGACATTCTTACATTGTTGTGAAAAGAATATTAGATTAGCATTACGAAGCGTTTTTCTTGAAAAATTGGAAATCACGTACATGTATATATAATGAATTCAAATTCTGTGTGAACGATAACTGCGATTAAAGTTGAAAATAAAATTTTTGTTCAGATTTGTGACGGAAATCGAGTCAGCTATTTTTTCATACATATACACGCACACATAATCTTTTTATATTTCTGAACTTTAATTTACGTATGAAAAAAAATTTCTGGCTTCACTTGTGTATAACAAAAATTTTATTTTTCGTTTTAATTAATTATATTTTTTACGAAGTTCCAAATTTTATTAAAATTGCGAATGCAAAATTACGAAAATCGCAGCAGATGCTGAGATTTGCGCGTTATCGTTCTTCATATTTATAATAGCGTAAGAGTTTCGCCAAGTTCGTCTCTACGAAATTGAATGTGAAAAGCATTGCGTCTTGCGCAGGAATTCCTCATGGGCACACGGGACACGTGCGCTTCCTCACTTGCGTGGAGACGCCGAGCCCCTCGAAGCCGGACCCGCGTCCGAAGGTGAATCGCTACTCGTTGAAGTCCAACAAGACACAGCCGAGCAACATCAACCGTGGCAAACTCCTGGTGATATCCGGCGGGGATGGCTACGAGGACTTTCGCGGGCCTCAGGCGTCTGCCGAGTTGCAGGCAGGTCGTGAGGACTCCACGAACCACCTGCTGCTGTGGAAAGTGTGATACGATCTAGCACGACCCCAGGTAAACAATAAAAAATGTCTCGCGCGGAAATTTTACTCGGGAATGGCCAGGTCGAGCTGTGTTGTTGCGTGCAGGTTTCATGTCGATCTTGAATCCATCGCCGTTTACAAAGTAAAGAGATACTGGACAATGCAATTTTTATCGTACAGAGTTGCCTTTCTCATTGTAAAAATTTGTCGTTGATTTCAAGTGCTCGATTGGCCTTCTTCCTTACCGCGTGACAGTTCTGTTAAGTTGTTACTCGTTAAACATTGCATATTATGGGACGAACTACCGCAAGACTTCGGCACATTGTGTAAAGTAAAATTAAATAAGAAATAAAATTTTTCATCATGCTGAACGACGTTCAGGATGATGCGGTAACTACTTTGTATATAGTAAGTATTGCATCGTTTCCACGGAATATTAAGCATAGAATGTCCATCTGTCAAATCTGTGGACCACCTTCCGGTAGCATTTAGAGATCTCTATGGTTTGCCACCCAATCATTTTCAGTAATGACTTTATTACATGTTGCATTGATTTCCCCTCTTCAAGTTCTCTCTTCTTACGTTTCACCGCTGACAAAATTCCGAACACTTGTTTCTCGGCAAAGAGTAAGATTCACGTATCCTCTCCGAAATCTACGCGCGTTATATTATTTTCGGAGGCATGCTCACCTCTTCAGTGTCGCCGAAAGGCAGTCGTTGCCCTTAACATCAGCATCACCCGATTCCGACTGTTTCACGTGCTCCTTTCCAATTTTTAATTCACCTTCAACACCTTGTAAATAACAACCGATGACTATGGATCCATAATTGGGCTCAACGGGCGAATAAATCTCTCACTTGATGATATGGAAAATTTCCCGAGAAAATTTCAAAGGATACCAAAAGAAGCGTTCAGTCCATCAGTGCGATAATAGTCTTCGCCTCGAGCGTTCGACCGGGAATACACGCAAATATGCAAATGTAACGGGAATATAAATACAAGTGTCGTGTCCTCCCGGGAATGACCGGGGTCGAAGGTTCTCACAGTCGAGTGGTATGTCCCGCCTCGCGATGGATCTACAGTTACCGTGTGAACGATACTCGAGAGGCGTGAGTCTGACGAAACGGCGGCGATTGCAGGCAAGGGTCGCGGTAAACGAAAGCCGGCATGACACGCCGAGGGAATCGTTGTTGTACGCGCAGCACGCGGCCGGACGCCAGCACCGTCGTCTGATCGTGGCCGATCAGGACGCGTCGGCGCGCCGGGTTTTCAGGGAACGCGGGAAGGTTCTCTGGCTGGTACTAGCCGAGTGGATCAAGAGCACAATGCGGAGGCTGCACTACTCGCAGGACGTCAGGAAGTATCGGCTGCAGTTCGCGCAGGAGGCCGACGGACGGTCTCGGACGGTCTCGGACCTGTCTCTGTCGTCGATATGCGATCTATGAAACGGATCCACTGTTGTCTGGCCATCACCAGTCGTGCCAGTCTGATGCGACATCATTTACCAAAGACGAGTGCTCGACGATGGCGGCTTTCGTCGTGTTCCCCGTCGTGTTTGGAGGAATCCCACGCATCTGGGATCGCACACATCAGACGCAATGTTGTTATGTGCAGGGTGATTCTTTTTAAATTACCTGAGATATCTCGGAGGAAATGTATAGTCTGGAAAAATTTGCGGACGAAAGCTGTTTGGTTGCAAAAGAAGCAATGAAGTAATGACTTTTGCTCTGACTTTGTTCAGACTTGCGTCTGAAACTTTTTATCGGACCCTTCTTTCGAGATATTTTAGGTGAGCGTTTAAAACAGATATTACCCTGTATATTATTTAAATTTGAACTTTGAGAAGCTCTTCATTTTCCGCTGCATTATGACAATTTGCTTCTACGCGTTACAAGTAGAGTTCGCAACATCAGATCCAATTCGATTTGGTGATTGACGCTTTCGCAGCGTGGAATATTTGTTTGTTTCGATTTCCAGCTTGGAAGCGAACTTTCTGCCCAATTTTCTTCAGCGTCTCGTGAACGTTGAAACGTTCACTTCGCTGGAGAGGGGAGCAACCTGATATACTCCCAAGTTCCATTCGACTTAACTCTCTTTTTCTCACAGTATTTGTACCGATTCCTATTTCCAAGTCAGGCTACTTGAATTTGCATGCGGAAGCAATTGGTTTGGACGCAAATTTACAAGTTAGCGAATCAGCAGCTGTAATCTGCCAAAGGATCGAGTACGCGTCTTTGGTAAATCGTTGACCAGACGAATCGCGGAGTCGAATTCTACGTTGGATCTTGAGCAGGAGGAGAGATATGATTCTCGATATAACTTTCGATGTCGATGTGTACACGTTCATTATATCATGCGAATGAACACGTGATCTCAAGAGCGGCCCGTGAACTCGCGTCAGGCCAGCGTACTCCCAAACGACTCGAAGGTTCGAAAGGCGTCCGGAAAATAAGTGGTGCACCTCTTTCAGACATCGCTCTTCGGACATTCGCGTCGTTGGGGTTGATTCGCGCGCGTTTCCTCTTAGCTGCACTTTCTCGTGCACTTTTTGTGCGCGAAGCGCAATGAAGCGAGTAAATGAACGCTCAAGGGAGGAGAAGGGAGGAGAAGGAAGGAAAGAAAGAAGAAAAGATCGTCGAAAGTGCAGAGAGAGAGAGAGAGAGAGAGAGAGAGTTTAGCTAGACGAGACGGCTTTTCCGTCGCGGGCCTGATGACGATCGAGCGAGTGTCATCGACGCCGAAGAACCGACGTTAATGAGAAGTACGATACCTGGCAGGGCGTTGAATCGAGCTTATCTATGTGTGTATGTATCAACACTGGCCTAAATCGATTAGCGGATATAGAGATCTATATTTCTTACGACTACTACGAAGTGCCAAATGTCGAAGGTGAAAACGAATCTGTTCCACGTTTGTCGATCGACGCTGCGGAAGGTACCGACGTACTTCGTTAATTTCCGGTACGTGGTACAATGTAAAACTCAATGTGTTCGTGTTAATTGTTCGAGGAAGAGAGAGAGAGAGAGAGAGAGAGAGAGAGAGAGAGAGAGAGAGAGAGAGAGAGAGAGAGAGAGAGAGAGAGAGAGAGAGAGAGAGAGAGAGAAAGAGTTCACCGAGTCCATGGTCGGAGCGGATGTGAGCAAAGACAGGGATTTATTTATTCGGAGGAGAAGAAGGGTGACAGAGGAGAAGGGAGGAGTGAAGAAAGGGGGGAAAAAGTTGCGCGCCTCGCCTTCGTTCGTACGTCATTCGTGTTAGGTGACTGTTCGTAATATTCTATATTCGGATTTCATCACCCTCTGATTCACACAAGTACAAGGAAAGTGCCAATAATTCTTCCGTCGTCGACACGCCGTCTCATGGTATGTGCTTTTCTTCGCGCTCAATTTTTTTCTCGCTTCTCATCCACGCGCTTGGGGAGTTACCGTTCCCGTTTGAAAATCGTTTCTTCGTCTTCGGTGATTTAATTCAGCCAAATTATCCGCGATCGTTCCTAGTAGATGCGTCCCTCTTAGATCCACTTGTTTGTTGATTTTTTTATGTTCTCGGCGAACGATCTCGTCGTCGCCTTGCTGTGACTTGCAATCGGTAGAGCATCGTAAAATTAATCACGCCAAGGGGCAAATTCTAAAAGGTTGTGCAACGCTGATTTGTACAACGATGACGATAAACGACTAAGTCACTCTAGTCTCGCTGCTCGTGCAAGACTTTAATCTCGCGAAACCGCGCAATCAGTGTCGCACTGAGTGTCACGGGAATTCGGGAGCGTGTTCATCATCGTCAAGACGCCGAGATAATTCGCTAAAGTAAATATCGACGTTCGCTCCGAGCGCGGGGAAACCGCGCGACAATCGTCGCTTGTGAGCGTACAAGCGTGCGAGGAACGCAGCGGAATCGCCTGCGAAAACGCGCAGCATTGATTGCCTCAAGTCCGCGCAGCCGCGAGTGATTTTCATAGTCGACCGTGTAGTAAGCATACGCTTGACAATAATTAAACGGTAATATACCTCGAAGTAATTGTACACGTGACCAACCGAAGCCGTGTCGACGTCATCGGTGTTTCCGCTCGACATCGTTCGTGCCGTTGGTGAAAACCCGTCTGACGAGACGGCCGAATGATTGTTCCGATTACGTGCGAACGCAGTAACTTACGTGCTGTTGAATTTAGTTAGTTAGTACTCTCGATTGGTTTAGCGCGATGTGAGATTATGACTCGATCGAGAGAAGATATTCGCTGTCGCACGAAACTTGCCGGATCGCTGGGAAGAGAAATCGCTCCGTGAAATTCTTTTTTTTTTAGCGAATTACGCAATTTCGTTGTCCATTATTACTCGATCATACGCAAGCTCTTACGGGTGAGGAAATGTTTCGTTTTTTTCTACCGTCTTGGCCTTTCCATTCTGCTGTTCGTCAATTCTCTATGTATCATGTGTGTATAATAATGTCAGTTGTAATACTTAAATCGGGATTCGGAAGGCACTTGTTTATCTCGTAAAAATTATATTTTGTCAGAGAAGGAGAAAAATCGACATATGTTATCATCAAATTATATAAACCTTTGTCGAACTGAAACAAGGGAAAGTGTATGTATATGTACGCGAATGTATGCGCGAGTATGTGCGTGTATGTGTGTGTGTGTGTGTGTGTGTGTGCGCGTGTGTGTGTGTGTGTGTGTGTGTGTGTGTGTGTGTGTGTGTGTACGTGTGTGTGTGTGTGTGTGTGTGCGTGTGCGCGCGCGTGAATGATGTGTATCGAGCGTAGTTTCGATCTCCAAGAGATCGATCTCCGAGCAAATATACACGGTGTAACAAGAATTGAGAGCGAGAGGAGTGAGAAAACTGTTGTGGTGATTGCGATTTCAGTTGTAATTTGAGAATCGGTTGTTAATCGAAAGTAAATTATATTGAACGCGATGTGAGAGATTTTCTTGGATACATATACATATATATATATATATATATATACATATATGTACATTGATAATATTAAATATACATATATAACAAAGAAAAAAAGATTCTTAATTAAGAGCAGTTATATACGTCTGTTATTCAAGTCATAATTTTAATGTAACACTTCTACGAGAACGTACTAACACACGCATATATTGTATCTCCTTATATATGTTATGAATAAATTAAAATGACAGAGTGCAAACGCGCAATCACAATGACGTCTTCCCCAGGAGGTGATGATCGATGTGTTACATCTTGTATACGCGGACGATTCAGTAGGAACTTTAGTCGAACTCGCGCGCGTACGAGTCCGTGTGTACATTTCTCGAGAGCGACACTTACGCTCTCTCCTCTCGACGGTGAGTATACAAGTTATTACTTTAATGCGTATTGTTGATGTCCCGCGGCGAGAGCTACCTGCCGATGCAACCGCATTATGTATTATCCCGTACTGTATGATTTCGCTCGATTTGACTTTGATTCTCGCTGCGCTTCGATCAATGCAACTGCTACACACATGTGTCGGAGGAAAAACGCGCGACGCGACAATATCTCCGGTAGAAACCGGACGAGGAGGTGCGAAGTGTGTGTTTACATTCTCTATCCCTTTTGTACGTGCGAGTATACTTGTGCTGGTGTGTGTTTGTTCACCGTTTGCGCGGGCAAAACCGAAGGGCAAATCGTGATCTAGAGGTAATTTCGGATTAACGTTTGTTATTTGAGAATTGTTAAACGCGCGAACGCACTGCTCCGCGCGCTACACGCAAATTATTAACGTATGTATGTATGATATTATGTACAAATAACGATGTTCGTTTAAAATAAAGTCGTTTACAATTGTACACGATGGGAGACGACTCGCTGTGCCGCAATTGTGTCGCGAAATACAATAATAAAGTATATACCAGATGTTTCAGAATTACAGATAATGTCTTCACTATAGTTGATAGAAATTATGAATAAAAGCGGAGGAGAAGAGGTCTTGAGAAACATAAATCGGCAAAAACTGATCGTTCATGAAATATTCATTACTTTTTATCCTGTAATTGCGTTTTACTTTGAAATAGTCTCAACTTCAAAAAAAGTCCAGAGCGACCTAAATACATATTAATATCGTCCAGACTTTTTGGACTCATTAAATGTTTATTTCAGGTAACCGTATTATATATCAGACGAATTCATCGTTTTCCATCATTTCTGTTTTTTAATAACAATCTATATCGATAGATTCCGCAGTCACGAGTGAGAGAGGGTGCGTTGTATGCTGCGAATTTCCCGGCTGAGAATTAACGTTGGAACGCGCTCGTTTTCCTCATCAGCAACAAAGCAAAATAGTAGCATATTCGAGCGCGGGATTGCGCGCCGAGAAGATTGCTCTTTATTTCATGTCTCTACATCGATTCGTTCGCGAATTATGACCGCTTGAAGTTCCAGTGCGCCCGTGGTGAACGCGCTGCGCGCCGTATACAGCGCCCCCCCCTGCACCGCGCCGAGGTCAATGAACTCGCCATTTTGGCGAGCGCGCGCTAGCACGTGCGCGGATGGGGACAGGCCGTCGCTAGAGAATGGGGTTACGCAACGCGCGAGATAAGGTTTCATAGTGGAGCGTCTCCGGAATGCGGCCGCACTCCCACCCTCTCATTCACGCGACGTAGCAGGTGGTTACCTGCGCTTCGGCCGAACCGATCGAGAGGGCAGCAGCGTGTCACCGCCGGTAACTTCGCTCCTAGGAATCGTAGCGACGTGAAACAAACATCGCTGTAAAGCTGAAACTACTGCGCTTCCGATACAGACAGGATCTTCTTTCCTCGAAATCAGGATTAATCGGTGAAGGATCGGATGATTTCTTTTTTTGTGGGAGGAAACAACAACATGGAAACTAATATACCGCGAGAACAGATTAGCGAGTCCTTGACGTTGCGAAGCGGTCTTTTTCTACCTTTACTGGATATAAAATGCAAACGATTGAAGTGAGAGACATTATTTTTTCACGAGATTTTCGTGTCTCTCAAGATTGATCCGATTTGTCTCGCAGATTATACAGAGGAGAAACAATTAAACTCCGGTCGAATTGTGAACTCTTCGAAATATCAGTTATCCCTCAGTTTTAGCAATTTGTAATCGTAGCACAGAGAAACAGAGAGAGAGAAAGAGATTTTGCTTACGAAATGAAAGATATATTTCGAAAATTATTAATTGACGAACATCTGTTAAAACTTACCGGTTTCTTCGACGTCAGAATCCATATGTATTAACCATCCAAACCTTATAATATACTAAACATTTATAAAATAACTTTGCAATATGCTACATCTAAGATTGGATAGTACTCCACATATACGCTCGATCCTATTTTATATTTTATATTTCGAGTCGAAAATCTTCAAGAATATCTTTATATATTTCATATTTCAAGCCACACGCAAAGATAAATGTTTTAAGTCATGATTTACACGCACGTTTTACGTTTTATCTCTCGTAACTTATATTCGGAATACATTTCCGCGCAGTTTCGCCTGCTCCTTGATTGCCCGCGTGATTAGTTGCACGTTTTGACACGACTCGTCATTCTCACGTTCATTACTGACTAGAGACTTATACATATACATTCGACTATACATTCGTCTGTTTTATTTACATGTTAGAATTCTCTTTGTCCAAGTGATCTCCTTAAGTAATACTTAAGTAATAAACACCGCGCGGGCGGAAAGTCAACGTCGCTGTATCACTTGCCTGGCGCAAATGAACGGAGTTTCTGACACGATCGAAACGTTTACACCTCAATTGCGACGCGATCTATCGGTTTACGATCATTCGCAAAAGACTCCCTCAGACGGACGCTGTGACCAGATGCGATTCGTGTTCCTCGCTGACTGGTGTCGACGGAGCCTCGGTGATCGGTGTGGGCGGATCGCCGCTGCTGCATTGCTGGTCCGTCGTCCCTGCGAAAATCAATTTGGTAAGAATTTAGCATTTTCCAAATTTATCTTACTTGACGAGAAAATTTATGGTAATAATTTTATGACTGTATTTTGCCTGAAATCCGATTAATTTTTTCAAAGATATTGTCGCTTACTTTAAGTGTATTTAATTTTCAATAGACATTCGTCACGGAATTTCACAAAAGAAAGAGAAAGAAACATGATTGACAAGTGCCGCAATTATGTCGTTTCAAGATTAGATCATTATCTTTTGCTTTTAATAAATTCATCCCTGAAGAGGATAATGTAATTTCTGAGAAATTTTGCTGAACTCCTTTACGTAAATACATATATTTTACTCTGGTTTCATTCGAAGATTATTTTTCATCTATATATACAATTATCTTATATATATACAATTATCGTGTCAATTCATCACATTAACGAAGATTGTGTTCTTAATATGCACACACGATCATTTATGCACATAAATATTTTTCTCCGATATTTGATAAGAATTGTTGCAATTCTTGTGACTTTTTTTATGTGGAAGAAGGAAGCATGAAAGAGACTTCGTTTTCGCGATATTCAGACGTCCGTATTGTTCAGATCGTTCGTATTGTTTCACCTGTAAACGAGCCTGAGCGGCTCCGTTCCGGCCAGCAGATCCTGCAGAGTGGTTTCAGCAGTCTGAATCTCGGACGCGGCATTCGTAGAAGCACGTAGATGTACGGATCCAGAGTGAAGTGAATGCACAGAAGAATATCGGCGATGATGTGGAAGATGCGAATGCATTTTCGTAAAGTGACAGCTTTTTCAGACAGGCCCATCGCAAATTGCGCCAGTGGAATAGATATCTGCATGTAAGAATGATAAAAGAACAAATTAATGATGCTTGATCGCTTGATAAAGCAGTCATACAAAAATCACTCATTGCGACGAGATATGTCACGAGGAAGAAAAGTTCCCTCCAGTTGGGAAAATTTAAGCCGGCGGATGCATTACTATCGATTCTACCATTTCGCACAAATAAACTGCAATTCGCTTCGATACAATACTCATAAGAGAAAGAAGCAACAAATTCGATTTTCTCACGCACTTATAAGAGATTCATTTGGCTTTTGGCGCGCTTTTTTCGCACGACGATCGAATCGGTTCTCTCTATGAGTGAAATCTTCCAGCGCCATATTTTCGCTCAGCGAAATCGTCAACAGGATGAGATCAATTCAGTAACGACTAAAATATTAGCTCGCGAACGTCTCGATAGCTTGTACGTGAGACTATTCTCAAACAGACGTTTATCCTTCTCGAACTCCTTCGCTTGTTGCGGAAGCGCGCGATATTTCTACCCAGAATTCGACGTAACAGCAAATAATTATTATTATTCCTAACGTGCAGATGTGTGTTTTGAGCGAAAATATTTGTTTAAGTGCACAATTCGGTCATTTACCATGAGAAAATATATTTGTGTATCCTTGTAATATTTTAGCACTATTTAAAAACATAAGAGTATTAGAGCGAGACGAGATTTTATTGATTTTATTCATCGTTCTTATTCTCTTGCTATTATATCTTAAGATAGGCAGAAAAATGTTTCTGCAGAAAACAGCCGAGCGTTAAATTATATAAGAATTACATAAATATGTAATATTTAAATTTTATACAGCGACTATAAATATATCGATCGATATTGCATCGTCAATCACAGCAAAAAAAACTTACATTGAGAAACAATTTCTGTACATTACGATTGTTCTTTCCTCGTCTAGAAGAATATCGGAGAATAGATATCAAGAATATATTAATCGCGGATGTCGTAGACGTAGTAAGACTAAATCGATCGCTAAAATTATCACTTCGCATGCGAATCACGTGGGCCGCATCGTCGGCCTGCGACCAGCGAGTATCTAAAACTGCCGGAAGCGAACTGCCGCTTCTCGACGAAAAACCGGCAAGGTCGTAACTCTTATAGCGAAGATGACGAATAATGAAGACCTAAGCGGAAAAGCGGCCTCGATATTCCGACGGAGGAGATATTCCTTAATTAAAACCCAAGTGAGGGGGGAAAGATGGAGACGTCAACCTTCGCAAAAATACATTCCACATGCTGTGAATAGACCTTTACTTGTCATCAATCTACAGTGGTCAACCCACGTCTTCCACGTACTCCACTACGAGAGGGTGGAAAACCATCATCAGGTTCTTCTTCTTTTTACGCGTTGCGTTAAACGAGGAAGATCGAAGCTAAACTTTTCTTCTCGCGTGGATGAAAATGTCGTTATACTTACTCGTCCTCTAGACTCGTTCTAGACGGCGTGCTGGACGGAAAGTAATCGTCCATCAAATGGAAGAGAGATATATGAAATACACGCACGCGCGGCGGCAGTTCCTTTTTTTTTGTTTACAATAGAAGGGATGACATACAACAGAAGGGAGGACATACTCGCGAACGAAAACACACTTCTCGCAACTTTGCTGTCCTCGGACAGCCTTTTCTGCCGAATGAGGAGTGATGTCAACACACGATGGTTAAGGCAAGTGAAATTGGTTGTTTGACTCATTAATTATTGAACGGTAATTATCGAGTATGGCGCCCGCGTATACATCGAAGTTAATTAAATTGACAGGCTTACCATTTGCGGCATCCAGCATATGACGAACGATATGGACAATACGGCCATAAGCCTCGCGAATGCCCTCTCTTCGGCGGTAGCGACGATTTCCGGCCGACCTAGAGGTCCGGCTATCTTCAGCAGTGGTTTCGCTCTCGACGAAGCTCTGCAGATGCGTCTGAGGGCTCCTGTGCGACGACCTAGTCTACTCAGGGCTCTGGAGACCGCTAGATTGCACCAGACGATGGACAGGCACAGAAGCGTGCCTGTTTCAAATCGAAAGAAAAGAGAAAGAAGAATCTACAATAATCGGTAACGAGACTAACTGACTCTTTAGTTTCTGGCACTTTCCGCCGCGCCTGTCGCACATGTCAAAAAATTCACCTGTCGCAATTAACGCAAAATCTCTCCAGACATGATATGAATTTCTGATGAAAATTCGTCAGACTTTTTTCTTTTTTTAGTTAGTTTCAACCATATTCTCTTTCTCTCTCTCTCTCTCTCTCTCTCGCTCTCTCTCTCTCTCTCTCTCTCTTTCGTCACATATCGCGTACATAAAAGTACAGACCCATCTTTTAGGCGGCAAGTGTTTTTGACAGAGCAACGTGGCATTCTTCAGACCTTTTCCTGTGCGACCCACTCACCGAAAACGAACCACACGTAAGCGTAAGCGACGTCGCTCGGCTCGGTAGCCTCTCTGTAGCGGACGCAACGTTCGCCTTTGTAGTACAATCCGAAGCCCAAAACCGGCAGGCTGGTCATCGCCAACGCGGCCAACCAAAGCGCCAACATGCACCGCACAATTACCGGATACGTCACCTGCTGGAAGATACATGCGTGTCACCCATCGAGACATCGAAGTGCGGTGAATCGCTGGTCGATCTGCGATCACCACGTGACGAAGAAGCCGATGAAGACACAGCTCTAAGACTCGAGGCAGCAGGTCTGGACGTCTCCCCTTTTAGTTTTGCGTACGGCAGCTCTGTATCTCGTCGTACAGACAATTTATGTCACACGTCAACAGAAGCTGATGACGGCGTGCCGTATTTTGCAGCTTTCGCCTCCGATAATTATTGATATCTTTAAGAAGCACATTGCCGCGTTTCGAGATACCCTTCTTCGTCTGGATTTACGCATTTTTCGCACCGTTCACTTCGCAGCGACGCTTCGGGAAAGTCGCGGAGTCGCTCCCGGCGAAGAGGAGAAACCGGAAAATCCCGAAGACGATCGGACAAATAAAAAAAGGTAAACGACACCGGTCGCTGCTTTCCGCCTCTTCGTGCGCTCGCGAAGAAATGAAGCGGCGGTCTCCTCCACCTCGTTAAATAGGCCAACTTTGACGCGCGAGACATAACATACGCTCGCGCTGATGCTTTGCTTTGACGAGCTGCGTCGTTACGGACGTTTCGACAGCATCGTTCAACTGCTCGTTCTCATCCTGCCGGCGGAATCCCCGCGGAACTTTCAAGGGCGACGGTGGGTTCCCGCACTTGAGCTCGGCGGAATTAATACTCGTCTCGAATTAAACCGCGCCTGAGATCGGCCGGGAATCGAGCCAACGCCTATAAATCGATCGATTCTTCATCGACATAAATTGTAGGACGTGCGCGCGCGCGCGATAATCTTCGATAAAAATCGAAGATGTTGACTAGAGTTTCCAATCCCGGATACAATTTAGGAACCCCGGGATTTCGCGATTTTTTGGATTCTATCCCGGGATTCCGGGACTAGTCCCGGGATTATATATATGTAAAGAAAGAAACAAGGAATATTTACAAATAATAGAATTATTTTATTTATAGAACGTTCATAGACTTTTATGAACATTATGACAAACAAAAAATAAAGTTTCAGTAAAAATGAAAGCAACTTACATTAATGATTGCACAAAAACCGTTATAATTAAAAATTAAACTTTTTGTAATAAAAATAAAAATAATTATTTCTTCTTTTACACATTTGAAAAAGCGACTTTAAACATAATAAAACATAAATTTTGTTAAAAAATATCTGATCGAGGATCCCGGATTCGAGTTTATGTTGCGCCAGTTTATCCGCGAAATTTAAAATAGAAAACTCCCTTAATATTTAAAACAAATAAAAATAATACATGGAATTAAATTTAAAATATAAATACACACTTCTCTGGCAAATGCTCTAAAACATCAGTAATAAGTAATAATTATTAAAGTAAAACGTAAGTATTATAAAGACACTAAGCATTAAATTTTGAAATCCCGAAATCCCGGGATTTGTGATGTTGAATTTTTGGTCCCGAGTATTTTCGGGACCAAAAATTTGACCGAGATCCCGGGATTGGAAACCCTGGTTACGATATGCGATGAGAAGGATATCGCTTTACGACGAATCTTGCTTCCTTAGCGCTATTGAACGCGCTATTTCGGCTATGTATATTCTCTACAAGTACCAAATATAAAATATTTGATATATTGCTGGCAGGTTTTAGAGTGAAATTCTCGGACGTAGTCCTATTTTCGTGAATGCGCGATTATTTACAGACTCGGGCGACACGATGTCGTGAATGTCTCCTGTGACCATTCGGGAAAAGGGGTTTCACATGTATTGAATATCAATTATAGGGTACGTCGCAGTTAGCGAAAATATATACGAAATAGAACAGCGGGAAGCAATGGATTTCTTGATGCTATCGAGCGTTTGCTCGTACAAGCAAAATTGATTAGCTAAGGGAAGCTCTCGGCTGTAGATTGCGGCTTGATATCGTTCTAACTTAATATCGAAATACCGTCCGCAACACGCTTTATAAATCCAGAATCGCCGAGATGGCGAATTAACTGCGCGAAAAAGCTGCGTTGTGATTCAATGTGTTTTTACATCATGTTGGACAAGAAAGATAATGTATCAAAAAAGATAAAATGTCACACTGAAAATTTGTGTCTTGGCGCAGATTGAGAAAGCTTTAGTATACATTTAAACTGTCGTTTCCTTTTGGTCTTATCAGATCGTTATTTCGCAGCTATTATTCGCGAGTGAAACAAAGTCTGCAAGTTCGTCACGATTATACTTTAGCGGCGTGTAATAGCATATATGCTAATTAATATCGATCCTCGATTCTATTTCGTCGCGCGATCTTACCGAGAAAAGCGTTAAGAGTTAGGCGGGTATTTCCTGGAAAAGACAATATTTGAAGAAGTGCGACACAATAAAAGCATTACTCATCTCCAATTAATTACAATCGTCTGGGCTATACATGAAAATGGCCGCAGCGTAAATTGGCTCTTCATTATCGGACGTTAACATCGTGCATCGCGCGACGATCGATACTTCCTTGAAGAAAATGATTCGTCATTCGTGATCCCTACAGAGAAGAATATTCCCGGCTTGCTATTTCGTCGAATCTCTCGCGCGACTCGAGTCTCCATATTTTCATAATCATGCATCAATGTAATTCGCGCAAACAGATTCTCACAACTCGCCGATCGATCATCGAGACTCTCCGTTCTCTCGCGCCTTCCTCGTAAAATGTGGCCGTTCTATAAACGTCAAGTGGCTATGCGGCGCACGCGAATATATTTTCGAATATATTTTCTCACACGCGATCGCACGAAGCGCAACCATGTTGTGAATTATAAGGTGCGGCTTACTTTGGCAATGTGCTCAGTTCTTCTCGCGGCTGAGAGAATCATGCCGATATCATAATTTCCATTAATTTTCTCGCTTACTTTGTGCGAGACAAGGAGGAAGTTCGACCTTGCGTTTTTCTCATCCGATTCATTTTTTTCCTTTAACCGTCAAGATCATGATTAGATCGACGGTTCCTCGACATACACTGAGAGAAAAGTATATGATATTCGGAACTATAATGATATAGTAACTAAATTATAGTCCGAAATATCATATTTATAGTAAGTATTACCATCGGTAATAATTATAATATATTGGCATAGTATAACCAACCATATAATATTTCTACTAAGAATCATAGTAAGTTAAACTAAAATTATTATATGGATACAAATATAAAATGATAGGTAAAGTAACTCTTTTATATAGTCAATATTACCAGAATATTTGCTAAATGATGACAGATGTAACTATATGAATCTCACTATATTTGTGAATGAGAAATTACTATATATGTAGTAAAAGTAACTAAACAATTATTTAAGACAATCATTGACTATATATTTGTGTTTGTTCTACTATATTTTGCAGGTTCTACTATAGTTTGCAGCACCAACTATAGAAATATGGTTGACGCCAAAATGAACAATAAAATATAGTGAGATTGTAGTTAATTCAACAATATTTTTCTATCAGCCCCACCCAAGCCGTTGCCGAATCTTCCAAGCGACAAGGCTGAGACTGAAGAAAACGGTGGAATATCTCGACTTCGCAGACCGTTGAAAAGTCGGAACTCATGATTTCGGGCCGTTGGACCTTCCGCGACTCGAATTATATATAAATCGATTGTGATGCGTGCGGCTTTAGAAATCGCCGATATTAATAACCCCGTTTATTTTTAATCCCAGTTATATTATACCGTCACTATTCCTGAATTAAATGTATTATAATTTTGATAATAAATTACTAGACAATAGGATACTAACCCCAATCCATCCCAACCATATAAAATTCTAATTAAATTTGGACTTATAATCATTAAAATTATTGACAAAACAAATTATTTGAGCCGAAGAAACATCATAGACGCTAGAGTGTCATAAAATTCCTCAGCTAATGCCACGAGGCTGTACCAAAGATAAACGTGAACGTTCATGACTGTGAAACGTGAACGTCGGCGGGCTCTCAGCTGATTTAACCAACTGTTCCAGTTATCGCCGAGACAACGCAAACACGTCAGCCGCTTTCTGCGGACGGGAAGTTCCTTTCGCAAACTTCCGCACAATTGACTACCACTCGGAGCAGCTTTGAAGCTCGGGCGAGATTACGGCGAGAGGTTGTCCTAAAGCTAGGCTTACCTTCTGATAAACGAAGGGCCTGGTCAAGGCCAGCCACCTCTCCGCCGCCATGACGATGGCGACGCAGCCGCTGAAGAGGCCGAAAAGCCGCCAGACCACTCGCAATGAGCAAAATATTCGCGTGGACGTCACGTTACCGACGTAAATCGTCACGTACATCTGCACCAGCATCCCCAGCAAGGCGACAAGGTCATTGGTTGCCAGACAACGCAGCATCAGCAAATGCTTGCGGTTCCTCCTCTGAAAGCAGGCGGTATCAGTGAAAGCAACGCGCGACATCGTCTCATTGCTTTTTACTGCTGTAAAGGGAGACGTAATAACTCACAACCAGCAGAGTAAAGAGAACGAGCCTGGAATGTACGTTTATAAAGAAAGCGTATTTTCTAAGCCGTCGTATTGAATTATTATTAGATTATTAGAGATATTTGCTATTTACGCGAGAGCCTCACCGTATTTTTATTTGTCAAAATAGACTATGTACTTTTTGACGATTACGGATTGTTACGCGCGAGTGGAGCTATACCTGCATGGATGACGCGTGCTTGCAAACTTCGCTTCTCTCGTCGGCGAAGTCCAATTTCTGAGAACTCCGAGTCGACAAGCCCAAGCAAACGTAATAACTTGGGACATAATTTAATGGACGTCGACTCATCGTGAGATTTATGTACCACGCATCAAATTATAATTTACAGGCAAGACGTGCTTCCTAGTGGTCAACGACACCTGTTTTGTTAGCGAGGCGTGTCGACTAATGCGCGACTCCGTCTCTCGGTGGCTCACCTTATCTCGATGAAAGAGAATGACAAGAGCGGACACGTTGCCAATGACGCCGGTCATGTAGACGAGGGTCAGCACGAGCTGAGAAACGAAAGTCACGTGTCTTTTGGGTGCATCGCCGCTCATTATGCCGGGCATCGCCGTCGTCATGTTAAGCAGCGAGGTGTCGTTGAGCCAGTCCTCCGTCAACATGATGATCGGCCGATTTCCCGCCATTTTCCGGCGGACGGTCAGACTCAAAATCGAATTTCCCGGTGTCGTTCACTCGCTCAGCCTCGTCGAAGCTTATCCCGTTAGCGTGCAGCGCAACGTGGAGTGCAACGATGCCCTGACCTCATTGTTCGCGACTGCTCGCGCCAATTGTTGTGATACGACGTGGACGTCACTTCCCCTTAAGGAACATCGATCTCCTTCGATCGCAATTACCGCTCTTTCATCGCGCGCAATTCGTGTTTCCTGTTCTATGCGCGGCAAATAGGCGGCAACTGGTGTTTACGACGATGGCTGATCCAGGGTGATGGAGGCCGAAGAGGAAGATCACGTTTGTTCATGTGAGGAGTCTCGACGTGAAACGATACTTTCCACGTGCGGATTTCGGAAATCGCGGATTCCGGAAGTCTTCGTACCATCGACCCTCGAAGCTCGTCCAGTCGTTCGACTGTGGAGATTCTTCGCACTGGTGGATGCTAGCACAATTTATCGAGATCAGGTTGATCGAACCGGTCCTCGGCGCGACAGACGACGCCGATCACGCTCGTCGCGCTCTTCTCGTCGCAGGGTACCCCGGAGAGTCAGCGATCGACGACGTGAACCTGCGAGTCTCCCGATGACGAGGACACGGGGTGAACCTCGAGGATTCCTTCGACGAGCGCAGTCGCCGCCTGACTGATTGGAACCACGCGGTCGGATCCAGTTTTGTTTATTCCTGTAGGAGGGCTCGATCGCGCGCGACGTCGGCGATTGCGCTTGCGCGAATTCCTCAGGAGCAATTATTGCGAGAAGTCGCCGATCACATTAGTCGACGAAATTATTACGGCGACAGCGACGACGGAAACACTGAATATCGGCACAGGATAGTTCTTATTTTTACTAACAAAACTGGGAACATCTTTTCATTTTTTTCTTGCTATCGCCGAATATTAATTGTAGAACGCGGTTCTGCTTTATTATCTAATTTTTTTTTTTTTTTTTTAGTAGAAGCCTCCCGAGGAAGTTTGAGAAAATTAGGGTTCTCATGTTGGACTAAACGCAAATTTCGCAAGTTGACATTTCAAGTTTTTTAATGTTTACTGTTGCATAATCGCGTTATTATAGTGATTAAATTAATTGTCTCTTTCTCTGTCTCTCTAAGAAAATAGGTGCAAATGAAGAAACGGTAATCTCTCTTCCTACCTCTCTCTCTCTTTCTCTCTCTCATTTTTTTATTTGCCTAATATGTTTCGAGATATTTAAGGAAAACTCGGAAACTCTTTCAATATTTAACTTACGATATCTCGCCAACTATTTGTCGGAAGAAAAAATGCTATTAGACTTTTTTACTCTACTCAAGAATATATTGTTACAATAACACCCTGACTTTTGTTAATTTGATAATCTTGAAATTTCCAAAAGTCAATAAGTTGACAAAAGTTAGGGAACTATTGTAACAATATGTTCTTGAGACCAAGTAGAGTAAAAAAGTCTAGTACCACTTTTTCTTCTGATAAATAGTTAGCGAGATATCGCAAGTTAAGTATTGAAAAAGTTATCAAGTTTTCCTTAAATATCTCAAAACATATTAGGTAAATAAAAAGATGTTTCAGACAAAAGTTGTTCAAATTAATTGATAGAAAAAGATGATATAATAAAAAATGGGGGTTTCTGTTTAAAAAGAATAAGTTGACCTTGACCTGACTTTGGCAATGCCACTCAAGGTCAAACTGATAAGATCAGTAAATACAACGTCTTAAGCCTTATATCTTTTGTCTAAAATATTTTTCTGTAGAAATAAAACTTATATCTTTCGAGAATTTTAAGGGTTTCCATCTTTTTTCCTCACTCTGCATATTTCATCGGTGTAGAGATAAGACAGGACAAAGAAAAAGTTCGCCCGGTGGCGCGGCGCTCCGAAACAATTTCGCACAGACTCCAGTTCGCTGGTATGCGGGTGACGATGAATAATGCATGCTACATGTGCTTTTTGTATACAAGAGAGCGCACCGGTCGATAAATAATTTCAAGCACGAGGAGGATAATGCGTTAAACAAGCTCTGCCTGTTCAAGGATCCACAATGATGCGTCCTCCGTTGACGAGCAGAACGACGAAGAACTTTGCGCGGATTTGTCAAGATTTGGACGCGATCCAGTGATTGGGGAAACAATAGAGAAAGCATCGATTGCGCTGCTTGACAAAGTTCCAGTAACGCGAGCAAAATAAACATTGTTAAGTTAATTTTGGAATACGGGTTTCTCAGACGTGCGGGCGCATTGCGCCGAAACTTGGCACATTTTTATGACACTGGCAAGCAGTTCTATGAGCCACAAATCATTCGGCAGTTTTCGTCGAAATATCTAATTTGCTGCAGTTGGCTGCCTTTTATACCGCGCGTTCTGTTACTTTTTTCTTTTTTTTTTTACGAGCACCGCTGAGAGATGCCGTGACGCATTTCTCGCCGCGAATTGACAATCCGTATTCCTGCGAGTCAGGATGCGCTGCTTAAAACGAAGGTTCATCTCTACATGGTAATCCATAAACATACAATAGCCAATACCGTAGCTAACAAGGAAACGGATTTAAATAATGCAGTCGCGACCGGCGCCTTTCTTGCATAATGATCATGCGAATTGCAATGCACGCGACAACTTGACGATCCAACGGGATGGTTCTCGCATCCTCGCTGACACAACGGCCCAAATTAAACACCATCGAATTGATTACTGACGCAACGATCGTGGATCGACTCGTGCAAGTAGATAGAAATTACGCGAGATCTTCTATTACTACCTCAGAAAATAGTTTTCGGAAAAATCCTTTTTTCTTAATTTCTAGTAGACAACATAAATTGTAATAATTAATTAATCGAACTAACGTAAGTGAATTAATGAACTAACAGTGGTTTCCGGTGTTGTGATTCTCTCATACTCTCCTGGGACGGCGAAATTTTTCTAAAAAAATTGTGTGCACTCTGTTACTTTATCGCGAGAAGTCGTCGATCACATTAATTGATGAAATTATTACGGCAACAACGGAAACTGAATATTGGCGCAGGATAATTCACTTATTTTTGCGAGCAAAACTGGGAACGTCTCTTCATTTTCTTTTTTTTTGCTATCGCTGAATATTACTTGTAGAGTGTGGTTCTGCTTTTTTATCTAATTTTTACTTTTTTTTTTGTAAGTAAGAACCTTCCGAGGAAGTTTGAGAAAATTAGAGTTCTCACGTTGGACTAAACGCAAGTTTCGCAAGTTAACATTTCAAGTTGACACTTCGAGTTTTTCCTCGTGCGGAATAAAGGAATTCTATCCAACGAATTTTTAAGTTTTATATCTAACTTTCCAATTTTTCTGTCTCAGAAAATTACGATTGCTACAATTCTTTTCTTTTCTTAATTAGTCTCTCGTGTCAGCGTGAGATGCTATTCTTTTAGGAGCGAGGAGTTCTCGGTGAAATGCGCGACTCGAATTTCGCGATACTCGGGGAGTCCCAGAGGACGCTCCACGCTTGGATACCGACCTGAGGAAGAGCCGAGCGATCGGCATTACAGTTACAGCGAATCCCACGTAACACGCTTGATTCTCGGTGGCCAATTTGCTCGAGCGGTAGCCTCTCTCTGCGGGTCTAACTTTAGAAGTATTCCCGAAATAACCACTGAGTGCGTCGGCAGCTCCCTTTCCGTCAGCGCGCAGTGCAGAGGGAGAACGCCGTGACATTTTTTTCCCGAATCACATCGCAAGTCTGCCGTGTACTCGCAGGTAAGTATTTTCATCATCCCCGTTACGGTGTTACAGCGGCTCGCCTTTCGCTCCTCGGCCGCGGTGTCTCTCTCTCTCTCTCTCTCTCTCTCTCTCACTCTCTCACTCTCTCACTCTCTCTCTCTCTCTCTCTCTCTCTCTCTCTCTCTCTCTCTCTCTCTTTCGATCGCGATCGACGATGCCCGAGTAATCAGACGCAAAATCCTCGCAAACGTGGATCACGATCTGTCGATCGTCTTTCACGGTTGTCGTGGCAATTCGCGGAGACAATAATTTCGTACGGAGGTTGAAAGTGCTTTTAATCATCGACTCTCTCGCAATCGCGATATATATTCGAATGGCGGACTTTTAATATAGATACAGTACAATTATATGCAACAGTTGTGACGCTTTTTACACGAGTAGTCGGTTGCGAGAGGAACAATATTCGTATTAAATGAAGAACTCGAGTTGTGTTGTGAACCGTTTAATTACAGCGTTCTCCTTGCGAATGTATTTCCAATTAGAAGAGTTTAAATAACAATGAGACTCGTTGCTCGCGTAAAACGAAATTCTTATGTTGCAAAAATTGGGGTGATCTTAATTAAATTTATTCGGCTTGTTAATATTTTTTCCTGTTGCTTTGGTATCGAGATAAAGAATAATAGCGAAAGAAAGATCTACAAGCAGTGTTGTCTGCCTAATAAGAACGGGGTGGAGAGAGAGAAAGAGAGAGAGAGAAAGAGAGAGAGAGAGAGAGAGAGAGAGAGAGAGACGCAGGTATAAAAATAAATTTGCTGTCCGTGTATAGATGGAGCGGTGAACAGATAAATAGATAAATAGATAGACGATTTATTTAGCTCGTTTCACAATGACTCACCATGCGCGATAGATTGAAATAAAATTAGACGGGGATTAAATCGAATACAACAGTGCAAAAATACTTGATTTTCATTGTAGTTGACAAAATATCCAGGTGTAATTGATCCTCAACATTGGTGTTTGAAAAAAAGATTCAGTGCTCGATAAAAGTAATTAACGCGTCGATAATGGCATGCGTTCGCTAATAAAACTAAAAGTATCGTAATATTAAAGTTACTTAAGGGAACTTATAATAAAATAATAAATTTAAATTTGCAAAATAAAGTAATAAAGTTAAATATTTGCCCACATCTTTTCGAAACATTTTAATCCATCGCTAAAAGTGTGATTGTGTTTGATATTAAAGTTCGAAGCGAGTAAACACAAATGGAGGACGCGTCGATATGATATCGGTCGAGTCATTTATAAGCGAAGCTCTTAAGGACGTCGAAATGTAAATATGCTATTGAAGATCGAGTGTCACTCGACGTGATTTTGTTTGTATGTTATATCGATCATTCCGCTATCGCATTCCAAATAGTTTAATGACAAACAAAAGATAAGACTTCGGAAACATGAAATATCACATACAACTTAATGTGATACAACTTGTAATATTATTCGCAAAATGTAATTTCAGAATTATCACGTAATCCTCGAGTGTTCAATGAATGTGTTCACATACACGTTCAAGTATACACATATATAATTACAAGCTGATTTTCAGTCCCAAGAATGTATCATTCTTGATTGCGATTATATACGGAATGCGTATATTTATCATTACTTTATTCAAATTGATTTCAAATTCACGCGAATATATGCGGATTAGTGTCGTAAAATCGAAATCGCGAGTTTAAACCGTGATCGTTTCGAGTGACGATATCGATAGTCGATTCTGATGTTGTCATTGCGACGTGTTTGTTTTCAGTAGCGGTCGAATTGCCGCGACGTTGTATTTGCTTGTGTTTAACTATTGAGATACATAAAAAAAGTCTCGCTGTTAGAGGTCTTCGCATGCCGTAATAATGAACGAGAAGAACAACGACAACATTAAGGCCGAAGGGCCTGAAATGGAGAGGAAAGAGAACGAGGTGAGTTTCTTGGTGCACCGGGTCACCATAACCTCTACAGAGGTTTTAATCACTGGAATTGCTAGTAGGATCGTCAATTCGTAAAAGTACTTCGACTGATAACACGTCAGTCCTCTATGATATATTACTACTACATCATCAACATTCATGACTGATAGTATTATTTTTTTTAAGTGTTAAATATTTAACCTCTGTAAGATCAATTGCTTTGCCTTGGAAAACACTGACTTATTGCAAGAAGAATTTAATAGATTAGGAAAGAAAAAATATATATCAGACTTCATATGACTTTCAGGGGGAGTGTAGCACCAGAAAACGTACAAAAGAAGATAGATCCAAGAAGAAGGATGACAAGAGGCCAGCAGAACAGTATTCGAAAATTCTTAGTCATGTCTCGACTCCAGAAGAAAAGTTAGATGTAATATGTAAAAAGTATTCACAGGCAGTTGACGAGAATCGAAGACTGTCATTGGCATTAAAACACTCAGAAAAGAAAGTGGAATTGCTCCTGCGAGAGAGGGAGCAGCTTCAAATTGAACGTAGCAAAAGTATCATGACGAGAAAAAGATTGGAGAACCTCTGTCGAGAATTACAGAAGCAGAATAAGATAGTGAAAAATGAGAGTTTGCAGAGGGTCAAAGAACAAGAAGAGATCAGGAAAGACCTGTCGGAAAAGTTTCAAGGTGGCCTGGCACAAATAACCACTCTCATGAACCAGAACATTGAGAAGAATGCCAAGATGTACGAGGAAAATCTTGAAATAAATAAGAAATTCAAAGCAGTCTATGAGCAAGTGGAGCAGAAGGAGCAGCAATTGCTGAAGGTACATCAACAGATGAAATTAGACTTGCAAGTAGCTGACGCTAAGCTGGCCAAGGTGAAAATGGAAGCCACCGCTGAGAAGGAAGCGTTGCTGAAAGAGAAGCAGCAACTCCTACTGAAAATGACAGAATATCAGACTCAAATCAGGGAACTTCAAGCCACTGAAGTGGGGTTGCGAAGTGAGATCAGCATGTATACTGACAAGTACGATGAATTTCAAAACGCACTCAATCGAAGCAACAAGATCTATGGCGAGTTCAACGTAGAAATGGAGAAAATGACGAAAAAGTTGTACGCGCTGGAGAAGGAAACGAGTTTGTGGAAGCAACGTTGGGCTAATAGTCACGACGCGTTGCTGGCGATGGCGGCTGACAAGCAGTCGAGAGACGGGGAGATTGCGATGCTTAGCAAAAAGTTAACCTTGCTGCAGGACCTGTGCAAGATGTTTCAGTGCGAAAGGACGAAACTTCTAGCACAGTTGAAGACGCAGAGCAACAAAGCGCCTTCGCCGGAACCAGCTAGCACACCAGCATTGGAATCGCAGGAAGTTGTCAAATATATGAAACAGATGGACGAGTTACCGAACTTGGAGAACACTTTTGAGCAGCTACAAGCCTCGCTGGCGGATGTTTCGGAAACTATGCGAAAAAGTTCCGACGTAAGCTCCAAGGTAGCCTCAGCGAACGGTACCACGGAAGCAGAACAGAAGCCGGAGACAGCAGAAACCGAATTACATGAGAAGAATGCCGAACGATTACAGACTACGCCCGAAAACTCTACTGAAGACCCGAGCGAAGACTGTGCTTCATCCACTCTAAATGGGGATACAACAAAACCAACCTCCTACGACAGTTTTGTCACGTTAGATTACACGGTAGAAGCGCAGGAGGTTGAAGAACAAGTGGACGGCCAGGAATCGTTTAATACAAGTAAAAAAAAGACGACGGCGGTCAGCAATAATGAATCAGATGAGTCCTCCAACCAATCGGTAGAGTCTTTACCGAAATGTGAAGAAGTAAAAAAAGATTCCCATAAACTGACGGAATTATCGAAGACTGATGAAACAAATGAAGAGGCTAACGAGGAGATGAAACTACTGGAAAACGTGGAAACGAACGATCAGTCGGACGTTGCAGAGGAAAAAGCGTACGAAAATATTGAAGAGGCCAACGGTGAGACGACAATTGAAGAGTCTGACGAAATTCCTCAGGAATTGTCTGCATTTGAACTTGAGGCTCTTGAATTTCTAGGATCTATGTTACCACAGAGAGAATTCTCAATTAAAGAGACGGATTGTGTGATGTTGTTATGTGATGTTGCGAGTAATCACTTGGAAGAGCAATCGGAATGTCAAATCATCGAAAATACAAGCAGCAATAACAAAACGCATGAAAATGCAGTATGCGAGGATGTAGAAGCGGGCAAATACATGGTGTGTGCAAATTCAAGCGTCGTTTGTAATGAGATCGTATCGGAAGATTGCACGCAAAATAATCCAGTCGCGGCAGTCGAAGGCAATATTGAATCCATAGTTGAAACTAATAATAATAACGAATCTGCGACTGAGTCTATTAGCACGTTAGTTAAAAATACTTCCGAGGTCTCCAAGACCGCTGATGTAGTAGCTGCGGCTGAAGACACAACCTTGGTAGCCCAGAAGAAATCCGAAGCCGTAGCCGAAACTGTTAATGAAGTAGTCGAAAGTAGTTTCGAGTTAACCGACAATACTATCGATACTTGTGTCGCTAAAGACGTATTGTCAGTAGATGAAGAAAATATTTGTAAACTCGCAACAGAGGCTACCTGTATACTTGCAACGAAGAACGTTGCTTCGTCGAAGGAAGCGCCGACGGAAGCGTTGACATCAGAGAGCAATTGTGCAGAGGAAAAGATCAGCAAACCGACGTCGATAAAGGTAAGGATCGTAAGCTGAAACTGAACATCAAAGAATAGGGATTAGGAAATCAAACTGAACAAGAAAGATTCTGCATATATATTACTCAAAAAATTAAACAAAATTTCCTATCGTCCTTCACTCATATATTGTTCGATGTACTAATTTATCCATTTGGAATTTAAATTCGACAGACGAGGATCTCTGATCCTCCTCCATTTCGAGCAAGATACACGTATGTAATAGCGTTTCTGTTTTTTGTTCCAGAAGAGAAGAAGGAAATGAAACCACACACACAAGGCATCGGCGCAATTTCGTTCCTTGCCGCGTAAACCGGATGTGACATAGAGGCATGAAGATTGTATAGCTGAAAAACCAATCAAAACTAGATCTTTCCTTGTTTCGTAATAGAACATCCAGCTCTGTAGTGAGAGACGGGACGCGGGGACACGAAAACATTTAAAGACTTTATTAGGGATTTTTCACGCTCTGCACATGTGCATAAAAATATTTAAAGATTCCTACATTAAATCGATGTCATTTACACATCACTAGTCTTCGAGTGCATACACATTGAATACGCCCGATCCTATTCCCATTAAAAAAATGGAGCGGTTTCCGTCGTTTCGCTCGTTCCTATCGTTCCTCCTACGAGGTTCATTAATCCGCCCGAATGCACGTCGGTCGAGATTTTTGTAACTTTTATTAGTCATTACTCATACAGGTATCACGCACGCGCCGATGTTACAAGAAAAAAAAAAAAAAAAAAGACGGAGAAAGTTCAATTATTGCCAAGCGATAAATTGCTAAATCACTCGCCCAGATTATACATAAATGCGAAAGGATTAATAAAATATAAGAAACCTCTTGTCTCTTTTGTGTACGCGCGCGAATGTGACAATTGTTTTATTTACACACGATACAGAGCCGCGATGAAGATTTCTATGAAATTCACTCCTTTGGGTACGTTAACGTGTAGATATTTTATATATATATAAACACTTCTTTTATGTAAATATAAAAGAAAGATCCAACGTAATTATATCTTTTGTGAGTAATTGAAGGAAATAAAGAGATGCGAGTTCTTGTACGAAACGTCCTAACAAAAGACTCAATCAGGTTTTCTCACGAGCAACTTCTGTATATTCATTTTTATAAAACATTTTTGAACATTTTTGGTAAGTCATTTCTCCTCGACAACATTCTGAATTACGTAACGAAGGCTGTCCCATTTTTCTCTCTCACGCCTTATCATATCGATTAATCGGCAGACGGCACTTTTTCCGGCTTATATCCTGCGAAGATTGACCAACCGACCGAAATCGCACAGGAACACTGTGTTGCTATGAGCAGCGAAGTTTACTCAGTCTCTAAACCTTGACCTACTGTCGGCCATCACGTGGTCAAGTGCATTATAGTAACTTCAACGAACGACACAACCGGATGAAAGTGCATGCTGCATCCGACGAAACCTGCCTCTCGCCTTGAAGAAGGATCTTCCGCCAACGCGTAAATCTCACGCCACGCGAATCTCCGATGATGCGTTCAGTTTTCTCGCGATCAAGCACCTCTTTCCAAGCTCCTCCTCTTCCTCCTCCTCCTCCTCCTCCTCCTCCTCCTCCGCGGTCAGTGCGTGAGACGCGCGATTTCGTCGGAAAATCAGCGCAACGAAGTGCATTATGTCATAGATTGCAACCGACCGAATAGTTTCTGCTTATTAGATCTACTGTTGGCAACTTGAAAACGTGAGACCGATAAAATCTAACTGAATCCAATTATATTTTGCTTTCCGATTTATTACATCGCTTGATCTAACTAACACTTTCATGCGGCCGAAACAAAAGCTTTTCCACTTTTTACTTTGCGCTAACGTTGAATATGACTCTGATCTTATCTTCGCGCATTAAAAGTATCTTTTTTTATTTAAAAGCAAGGGGGATTTATTCATCCATTTTTTTTACCTTGAGGTGTAAAGGCGCATTTGAAATCAATCGGTAGTTTTTACATCCGCAGAAGAACGTGGCTGACGCCTAAACAAGATTTCCCGAATGAAAAGTTCAATCAGCGCGCGATCGATTTGGCCGTCTTTGAATGGACGCACGTCAGTCCCGTTATCGTTTCGTCCGAGTGGGTCACCGGCACCTTGCCAGGATTTAACTCCGTGCTGCGCGTGCATCGGACCTGTTCCGTGAACGGGCCGTTCTCGGTGAGGCCCAGGTGGGGCATACAGGGACGGCTTATTCTCACCCAGTGGGTCTCCCCTTACTTCGCACCCAATCTCTCAAAGGAAAATCCAAACTCGATCAACGAGGGTTCAAGACACTCGGACGCGTCCTCTTGGACTCAGTCAATTCGTGAGATCTCTCCTTTTCGCAAATTTAAGTTGGCTAGTTTTCTTGAGAGTTCGCGCCGATGTGGCTCTCTGGAGCTGTGCATCAAGAAATTATCACAGACGATTTCTCAAGCAAGTCCGAAGAATTGTATTATCGAGTTACCGAGCACGTGAAATGCACAAAATCCACGTTTCGTTTCGGCATTTCATAGTCGATCGGCAAAGTGGCAGGTACGTAAGCAACAACAGCGCGTAAGACATCACGTGGAAGGAGAACGTGCGTAAGGCCCCGATCCGCAAGCAGCCCTGGGGAACCAGATGAAGTCTGAAAGTGCCCCGCGTGCTCACCTTCGCCGAGCATGTCCATGCGCTATTAGTATCCTCGAGATCGTGTAACTTGTCGCACGTTTTCCCGTCGACCATCGTCGATCGCTCGCAACCAGGACCGGTCGGTTTGCCAACAAGTTCTGCTCGCGTGGTCCCTTCGATTCATCGAGCTCGCTGCTCACTCGATCGGTCGCTGCTGCGAGAACCGGTGGCTATCAGGGTCGCTTCACGAGGATCATTTCTCTCTTTGTCGAGTCCTTCGCGGCGAGCAAAACTGGATCGGCGACGATGAAGATCGCCACCACATTGTTCCTCTTCGTGGTCGTCGGTGAGTGACTCGTCTCGTGGCCGAGAGTGACGTGGCTGACGGCTCATTTAGCAACAGTCTTATCACGAGAGCGCTCCGGTATTTTGGTGGAAAATATACGAAGATGAAACGCACGCCAGAGTAAAGTTCTCGGTCGAACTCGGTTGAATTGTGAGGAAACTTGAAGTCGATGTTCCTCAGCGACGTAAAACTTTGTTTCCACCTCTATATTGTGAGATATTTCGATCGTCTTATCATAATTTTAGAACAACCGCGAATTAATTTAAGTCATTAAAGTGCCATACAAATCTTCAAGTTTCCTCATCGGAAATTTCACCAAACTAATAAATCCGTTTTCTTAGCTACGTCACTTCTTGCCGCGAAGAGACATGAAGAGACGAAAACGCACAGCTGACGATAGATATCGGTGTGCAGAAGCGCGATGTGAAAATCGCCTTTGTCACATCGGTATCTGCGTTGGCGAAGCGTCTTCACTTTGACTACATTTTTGGGGGTGCAGTTCGCGTCGATCGAGCGATTGAGAATGTGCGATCGCGAAATCCGCTTCGAGTATCAATAGTCGTTTGTTACATCAACGCGAGATATGCTGACATTGACTGGATATCTATACATCAAGTTTTAATCAGGTTTTAATATTAACATGAAAAATGAGACCTTGTACCCTTGCATAATAGTGCATACGCGATAAAACGTTGTTCAATCGTTCGATACGATAGGAGAATGTAGATCTTCATTAAATATGCCCCTGATATGTATAAATCGGTTTTCAAACCCGACGCGAGCACGCATGACTGAGTCGTAACGGCCATTATTCATTCTTCTTTTTCCTTTTTTTTCTTTTGCTCAAACGACGCTGTAAAAATGAGATATATATATATATATATATAGACTACATTTGCGTACGGTTGCCATTTACAGGTTCTGTACATTTGTGATTGTTTATATAAATTTAAGCACCGCGCTCGTGCGTTTCTCTTTCCGGCAATCTGTCTCACTCGCGCTGCTAGAAACACAAGTCTACAATCATCTAGAAATTTACGCACGAACTTGGAATATTACCCAACTGAGAATATTACTCAATTCTTGCTAAATTACTTCGCTCTTGGTGTCTGCGTGCACCGTTAAACAAACGCTGCCGAGCGAGAAAGAGATAGAGAGAGAGAGAGAGAGAGAGAGAGAGAGACCGCGCGCGCGCGTTAAGGTCGCGTTTGGAAACCGATTTCCCGTTCGAAAAAGCCGTCGACTTTTCTTACTGGGCGATTGCAGGTTGCTGGGCCTTTCTCTCGTTTTGTTATTCTCTCTTTTCGTTTCATACACACACACACACACACACACATACACACAGTACTGCGCCTTGTATGAATCGCATAATTTTATTCTGTGCTATTGACTCCGATGTCTCTCTACATCCTCGACTGACTCGCTGCACTTATTCTCACGCTGCTCCCCTCGATCGATTAATTCCTCGGCGATACTTCTTTCTTACTGTACTAATAGCCTCGTTCCTCGCCGGGCGGGGAAATCTCTCGCTGTCGGGCGACAGCGTTTTGTGTAAATATGTGGGTCTCCGTGTCTTGTTGCCGACGTGTCTTGCGCGGCGCGCGTGCGGCCACATGCCCCGCGGAAAGTTCGCGTTATACTTACGTGCGCGCGTGCCACGCGTGCAAGAAGGAGGAGAGAAATAATTTTCCGTAATTTCACGGTGCTGTTCGGAAGAATGATCTGAGCGTGACTGCGATGTGCGGTTACGCATTGTGAAGAGCAGCCGCGCTTTCTTGCCGGCCGATACCGCGGTGCATCGCACTCACTCCGCGCCGCTGTCAAGATCGCCGAACGGATCTTGATGATATTAATTCACCGTTGCGAGGGAACTTTCCTCCTTTTTCGAGAGATTTTCAAGCGGGAAGAATGCGACGGTCGATCACGAGCGAGGAATTTCCGGGGGAAAGTATTTCTTTGGAGAACGCGCGCTAGGTCGCGCGAACGAGACGAATTCTCGGCGAATATCACACGAGTGGGCAGCGCTCGGCTTGTTCGTAAAAAGGGATGCAACGATAAGTCGATAATATCGAAATATCGATATATCGAGAGGCAAATATCCGAATATTTATCGATATTCTTTGGTCTCCGATAAAATCGACATATCGATATGAATTTTACTGACTTTCGTATTTTTCAGAGTTACAGCTCTGGGGACTTATTACGGTTCTATGACCGGGATGAAAATTACAAAAGTGAGTGAATTCACACTAGAATATATATTATGTAATTGCTCGATGTCTAGTAAATTCGCTCACTTTTATCATTTCCACCTCAATCGTTGAACCGTAATAGATCTCCTGCTCCATATATGTGGTGATCTCCGGCAAACGACTGCGGTTCATTATATATTTTCTAATAAGAATACGACAATAAATTATATGAAGATAAAAATTTTTAAAAGATCTTTTCAAATTTTTCGTGCATACCCTTTATATGCATACCCCTATGTGTATACATTTTTCTATATAAATATCGATATAAATATCGATATTTTTCAAAATTATCGATATTATCGTTATCGATGGTTCTGAGTGACGATAATATCGTTATCGATATTTTGAGAAATCGTTGCAACCCTATTCATAACACAACTGGCAGTTTGAGAGGTATCTGTAAATAATAATAACGTTAACAGCGCGACAGTCTCTGTACAATATCCTCGGGGAGTTTTGTAAAAAGTACGCGTGTGTAAGATAAAGACGAATACGCATAATCTCTCTCATGCAGTTTTTGCCCAAGCCGTAAAATAGAACGGAAGTAATCGAGACCACACAATCGATGTATATATTACATATCTAACAAGTGTACATAATGTAAATAATGATAACAATTCTATGGTCATCCGTGAAGTAGCCTCTTCTCATCGATTAACCGTTTCACGATCTGTTTCACGATGCATTGCGAGAAAACGTTGCGCAGACCAACGTACGTTTTACGACTGACTGTATCGTCATTCGATGAGAAACAAGCAACAAATCGCAGTCTGAGAACTTTCACGTCAGCGTACTATCGGTGATTATTGTAAAAAAATGAAATATTCGATTCAGACATTTTTACAGAATTTGCCCGACATTCAATTTGTAGCAATCTTTACACATTTGCTTCGCGCGTAAATACAATTATCTCGCTCTTGGCTTGAGTGTTATTGAAATTATCCAGGGAAGTTGATAAGTTCCTCAGCGTCGTCGCTGGGAAAAATCTGATCATTGTACGACTTGATATCCCAAAGTAGCATTAAATGTTTCGAAAGAAGTTCACATAACGAAACTTGCCTTACGCGATGCTTTGCGCATAACAAAACGCATAACCCGCGGTCGATGGGTCGAGAATCGCCGGGCTTGTGCATCCAAGTATTGTCATTGACTTGCTCAGTGATGCAGGATAGAAAGTGCGAAAATATCGGATACGAGCACGCGCATCGCGGAATGTAGAATGGAAAAAATTGGAGCAGCGCGTCCGCGTCGAGACGAAAGTACATAATTTCAATCGCTGCGCGGACGAACGCGATTGAAAGCGATCGCAGAGAGAAAGGGATCGACGCCGACTACACTTTTTTACAACTGTAATCGCATATCGTCGATCGTTCTTGAGAAGAGCAACAAGGAGACAGAGAAAGAAAAAAAGAGACGGACCCGTCTACCGTCAAGACACCAGCGTCGTTACGTGTAAATCTCCTTCTTCCACGTAATACAAAGTGAACCTTACATTAGATGTGACGTAACGCACGATTAAAAGCGCGCGAGGACATTCATGGCGACTGTCAGGTGAAGCGATTTTATCAGACATATATCAAAACCGATGTCAGGATGTCAGGACGAGTCGAGAAGGAAGACTACGAATTTTGCCATTCCGACGAGTTTAAGGATAGCTGAAGATCACACGATTTTCGTCCATTGCAAAACGCGCTGCGGCCTTTTTGCCGCTGGCTATCCGTATTTAACAGCGGCAGTCAGCAGTTATTGTTCGCCGAGAGGAACATTGCTCCCTCGAGAGGTCCCTCGTATGCGTTGAATACGTTTATCTAAGATACCGGAGTCGTTATGAAATTAGCGACGTTCACCCAAAAAAGTATTCTATTTGAAAAAGTGATTTTTCTCATAGTCTTATATTCTAAACGAAATCTTTTACAGAAAAAGGACTCCTCTTTCGATAAAGCGATTAAAGCGAACCATTCGTCTAAAATTTATTAGACGACTTTAGATATTATTTTAATTATTCTTCTCTTATTTCAAGAGAGTTTCCTCTTATATCAATTAATTTTCCTCTTATATGAAGAGGAATATGTTGATTTAGATGTCGGCTTCTTTTGTTCAGTCATGCTCTACCTCCAAATATGAACGAAAAAATAACTATATACTCATGGATGGAGAATATTTGGAACGTTTTTTAAAAGAGGTATGTGTGTTGCTGTAACATATAACGAAGACAATTTACCCATATTTGATCAAATACAGTTTATAATCTGTTGCAAGAAATTAAATAATATATTCTTTCTTTTAACTATGTTTCATACAATTGGTTATAATGAGCTCCTTGTAGCTATGAAGTCTATAACAAAATTGATCGGACATTTATTTGTTATGATGATCTTATGTCATTCGTGCCTACTTATTGTAGAACTAGAGCCAAAAGTTTATCCATATATACATTATTCTTTGCTATATACTATAATAATTATTTTCAAATTAACTAATATAATCAGTAAGAATAAAGTACAGTAAGAATAAATAATAATCTTCCTAAAAAAAATCCTTAAATAATCTGAGTATAAAAGGAAATTTATATTAAAATCAAGATTTGCATTATACATATAATCTCGTATAATCTCTCTAACTTTAAGAGTAATTTTAAAAATGTGTTTATAATATTTTCCTGTTAATCTTAGAGGAATCCTCTTGAGGCCATATATAAGAATAAAATCCTCTAAAATTTAAATGATTGCGCTTGTTCTGAAATTCTTTTTTTTTCTTGGTGTTCCAGTTCAACATGTTTCTACGATCAATCGGTGTTCGTTTCTTCTCTATTCATACGCAGCCGAACTTTCATTAGGAACCCATGAAGCGGCCCGCGCCGCGAAAATAGGAGAAAGTTTTACGAATGATTTCGGTGGTCGGCTATATCCCGTCGAATTTAGGTTTCCTCGAAAGGATAGCCTCGATCGTTTCTGCCAATAATTCTTGCGCAAAATTCGTTGAACCTGTTTCGAGAGAATTAGGCCACGGTGTCTATGTAAATGTTTCATCTCTACACGCACGCTTTCTATTTAACGGCATCCAACAATGTCATACGCGAGATTTGCACTTCGGACACGCGCATTCGTTGTATCTCTCCTTTTCAAGCTCGGCCTTCCCACCTTCGGTATCGGAAAAAAGAGATTTAGCAAAGAAGAAGTCAGATAACGTGCCCGCGATTTATCTCGCGTCGCGAAGCAGCGTGCCTTCACACGCGTGATAAAAAGACAATAAAAAGCGCAGTTATTCCGAAGGATCGAATGTTCCACTTTCCTCCGATAGATCAGCGGTTTTGCCTTGATCAGCGATTAGCCACCGCCGGCGATAGATTGCCGTGTACACTCGGCTAAAGTCGAGGACGTTCAGCTTGACCGTCGAGGATTGCCGGTGTCGCTTTCTAGACGTCGATGATTTTCCTCCCATTCCGTTACCCGTGAACCGTTTTGATAACGGAGCGAGGACAATGGGGTAACAATGTCGGTCGACGGCGACGGCGGCGGCGGCGGCAGTCAAGGTGAAGGTCAGTCGCGGGAAAGTATCTTACGGTTCGCTCGTCTGCGACCATTATTATGTCGTTCGGCAGCGAGGATCCCGTTTAAAGTGAGAAAAGTGAACTTTGCCGTCGCTCGTAGGACTCTATGTAACTGCGCAGAATTGTGTCGTGACTGGGTTACATCAGGCACCTCAGTCAGAAGAGCGGGACAGTGAAAGTATAGGCCGGAATCTGCACACCGGCCACAGTCATCTCGTTCCCATTTTGACTCATCTATGAAAATAACGCGCGAATGGGCCGGTCTGTTGGAAATACCAGTCATCTAATTAAAACGTTTCTTAAAACAGCGCCGAAAGAGCGCAATTTGTCTCGCTGACATTTCTTCATCCGCTACAGGCTAAAAGCGTGCAGACTGTCCGATCTCTCTGGAATATCGATGATGTTGCGAACGTGCGCTGTTATTCCGGAATAAATTTGGACGAGAAGAGAAAATGTCGGAGCGAAGTTTTATTTGTTCGGACAAGAGCGTAGTGCAGCACAATATTCTTCTTCACGTCGGATCTCCCAAATCCCCCGGGATAATTATCTCTCGTCGCCTCTCATTATCGCGATGTACGAACGTATAAACGTAAACGAGCGACTCGACCGAGCGCGCGGCCAAGCGTTACGTCCAATAGAACGACCGGATATTTATAAGTAGCGACCAATTTACGTGTCACGGTGAAATTCTGCCGGTTCGATTTCTTTCGCTTTTCACCGTCGTGAGTGACGCACACGCGATGCGTCATTACCGGCGACGTTTTGGAAGAGGATAAAAAAGAAGGAGAATCCGGGATTCGCCCACCGGGAAGCGAACCGGAACGACAAAATTTCTACCCTCAGGTAATCTCCCGCATTATGAAACGCCGCTCGTCCCGCGGGGTTTTGTGTGCCACAACAATGCGACACACGATTGTATAATGAATCTGGAGCGAGAAGAGAACCGATCGCGTTTCGGTCGCCGTCCGTCCACCTCTCTTTCTCTCTCTCTCTCTCTCTCTCTCTCTCTCTCTTTGGCCGCGCAATATTCGTGGTAATGACAAAGTTCGTCAGCGGAGAACGAAACAGTATTAATAATCCGTCCCCGCTGTAATTATTAATCTCATTTGCCCGCTATACGGCAATTTGTGCCCTCCAGCGCGTACGCCGTCTGCATAATTCCTCTTTCGCGGAGTTTTATTAATCCCTATCCGGTGGCCGGGCTAATTGGGAAGGGAGAGGAACGATATCTCGACTGTCGACCCTCTCTGTGCAGCCCGCGAGTATGATTTATGGACGGTTAATTATTTTTTCCGCGATATTCCTTCCTTTTTTTCACAATTAGCCGATTCAGTCGCGAGGACACGCGGTGCGTATCGCGGCTTTCACGGCGAAAACCGAGCGGTGATTTACAAGTAGGCGCGATTAATGGTTATTGGAGATTTCTCCCGGAGATCCGCCGGTTAAATGTCACAGAAAGAGCCAAGGGGAGCTTTCAGCATTTCGGCAAGGAAGCACTCGCGGCCGCACGGTAGCCGCGCAACGCTTCGCGCTCGGTCAACGACAGGGCGTTTAGTCAGCCTTCAAGTGGGTCACTAGGCTATGGCCCGTCGGCACGCCTCGGATCCGGCGAACGTTCCTTCAACAAATCCCAGAAGTCCCGGTTCGCGAAGTTTGGAACAGCCATTCGTACAAGCGGTACCGATTTCATTCGCGTGATTAATGCGCATTGATTGTTTCGTCGCAATCGTGCCGAGCGCGCCCACGTAACGCGCAACATATAATAAAATATTCAATCGGTAAGAGAGTCGGGTGTAGATAAGATGGAGAAAAGCATAACTAAAGCGGTTATATATTTTATTAGTGTGCCCGCGACTTGACACACGGTTGCTGAGAAGCTTGCCGTCGATGCGTGTCGCGATTATGGTGGGAATAAATTATTAGAGAGGGCAGTCGTAGAAACCGCAGCTAGCAAGCTGGAGAACCACACAGCCTATTTGATAGGCGATTTAACGACATTTGGCCTACAAGCGTTTATTGCTACTTTGCCTAGACAAAGAGAAAACGCTTGGACATAAACCGCTATTATTTCCTCGTCATCGACGACAACGGAGTTACTCATCTTTGAACTCTCGCTGTCGGCCAATCTTCGTGGAAGGAGGTTGGAAAGATTCCATTAATATAAGTGCTCGACCTGCTCGTGTCCCTCACTTGAGGTTTGCATCGCGAGGATCATGAACGTCTGCCTGATAAGATATGCCCGATGATTGGCAATTTATTCCGCGCAATTGAATGAAACGAAAGGTGATTTATTAAGTTATAATAGAAAGTATCTGTCTTCGGGATGTATTACAAGTTAATCAGAAGCTGTCGACGCAAGTCGATCGCATTCGATTACGACAGCCAAAAAAAAATAATTGCAGAACGAGCGGAATCATTTAAATTTTGGAGGATTTTATTCTTATATATGGCCTTAAGAGAGTTCCTCTAAGATTAACAAAAAAATATTATAAACACATCATTCTTAAAGTTAGAGGGATTATATATTACATGTACAATGCAAATCTTATTGATATTAATATAAATTTCCTCTTGTACATAGATTATTTAATCTTTTTTCAAGAGGATATTATTTATTCTTAATGCACTTTATTTTTACTGGTTATACTAGTTAATTTGAAAAAATTATTATAATATACAGCGAAAAGTAATATATATATATATATATATATGTATATAGATGTATTTCTGGCTCCAGTTCTACAATAAGTAGGGACGAATGACATAAGATCATTATAACAAATAAATGTCCAATCAATTTTGTTATAGACTTCATAGCTACAAGGAGCTCATTATAACCAATTGTATGAAACATAGTTGAAAGAAAGAATATATTATTTAATTTCTTGCAAAAATTCGTGCAAGATTATAAACTGTATTTGATCCAATATAGGTAAATTGTCTTCGTTATATGTTACAACAACACATATACTTTTTTTAAAAAACGTTCCAAATATTCTGATCCATGATCCATGAGCATATAGTTATTTTTTCGTTCATGTCTGGAACATGTAGAGCATGACTGAACAAAAGAAGCCGACATTCAAATCAACATATCCACTTCATATAAGAGAAAAATTAATTGATATAAGAGGAAGTCTTCTTAAAATAACAGAGGAAAGCAGAATAATATCTAATATCTAATATCAATTTCAAATGAATGGTTCACTTTAATCGAAAAAGGAATCCTTTTTCTGCAAAAGGCTTCGTTTAGAATATGAGAATATGGGAAAAATTATTTTACAAATAGAATACTTTCTTTTTAAATAATACAAAGAAATATTTAATCGAAGGAAGATCCCTAGATTAGAAGAATCCTTGAGACCGGCAAGAGTCGACGCTAACCTTTTGTCCTCCCAATATCACGTTTATCCGCGCACGATCATGTAGCGCGAGAGTTCAATTCCCGGAGACGTGACGTCGAGCGACGAGGACGGATCAGTAGCACAGAACACGCGGTTATCAGTCGCGCTCGTTCGCGACTCACGAGTTATTCGGCTGCCCCTCGCGACCGCCAGCGAGTCGCTTTTCGAGCGAGCGCAGTTTCGGTTAACTTAACATCACTCACATTCATTATTCATTAACGCGCAGGAGCCTTGGTATCTCTCGTATTTAACCCACAGCCAGCCGGCGAGAAGGAGCAACGAGCCGAGACCGGGCGCGAATCGATGTAAGAAATGCATGGTGAGAAAAGTCGAAGAGCTTGACGGTCGTCGCATTAATAATGCGTAACACGCAGCGCTTGAGGCGAGCGATCGGTGCCGATCGGGTCATCGCGAGCCGTTGCGACCGCCTTGACGGCGCGTGTCACACGCCGTCCACTTCGGACTCGCTGGATCCAAGGAAACGATCCATGGCTCTGTTTCTTCCGGTTCTGCTTGCAGGATGTACGTGGCGAGAGGCGCTAGGCACGTGTGTGTTTCAGTCGGACTTTGGTTTCGTGCTAAACTGCGCATTCAAAAAGTCCGGCCTCTTCCGAGTGCGAAACCTCGGAGGTGTAAAGGGCTACGTCGGCCTGGGTGAGTTGAATCGTGGGAGCGATCGCGATCGCGTTCTCGTCGCGTTCGTAGGCCGATCGGTTGATCCTTACGATTCTCGACGCGATCACGGAGCGAGGAGACAATCGGCGGGTAAATCGCAAACTCTTCAATTGCCGCTGAAGTTGCCGCGGCGAGTACATTTTCCCGCGGTTAAAATCCCATTTAAGAAGTTATTCTGTGAAATGCCGGAGACAAGCCGTGGCATAGCGGCGTTTTAATCGACGAGTTGGGTAGAAAATAAATGAATACAAGTCTGAGCTACTAAATATATATCAAGTTTTCCAAAAGTAATGGACCCTCCGCCCTATCTCAGAATCTATGCGTTATAGGAAAAAATTACCCGAACAAAAGTTTTAGGGTTCGTAAAGTTCTGTTTTTTGTGACCTCAAATTTGACCTTGACCTCGACCTTGAAAGTCATTTGAAGGTCATCTTGCGTTTTTTAAATGGGAACCCCTATTTTTTATTGTACTGTTTTTTTTTACCAATTAATTTGAACAACTGTTGTCTAGAACATTTTTTTATTTGCCTATTATTTTCTGAGATATTCGGGGAAAACTTGAAAGTGCCCTGATTTTTGTTAATTTGATGATTTTGAAATTTCCAAAAGTCAGTAAGTTAACAAAAGTCAGAGCGTTATTGTAACAATATATTCTTGAGATTAAATAAAGCAAGAAAGTCTAGTACCACTTTTTCTTCCGACAAATAGTTAGCGAGATATCGTAAGTTAAATATTGAAAAAGTTATTAAGTTTTCCTCAAATATCTCAAAAAATATTAGGCAAATAAAAAAACATTTTAGACAACAGTTGTTCAAATTAATTGGTAGAAAAAAACAGTATAATAAAAAATAGAGATTTCCATTTAAAAAACGCAAGTTAACCTTCAAGTGACCTTCAGTCAGATCGAGGTCAAGGTCAAATTTGAGGTCGCAAACAAAACAGAACTTATGAACCCTAAAACTTTTGTTCGGGTCATTTTTCCCTATAATGCATAGATTCTGAGATAGGAGGGAGGGGGGTCCGTTACTTTTGGAAAACATGGTATAATTCAGATTGTTTAATTAATTGAATTTGTTAACAACCCTTCCGGCTTCCTCTGTAATTCGATACGTTTATGTAAATCTTGTGATTAATAATGATTCGACGATCCCCTCTTTCAATCGGAATGCTTTCGCCTTTGCATGCACTTCGTTAAAACTTCCTTTCCCCAAAGTATTAATTACATCGACTTGTCTGTATGACACGCGCCGAGCTAATTGCCCGTATAATTTGCTGCGAGAGGATTACGTTATGCGTTATTAAACGTACCGACTGTTCCACTCGTGAAAGATTTTTACTCGCGATTAAAACAACTCGCAACAAGTCCTCTCAGTTTCGAAAAACAAATAATGACTTTTATCACTCGAAAATTACTTAAACTAGTTCTCGCGTTCTCGTATCGTATGAACTTTGTTCGAATACACATACGCACGCACACATACACGTATGCGGACATACGTGCCTTTCGCAAGTGTATTGCAAAACGCTCTGTATATAACCGATAGCAGTGGCGAGTTTTCTAAATTATTCGTGACCTGCTTTGTATATAATTTTATGCGCAACTTTTAACATTTGCGTGAGATTCACGTCCCCGCTGATTCGTCTTTGAGATGCGCGAATGAGCATCTTCAGCGACTGATTGAGAAATAAGACGATTTGAATAACTCGAAAAAACTGCCCACACAGGCCGATACGTTATTTATATGCATGCGAGTCAATGTGTCGAAAAGCGCGAATACACGCGACGGGTCGCCGGCATGCGATTGTTGCCCAAGTATCCTTAAACGTGAAAAATGCGACAAGCGCGTGTCCGAAGAAAATAGGAGACTACGATGTCCACGATGTCATAACGACTGCGGAGCCGGACGTATGTAATTTTATTTGCCGTTTCCTATTTTCTCTAATTATTACGAATGTTATTACGAAGGAGGCGGAGGGGAAGAGGAAGAGGAAGGACATGCGATACCATTTCGCCGTGTTTCTCTCTCAACGGACAATCACGATCCATTTCTCGCGGGAAGAACCGATAGATCCCTTCGTGTTGACTGTTATTCTCTCAGATCCTTTTTAATTCCACATCCTTTTCCCTATTTTGTCGCGTTCACCTCGCATTTTTGTCGCGCCTTGCACGCGCCTTGCAAAAACCGGTATTGCGTGACCCATATAATTATTATCTATCGAGAATACGACTGTGACGAAAGGATACGGAAAAGGATGACGATGCGTAATCATTTGACCTGTCTTGCCCTCCGACTGACTCTTGCGATGTCTGTTTTTTTGTTTCCCACGTTTAAACGAGTAAGGGCGAGACGCTGATGATTTATTCATCACCTTGACTTGACACAGTCATTCACAGTCAGTGCATTCATTATCATAAAGAAACGTCTCTTCGACGAGGATGCAAATACATTTCATGTGCGAAAGCGAAAAAGTATCGGTGTTGTAAAAATGCGTAAAAGGGTGTTCGAGTGAGGCAATGTCTCTTGCGCAATATCTGTTGTCTTTGAGGCGCGCGTGACTGCTGTTTTATCGCCTTGCTTTCGCGAGAGCAATCATGTTTACGTATCGCCGCGCGCGTATTTGACAAAAATTCTGACTCGTGTAAAGACGAGCCAACAGAGATTTATAGTAACTTTCGTAAACGCGCATAAAGAGCGCTCAGTTTACGCAAAATAAATAGAAAGTCCTGAGAGCGAATTATGTTGCGTATATGTATGTGTGTACGCACATGGGTGTTAAATTATGTACAAATATAACTACAGAAGTAAAGCGTTGGGATGAAAATGGCAGGGTAAAGGTCGGTGCGTCGGAAATGAGTCTCAAGCTTGCGGTTTCTGTGGACTAACCGATCCTGCTCGCAACTATACTTTGCGTCGCGCGTCTCTGCCGACTTCCTAGAAAGCTTCTCTTCCGTTTCAAAGCTGCTTTCTTCTCCCTGTAGATTAGCGAGATTCGAGGCTTGTTTGCGCTGTGTTATCTTCATCACAAAACACTATCCGCCACCGTGCAGATAATGTAATCAATCAAGACCACATAATTTAAATCTCTCGCGCTTTCCATAGGATTCTCCGTCGGGGACGAGCTGGGCTTCAGCCAATCGCTTTCCAACTTGGAGAGTGCGAAGAGAAGGAGCGTGCAAGCGAACAGAGCCAACGGGTCCGCGTTTAATCCTTCGAATACGGTAAGCGGAAATTGAGCCAAACTCGGAAACTTCAATCGATCGCCCAGTTTTTCGCATCTAAATGAAAATTTCCTTGAATACGAATCGTGCATTTTTACACATTTACATTGTGATGTAACAGTTGCGCTTATCCCAATTAAAAGATACATATCGCGAGAATCATACGTGAAAAGTCGATTAAATAAACCCGAGCAAAAAATTGTTAGCTATCCTCATGAAGCATAAGGCCCCGATAAGGCCCGATAAGAGTAGGATGCCCTGAAAAGGGATGCCTCACTATTACCACATCAGGCCCCAATAAGGATCTTTTAGGGATGCCTTAGATTTTACGAAATAACGTTTTAACATGGAAAACTAATGTGGGCCATAGAAGGATCTTTTAAGGATGTTTTGGAAATTGTCATAGTTTAATATTAACATTTTAGTAGATACGCTCTATCTGGTTCTTTTAAAAATTTTTTAATCATCCAAGGATTTTTCTAGTATTGCCTTCGTTTTTAAATGCAGCAACTTTAATAAAGACTGTAGCAGAATTTTTATGTTTAAAGAATGTGTTATATTTTATTGCAAAGTATGCTATATTTTTAGAATAAAAAATTCTTGTCGTATACCAACAAGGTTATAAAGAAATAAAGAAATTACAGTCTAAATTTCTTGGAATGAAAAGAATGAATATTTTTATTCGAGCAATAATAAAAATATTTCCTCACAAGGACCCGATAAACCATTTGTTACACATATTATAGGACCCTTGTCTTTCTATCCCTATTAGGGTCCGATTAATGTTAGAGAAAAATAATCGGGTCCTTACCAGAGTCTTATTAATTTTTCTACTCGAGAAACGAACGAATAGAGCGATGGTTTTACTTTCGTTTGACGCGTGCGAGGCGCTTTGTTTCCCGCTTTTTCTACTTCCTTCCTTGTCGGCGCTTCCCGCGCCGATACTCATCTCAAGATATTCGCGCTCGATACTCTCGGGCCGAACGGCTTAGCGTGCATCGCTGCGTAAACGATAGCCATGCTCTAAACGACTCATGGAAAGTCCAGAAAGGGACCAGCGCGAAACTGTGAAAGCGTTCGCGCTCGTTTTTTATGGCACTGATATATCCCCTCTAGAAACCACTTTGACTGCTCATTCTTCGGTATGCAATCTAATTGCGTCGACTTTCTGTGAAGCTCCTTCGTCGCGATCTCGCTGTCGAGCGGATATGTGCGGCGCTAATAACAGTCGACGCTAATAACTGACTAAACTGATTTATAAAACGTGTCATTTCGCGCGCGCCTCGTCAGAGAAACGCGCCAGGAGATCGGCATTTTGTAACCGATATTTTAAAAGCGCCGCTTATCGCAGGATATAGTATTTTGTAATTAGACGACTTGTGCGTAGTTGACTTCTTAAGTTTCTTAGTTTCTCAAGTCAGGAGAAATCCTCATCATGAATATTTATTAATACAGCTATATAAAAATCTAGTATAGCGGGAAATGTTAGAAAGTTATATGAAAAACAAGATGTGTTGTACGCAAGACAAAATCTCCCGGGTGCACAATAAATGTCCGGAACTTTCTGTGCCGGTGCGACTTTCATACGGTCAAGGAGAAATACCGTTACAATCTACATCAGTCCGGCGATCGCGTTCGAGAATACAATGTTTGACGAGCCACCCATTTTTACTTATTACGTTTCTCCGTCGGGAAAGAAATTGCACCGTTGGCGCAAAGACGCCTGCAAGATATTGGCAAAGTATTGTCCGCGTCATCTCCGGGGGAATATCTAGGTCGACGCTCGAATAAGATGGATCGGTACTCGCGAGCGTCGCGAAAAAACACAAATTGATTGCCTATATCGGCCCTGCCGTAACTGGTGCGTGAATGTCGCTCCGGCTGCATTCACGTGCGCTGTGTTTACACGACTAGCTATGCGTCTAGCTAAATCGACGAGACGTTTAAGCGAGCAACGAGAAGGCAATCTTCGAGTACCGCGGTAATTTGAAGCCATTTCCGAAGTCAGCCATCCGTGCTCCGAAAGCTCGAAGGGTTGAAAGTTGAAGAGAGTTTCTCCTCTCGAGTGATAACCGAGTGATAACCCGTCGATTTCACAGGCGAGCAATCGCGATGACGCGCGTACGACGTCGCTGAACAACCGGTCGGTAGTGCCGCCTTTTAAGCCCTTGCCGGTCGGCGCGGCTCGTCCGATGGCGCAGCAACCTGAACGCCAGAAGCTGGTGGTGCAGCAGAACGCAACAGCCATCGGCAAACAAGGCACTTCAGCGATGCAGCCGCTGGTGCAGCAAGAAATAACAGCCCTGCGCCAACAGCAGCAACGGATGCACCAGGAGGCCAAGCTGAAGCAGCAACAGAGGATGCAGCAGGAGGCATTGGCGCTACAGGTGCTGAAGCAGCAACGACTCCAGCAGCAGGAAGCCATGAGGCAACAGCAGGTGCAGAAGCTGCAGCAACATCAGAGGCAACAGCAATTGCTCGCGCAACAGCCGCAATCCATGGTGCTGCAGAGAAAAACGGACCAAGCGAACTCGGTAATGTCTTTTTGTCTTTTCACTTTATCTCGTCAAGCTCCTCCTTACTCTGGTGTGATTAATTGCAGATTATTAAAGATTAACGTTGATATATCAAGTATCTTCTGAGGATTGCGAATTACGTTCACATAATTCTTATTAGCCAAACTATCGCATCATGAACTAAAGTAGACTTTAGAGTAGAATTCTAGACCACAAAATATGCCAGATTATGTTCTTCCATCGTAGAAGCTCGATTAGAAGCTCGATTATTATTTCAATCGATGTACTAATACGATGATTCTATAACGTGATAATTACACTTGATTACGGAATTACCTCCAATCGAATGAAATCAGCGATGATTTTTGGAACCCCTTCCACTCTCTTTTGTATTTCCAAAACTCAGTTTGTGTGTATTTCCCAGCAACCTCAAGTGATAACAGTGCCGAAGCTGCCCAATATCGTAGCCGCGATCCCGTCAGGCGGTCAGGTGGTCGAGGTCGACGCTCTTCCGTCGTCCAAGACAGCGACTAATATGGCCTCATTGAACGGTGCTTTGCCGCCTTTCGTCGCAATGCCACCGTCATCGGCAAAAATCACGGACAGAATCAGCAACAGTGGCACTTTGCTGCAAGACTCTGACAACGAGGTATCGAAAGATGACTACAGCCAGGTACAGGTGATTACATTGACCTCCCTCACTCACTCAGTCTCACTCTCTCGTGATTCTATCTTTTTAATAAATTATCCTTCCTTTTACTTGAATCTTAACAACATAATACAGGGTCTGCCAAAAGTTCCGGAACGGCTAATTATTTCAAAAAATAATGATTATTTAAAACAATATTTGAAACAAAAGGGCTTTAAAAAGGCTATCAGATATTGATAATTGTTTGACCTTGGAATGACCTTGAGGAACGTTATCAAGGTCGATATAAAAATCTTAAACATAAACTCCAATTTTTTATTACACTGTCTTTTTCCACCAATTTATTTCAACAACTTTTGTCTGAAACATTTTTTTATTTGCCTAATATTTTTTGAGATACTTAAGGATAACTTGGTAACTTTTTCAATATTTAACTTACGATATCTCGCTAACTGTTTGTCGGGATAAAAAATAGTATTAGACTTTTCTATTTTATTTGATCTCAAGAATATATTGATAAAATAATGCTCTATTTTTTATTAATTTATGGATCTTTCGAAATTTCAAAATCATCAAATTAACAAAAGTCAGGGCACTATTGTAACAATATATTCTTGAGACCATGTAGAATAGAAAAGTCTAGTACCATTTTTTATCCCGACAAACAGTTAGCGAGATATCGTAAGTTAAATATTGAAAAAGTTACCAAGTTATCCTTGAATATCTCAAAAAATATTAAGCAAATAAAAAAATATTCCAGACAAAAGTTGTTCAAATTAATTAATGGAATGGAAAAAGATAGTGTAATAAAAAATTGGTTTACATTTAAGATTTTTATGTCGACCTTGATAACGTTTCTCAAGATCATTCCAAGGTCAAACAATTATCAATATCTGATAGCTTTTTTTAAGCCCTACAACTTTTGTTTCAAACATTGTCTTAAACAATCATTATTTTTTGAAATAATTAGCTGTTCCGGAACTTTTGGCAGACCCTGTATGTACACGGTACATACTCGAAAACTCTAAAATGTTTTGCTCGAATAACCAAATATTATTCGCGAGCAAATTCCGATAATGCATTATGCTCATTTGTTAGTTATTAATTGTTATTTTTTCTCGCGCAGCTACCTCTGCCAAGCGACGAAATGGCTGCTTCGGTGAATGAGATGACTCTACTTTCGCTGCAGCCTGTATCTGAAAACGGCCAATCGTTACCTTTTCAGTACAACGATAAACGACAGACCATCAATATACCCTCTTTGGCTCCCATCCAAGGTATGGAAACTTCCTTGAAGACCCTCGCTGAGGCGAGTAACATTACTCTAGAGGCGTTGGAGACGGCGATTCTTCTGAAACAACAGCAGATCCTCAAGAAGCAGCAAGGACCAACGACCACGACGAGCAGCACGACGACGACTACAGCGGCGCCTCTTAAAAAGTAAGATACGCCCGTTCGACTTTCGCAAGCTTGATTAATTTCCGTTTTAAACAAATTACCCAACTGCAAGGATACAGAGTATCACTTTGCACGAGATGGACGAAAATAAATGTCTCACTTTGTGCTCAGCAGATACAACTCCGGAGCTACGAAGGTGATGAACGCACCGCGAGAGTACTATCCTGTAGGATACGACAAGAACTTCGACGACAATTTTGCAAGTCGCGTCGATCTGCCCGACACGAGCTTCTATTGCGGCGACCAAAAGCACTTTCCGGGTCTTTACGCCGATGAGGACCTCGGCTGCATGGTGAACCTATTATATATGTTATTTTTGTTAATTAGATGATTTTGAAATTTCCAAAAGTCGGTAAGTTAATAAAAGTTAGGGCGCTATTATAACAATATATTCTTGAGATTAAATAGAGTAGAAAAGTCTAGTGCCACTTTTTCTTCCAACAAATAGTTAGCAAGATATCGTAAGTTAAATGTTGAAAAAATTATCAAATTTTCCTCAAATATCTCAAAAAATATTAGGCAAATAAAAAAATGTTTTAGACAAAAGTTGTTCAAATTAATTGGTAGGAAAAAAACAATATAATAAAAAATAGAGGTTCCCATTTAAAAAACGCAAGTTGACCTTCAAATGACCTTGAAGGTCATGGTCAAGGTCAAATTCAAGGTCACCATCAAGTCCGTTACTCGATTTTCTACAACTTTTGTATTTAAAGTTTTTCATGAAAACTTGATCCTGCAAAATTATCCGGGGGTTCTAGTATCTTTAAGACACCCTGTGTATATATATATATATATATATATAAACACTCCGTAAATAATATTACGAAACCTGAAGAATATCGAGAAATAATAATTCGCGAAAAATTCGTTCAACTAATTGAATCAGAGGAAATTTCGATGCATACGCCTTTAGATAAAAATATTTGCAAAATAGTTGCCAATAATTGCAAAATATTTAAACACGTATGTTGTACAAGTTTGGAAAATTCTCTCGATGTAAAAATCTCAAAGTCATCCAAGATATGATTAGAAAAGTTTAAAGAAGAACGAAACAAAATAATTCGGCGATCAGAGTAATTTATAACATCTCGTGAGTTTTCAGGTGTTCCACGTTTGTGCACTGACGGACGACGGTCTGATCATGAAGAGCTTCTTGTGCCCCGAGTCAACCCTGTTCGACCAAACGATCCTCAAGTGCAACTGGTGGTTCTACGTGGACTGCAAAGCCTCGAAGAGCTTGTACGACAGTAATATACCCATCAGCAAGAGCTATCAGCTGATGAAGGCCTTGGCGTTCTTCTCGGCGTACAAAAATCACGACAACGGTACAAGCAACGCGGACGAAGCGAGCGAAGAGGACAGTTCATGAAGCGAGCGAAATCAAATCAAAGATTTGTTAGAATCTAGACGTTCGGGGACTGTCTCGTCTCCAAAATGCAACGTCTCATCTAGTTTGAAGCTCCTGTCGCGCGCGACGAGAGGCTGTATATATATATAATTTATTTTACTCGCAGGCGATAGTAAGAGTAGACCTTTAATTTAGAAACATTGTAAATAGTACAAATTCTGGTTCGTCTGGTTGTTGAATAATAACTTGTAACATTTTCGCGTAAAATCCTCTTCCTCTCCCTTTCGGTCTCCCATCGTTGAGATTGGCGCGAAGCGACGAGAAAGAGATGAAGGTGCAATGGGTGTAAGTAGGCGAAACGGGGGGGGAGTGTGAAAAAGCGTTCAACGTTTATTAATGCTCGGTATACAGTTTACAGTTATGTGAGCTCGGACCCAAATGCTGTGTGTCGAATCAATCGCGCGATCAATCGCGCGATCAGTCTCTTCATTAAATTTCTTTTCCTCGATTCAATATCAGACGGTGTCGACGTGTTCGCGGGCCTCGTATGAAATTACACATTGCGTCATGCATATACCTACACCTCTACACACGTAGAATGCGTACGTGAAGAAACGGAGGAGAGAGATCCATTATGTATAATATTAAGTCGTGAGGAATTATATCTGTAATTGTATATAAATGTGTGTGTATGTGTGTGTGAACGGCGAGGAGTCGACTTGTGATCATCGGCGGTATTAATCGGAGGTACTCTACGGCAGGCGGGTTCTTGCGTCAAGGTCATAGGGTGAGCATCTCATCGCCGCTGTGCTTCTACTCCAGATCGTGCTTAGCGCGAGAGCAGGAGAGGCAGCAGGACTCCTGATAAAATTGATAAGAGCAGAGGCGAGCCTGCGTGACTAAGTGGCAGTTGGGTACCTTGTCCTTGCAGAGTGGATTGTTCTCAACACCTGAAACGTACGCTGCGATGCAGAAGATGCAGGACCACTGTTTATCGCGTCGCATCCACGTTGTTGCAGAAGGTTAACACATGACAGCGATGAAGTGTGTATTTGTTAAACTACCCGCGTCCATGGAATTTTACAAAGTCCCGCTTTACCGTTCGATATTTCGGGCTCGTCTTGGATCTGCAGCACCCTGTGAGAGCTCTCCGGCGCGCGCAGGTCGTCCTTGCAGGGATAGTCGTTGCATACCCTCCGCGGTAGCGGACGGTCTTCCTCTCGGCAGTGAACCTGATGAGACTCCGGCAACTGGCCGTCCGGATTCAGACACCGGACCTCGCGCTTCTGCACACCCTTGCCGCAGGATCGCGAACACTGCGAGTCATAGTTTCGTTAAACGTCCTCCTTGCTGCCTCATTTGCTCTCAGACGGATGAGGCTTACCGACGTCCAGTCCGACACGAACCAAGCGGACACGCAAGGACGCTCCCTGCACGGCTTCTTGGTTTCCGGCTTGTTCGCGGGGCAGTTCATGTCCAGGACGACGCGCAGAGAACCACGGAGAGTCGTCACGCAAACCACATCTCTGATTTGTTCGCCCAAATCGCAGCTGGAGGAGCACTGAGGAACGTGAAAGCATATTTCTTTCTTAATATCGGCGAAGCCTCGTTTGCAAAGCGCCGCGCCGGCTTGCAGAGCTTGCAGAACATTGTAACTTTTATACGCAAAATTATTCTTTTATGAGCTCGTAGACGATCAGCTGCTCAAGACCGACCTCCGTCCAAGGTCCCGTGAACCATTGACCGCTGCACGTCCTGTTGCTGGAGCAATCCCTGGAGGTCTCAGGTCGACTCGACTCGTCGCAACGCTCCTCGTCCGTGCTTGTCTCGCACAAAACTCTTCTAGTCTGAACCCCAACTCCGCATTCCGCCGAGCACTGAAATCATGAATCCTCCCTGTTGGTTGCCGGCGGCAATAAAGTCATCGTGGTCCAATTGATACTTAACATAACGTTTGTGGTCGTCTGTGATGTTGTTGCAAGATATTTGTACATGTTAACGATGGTATTGATAGAAAGCACCACATTTGTCTGTTGCGCGTTTGAACTTGAAGGGAAGCTAGTAGCAGAGTCGCGTCTACCTGGTCAGACCACTCGGTGAACAACCACTGCGGGCTCTGCAGCTTCGCGGAGACGATGTTCAATGGCGTCGACTTCACCAGACACGGCCCCAAGTCGCAGCTTTCGTAGGCTTCAGGTTTCTCCGAGAGCTCGCAGGGTGCGCCTAGTGTGACGCAAGTCACGATCCTCGACCTTCTTCCCACGCCGCAGGACGCGGAGCACTTTGGAAGACGGGAGACATAACGAAATGTCACTCGAAGCGTTTTCGCACTTTTATCATTTAGACTATTGTTCACGGCACATAATCCGTGTGCCGGACGAAACACGCCTTTAAATTATCACGTCTGCTTCCCCAACACCCGCGCGTTTTATTAGACATCGAAACTCGCGCGTGCAGCAGACGCCGGTTACTTATGTCGCTTTCGCAATGCAGGATAAACGGCCAGGATAAACGTACAAATCGTTTCGTTCCGCCGAGACTGCGTACACTGTAAACTGAAGTGTGTTGCAATAACAAAGCTTGAAGCGTGTTAAAGTATGTCTCCACTTTAGACGTACAAAATCAGCAAATTAAATTAACACATATATGTATGTTAAAAGAAGATATTTATGTATAATCGTTTGTATGTGTGTTAATGGTTAGGTGTATTAAAATAACACACTTTCAGTGTGTTATGAAAGTATATTAAAATAATACATCTCAAATGTGTTATGAAGGAATATCAAAATAACATACCTCAAGTGTGTTATGAGGGTGAATTGAGCAACATTGCAAATCCAAGTGTGTTATTTTGAAATGCACAAGCGTGTAAATGAATGTGAATCTTTTTTACACATTTCTTCCATCGTAAGTCACGCGTTATCTAACATATTACGTTTAAACATATAATAATGAATAACATATAATTAATGATTTAGTCTGTAATAATATGAAAGCAAGTTATTATTACATTAATTTGTTCAATAGATGCGATACTTTTTTGAAGGCGAGTAATCGGCGGTGTTTCGTAATCGTCGATTTGTGTTTTTCTCACATGTATTTTTTTTTAATACACATATGTGTGTTCATTTAAACGTGTGTTAACAAAATTAGTGTGTTATCATGAATACATTACTAGTGTGTTACGCGACTTGATGTGTGATATATCATGCAAATGTGTCCTCAGTGTATTTCGATTATCATTCTGTGTCTAAATAACACACTCTACGTGTCTCACGGGATTGTTGAGGAAAAGTAACACGTTTCTGCAGTGTGTTATAAAAACATGGTGTGTTATAAAAACACACTTTTGTCACAGAAAACGAATTATTTTGACACTTAGTGCACTTAGTGCTTTAAGTTAAGGCACTTAGTGCCTTAACGCCAGCTAATGTGTCAAAATAACACACTAACACTCGATTTTAACACACATGTTCCGATGCCTAGTTTTACAGTGTAAAGTCACCTGTGACCAAACGCCCACGGTCCATCGCGGCGCCGGCGATGACGTCGGCGTCGACGTTTGCCTGGTCTCCTCGTGGCACGCCGGCATCTCGCACACCTCTCTCGTCGGCAGATCCGCCGGTTCCATGCAGGCACTGTCGGCGACCCGCATCGTCAACGACGGTTTCACCTCTTGGACACACTCGAGCTCCCGTGTGCGCACTCCCGTGCCGCAGGAAGTGGAACACTCGCTCCATGGTCCGCCGCGCCACCTTCGAGAGCGGACAGTCCCCGCGTGAGTTTTAGTGCAAAGTCCGCTGGTCGAGCGGTGACTCAGATGGTTAATCGTGTGAAATCGCCCACGATCTGAGAGAATCGAAAATCATGGGACATTGTTTCTCGGCGAAGCCCTCGCGGCGATTACCTCGCGGTCAAAGTCTGGCTAGGTACGAACCGCTTCCACTGCGTGTATTTAGTTCCTAGCCATCGCGAGCGAGCAATCGCAACTTGGCAGGATCCAAGCAGGATAGTCTTGAGATCTCGTCATTTTTATATCACTTAGCAACATCGTGAAACTTTAACCCTTTGCTGCATAGTGGTCCTCCCAGAGTGCCATTCAAGTTTGTTTTCCCAATAATTTAAATTTTTCACATATTTCTTCAGCATATTTGGTACCGTTAGGCTACTAAATCTGTTTCTCTAACTAATATGTCAACTTTTAGAGTTATTTCAAATAAATAATTTGTTATTAATAAACATATACTGAACAAAACTGTCGTTTTTAGAGAATAAATTTGTTTACATGAAATTTTAAGCAATAACGTATACTTCAAAATCATTATCTGCGGGTTTTCGGGGTCGCTGAATACAAATCCGGTGTGAAAAATACAAAATTCAAAATGACGGATCTCATATGACGAATATAATTGTAGAAATGAAACAATTCAATCTGAAAATGGCTATTGATTGGGTTTTCTTCTATCGTAGATATTCTATAATTGATGAATTGATGAGTGTGATTGAAGATCTTTAGCTCTGGCATTTCGAATTTTCGATAACGAATTTGTAATTCTATAGCAACCCTCGAAAGCCCTTAAATAACAAATTTCAAGCGAATTCGGCTGATTTTGAAAATTTCGCCCGCCATAGTAGATCCGCCATTTTGAATTTCGTATTTTTCATACCGAATTTGTATTCAGCGACCCGAGTAACAAGCTTCACAAATTATTATATTCATTAGAAGAAAACGGGTGCAACAATGGGTTAATTTGACTCATCTTCTGCGATATATTTCCTTGCGAGTGGAAATCGACCTACCTGAGTAGACACGGCCTGGCGTTGCACCTGAGACGAACCTCCCGTGGCTTCTCCAGCGCGTGGCACCTCTTCTCCGGTACCTGCTGCTGCGTGTGCTCTTTGATGCACGCGTGCCTGAGCACCTGGACACCTTACGTAATACACAGAAGCCCTTTTCAGGCCCGCTGATTCACAATGAAATCGCTATAAAGCAACATTTTCGCAAACTAATCATCGGCTCGTTTACCTCCGCCGCAGGACTTGCTGCACTCGCTGTAACCGATCGCCCTCCAGCTGAATTTTCTTCTCCTATAACGCCGCGGCAGATACGGCGCCGCTGTTACGTCGACCAGCGCGGGTCCGTTCTCGATCCTAAAAATCGAATGTCCGCTTGACAAGGTCGAATAACGTTTACCATTTATATGTATCAGGTGTTACAGTTAATACACCGAAAATAATTAATGAGTGTTTATCGGTTGAGTATAATCTTTACCTTCTGTTTTGCAAGCCCGGCTCGACGTCTTTATTGGTAACTACAAATGAACAATATCTTTTTCTTTTAATCTAATGAGTGACAACAATGCCAATGCTTGTTCGATGACGCGAGACAATACCTGCGTTATGCGCGAGATGACTGTTGCGCTGCAGATTTGCGTTTCCGGGAATTACGTATCGATAAACGATTCCAGGGTTCGGCTCCTGATACAATACCTGCGGCATAATGGAGATAACAATAGGGAGGGAATTTTAGCCTCACATCCGGAAGTAGAAATATACAATTTAACTCCACTCCAGATACACTGCCTACGTAATTTATCTCGATGTGTCGTGGAAAATCAGCGGTGAAAGGGTTAAGTGGAACTCGGTTGAACCTATTAACGCCCACGATTGCTCGAGCACAACAATGTTCCATATCGCCATTCGTGAGCCGTTATTGTTACGATCACGTTACAACAATATTTGCCGCTTGACCGACGCGAGATACTCCGTAAATGTATAATATGTCAAAGTCGTTCTTCGCGTGCGTGGGACGCTTTTATAGATATGTGTTAATTGAATCTGTTTTTCACACAATATGCGTTGCGTGTATAAAGCAAACGAAACGTACATTTATCGCGACGTACAATGTGCTTGGAATTTACAAAGCAGTTAACCCTTTCACTGCTGAATTAACTTCCCTTGAGAAAATTATTAAAATATTTGGTAGTCCTACGTTTTTTGGGTCGCTCATTACGAATCTAAAGTCAGATTTGTGAAATTCAAAATGGCGGACTCAATATCACGATCATGATGTACAGAATTTATGAAAATTCCAATTATTATTAAATAATGACCAGGTCGTAATAAGAACATATGATTCTAGACGATGGTACTCGATCGAGCTGGAAAAGATTTATATGGGAAAATGTTCAATACTGCATATTTATGCTAACTAGAAATTAAACATTCATTTTTGAGTAAAATAATATCGATAGATAATATAGATAGCTCGATAGATAGGATAAGATGGAGATACAGAATGAAAAACTAGTAAAATAGAGCTAGAAAGTGCAAAAAAATCAAATTTCGGCCGTTTTTGTAGAAATATTTGTTTAGAAAAAAAAATCTAACCTGCAAAAAAATACTGAAAAAAATATATGTTTTCGTACAACATCAGAAGAATATTTGGTGAAAATTTCAGACCTCTACATTCAATACTTTCCGAGGAATCGATTTTTCCCTAAAAAAAGCATTTTTTTTCAACTTTGATTTGTTATAAATAATCACAAATGAATAATTGGGTATAAAAACCTATTGTTAGAGTATGTTGAATTGTTGTGTATGATTCAGTTATCTGGAAAACTCAAATCCCCGATTAGTTCTTCAAAATTATGTGATTTACAACGCAAAATTAAATCAAAAAAAGGTGGGAAGTATACTTGCATATTTATGCAAGGGTTAAATCGTGCGTTGATCCCTCGTGTAAAGCGGAAGTCAAGCTGCTTTCAGGATTATTTATAAACATTCCATCGCGTTACTCACCATAACGTCTATCGACTCCTGCAACGGACCCGCGGCGGAAAAGCTCTCCAAATTGTGAGGGCCTTGACGAAGATAGACGAACGTCGTTCCGGCCGCCTTGTATTCGCCGGACCAGTTGATATTGTAATTGCCGTTCAACAAATAGCTGCCATCCTGCAGTCTGATCGCTGGAAATTCGTCGGTTCATCGCATCGCGCACTTCTTCAGGCACAGATATCGCACGATAAATTCCCACAGTCCTGTTCTGAGACGCGTCTCTTGTCTGTTTAACGGGAGTTTCACGGAGTGCGCTGGTGATTTTCTAACGAAACCTAACGTGTGTAAGCACTCGCGCGTAAAGCAACCGGCGTCCTTTTGCATTGCGTTAGAATGTATTTTTAGCGCGCGGCGCGCGAGCCCGCTAACAAAATGTATACGCGGTTACTTTGTGAATCTTAAGAACGTTGCAAAGGACGTGTCTGAACAGAGTTGAATACGAAAACATCACGATGACCGCGTTTGCTCGCAAATGAACTACTAATGCTGCTATTCATAGAGCGGCGAGATGGTCTTCGACACGTCGATTGACACGGATCACGCCAAAGCTGGCAATCACCGCCGTTTAAGCGAGACCTCAAGCGCACAATGGCGGTCGTTTATGAGCGAGTTTACGGTCGCGCGCGATTTATGTAATCCACGTGGCACGGGCCGGTGCATCTAATTTAGCGGGACTGCGCGGGTCCCGTTCCACTTACGACGCCGCGACTGATTAGATTACGTCGCCTTGCTGGACATACCCGGCGTGATTCATGTGACGATGAAGAGAAAAAGCGTGCCGTGAGAGATTCAACTCGCGATTCTGCGAGTTGAAAACTCTCGGCGGACGTCTTCGCGCGTCACACATTTCAGATCTTTCACTTTCGCGAGAGACAAGAGAAGAAGAAATGCATATTTTCCGAGACAAGAGGACATTTTAACTCTCACGTATTTCTCACGGAGAATTTTAGTTCGTTCGATACAACGATGCGAAAAATTTCTAAGAATTGGTCGAAAATTGACGACCACATATCATATATTATGCGGTTTTTCCGTTTGATTTTTATATTCCTATTGTTTTCCTGCGAGATGCATATCTTCCGAGAAAAGAGGAAATTTTTACTCTCACGTATCGTTTTCGGAGAATTTTAGTTCGTTCGATACAACGATACGAAAAATTTTTTTAAATTGGCCAAAAATTGGCAAAAATCCAAACGTCTGTCTTATGCAATTTTTTCGTTTGATTTTTGTATTTGTGTTATTTTACTGCGAGATGTAATTTCATGCGGAGCGATTTCTTGTCCTTTCCTCACGCGTCATTTATCTCTGCTGATTAGGTGCGAATAATGGAAGGCGCGATCGTGTCGGCGGTAATGAAGGTTCCGACAGCATTGTTAACGATCGCGACTAATCACATCGTCGGCTTATCGGCGGCGCGATCGTTTCATGGGAGACGCGTCGATTACGATCTGTTGTTTGCATCCTGTGAAAGGCAGTCATTACGTTGTTCTGATCGGGCGAATGAATGGATTCAGCCGACGTTGCCGAAGGCGGCAACGACGACCACCTTCGGCGTCGTGCATCGACGGGTGATTCCTGATCGAATTTTCAATTTTACATAACTACCGAATTTGCGAACCGGCGGTATTCATATTTTAAACATTAATCTACCGTTATTAATCATCACCTCCCTCTTCTATCATTTTATATTTTCCTTGTTGTCATTAATACATAATTGCTCTTGTTTTAATTGACAACGTTGACCTTTCGTCAATTATTGCCACGACTATTTTGTTAGCAACTCTCCAAGCTTTTCTCAGGCTCGGGAGGAAAATATCGGGAGGAAAAGGCTCGCGAGTTATTCGTCTCGCTAAAGCGATTAAAATGCGTTCATGTTTCACACGTGTATTAAATTCTTTAACAAGTATAATCTTGTCAAGGATCAAGAAACGCGCTATATAATTGTTGATTGCTTCATCTTAGAGACAGCGCGCAGCCTGACGATAAAGCGAGAAGAAACGAATCGATTGGTTCTCGCAAATTCGAGAGTCGTAACCGCCGATAGCGATATCTATTCGTTTTACGATAGGCAGTTATTATCCTCCTGCGAGGTCTTTCCTGCGAGTCGGCACTGGGACGCGCTCGATGTGCGCCGGTAATTAACGAGACAATTAACCTCGCCGACATTGACTCCACGTTCGCATTAGTTCCCGATGACCCTCGCGGACATCGTTTGCGCTTTGCCGTAAATAAAGTTTTTTGCAGTTGACAAAAAGCCAAGCGGCGACTCGGTAGTTCCGTCGAGTAGCGCGATTTTCATACCGGCGAGTGATTTTCGCTTTCGCAAGCGGAACGCCCGTTGCAAATTAATTTTTGCATGTAATCATCGGCGGGGCGGTGATGATCTTAATCGTCGGGCGCGGTCGCTATTTAACGACCACGCCGCGCCGCACGCGGAACGCAACGGGTCGCCGCGAACGCAAGACGGTGGCATAAAACGCTGAGAAATCGCGGTAGGTGGAAATGCATTCCTCGGCAACCGGTTGCCCGCGTTTTCCACGAAATCCGCGGCTGTGTGCCGCTGAGTTATTCTACCTGGCGCCAATCGCTCGATTAATGTTTGCATTGATAGGATCTGGAAACACCGGCGGGGGAGAAAAAAGTCACTAGTCACGATGCAACGTCCAATTTACATTGCAAAACACACACACACACACACACAGTGTGTTGCGGCATGCGTCGGCATCAATTTATATCCCGTAATAAAGCAATTACCGTCAATTTACTCTTCCTTCTCTCGTTCCGCTGCTCGATACGAGCGTCGTATACGTGTGTAATCGCAACGTCACGATTAGAACAAAAGAGGAGAAAAACGAAGAGAACAACCGTTGAGAAGGTGTTAAAATATCGATGACGCGAGCGACGATGGACGGACGACGCGCTCCGCGAAGCATCTCGAATCTCGCTCGCGAGTAAACGGAACAGCGCCGAGAAGCGGCCGTCATCCATATGGCACATTTTGCCAGAAATTTCTATTTCTTACCGAGATAGTTCTGCGTGTGACGGAGTTCGGTCACGTTCAATGCCAAGGCGCCACGCGGGACCACCGCCACCAGATTGTAGCCCGGCTCCAAAGTCGGTTCCGTGAAGATCCCATCTATGAGATGACCGCTGCCAAATCTAACGGCACACTGAAAAACGGTCACAATACGTGTATGCGAGAAATTCGCTCGTGGCAAGTCGCGGCCGCTGGATCGAGAGGATTTTCAACTTTCAGATTTCGGCGCGCCGCGCCGAGGGAGAGCGAAGTTCGCGGCGGCCGCGCATCGGACGGTCATCGCCGCGTGTCGATCATTCGCTGACGTCAAAGCAGGGAACGGAGACGCGCGCGAGAACGCGAATCACCGCGCTGATGCGGATCTGCGAAATGAATTAATAGGAAGCGACACACCCGCTTTGCGGTCGACGCTCAGACGGGCAGACAGGCGATGCGCTCGTATGCTCGATAAGAATCTCGATTTCCGTGTGCCGGATGCGCCGCGTCACAAAGAGGGACCGCGAAAATGGCGGCGAAAGGAGCATTCGTCGGAAACGGCGATTCATCTTTCTGCCGACCGGCGGGAACGCCGATCTCTCGCGCATTTCGCGATTTTTCCAGCGCTCGTCTTTCGATCGCGACCTTTTATTTCCAACGGGCTGCGCTTGGATCGGACGACCGGTGACAGAGCGGTGCGCGGGCTGGCCGAGACGGTGGAAAATCGTCGTCTAAATTTACGCCGTGACAGAGCCGCGATTTCGCGTTATCCCCCTCTGAACGTGCATTTTGCGATCGCGTGTGGCTCTGGAAATCCGTGCAGATGCGCTGAAACGTCTCTTGAATAATTTCCCTACAGATAGATTTTAATGTCAGCCATGAAATGCAGGAGTAACGACGCGACGCGCACACTCGTGCGAAGGAGTTAAAACCGAATTGGAATTATCGTGCAGGACATTTACCGGATAAATATGAAAATACAATTTGACACCACACGAGAAGCAAATAACTGATACAGAGAGAAATAAAGAAATGTAAAAATAAGCGATAAATAAAAGTTTAACAACCGTGCACCCAGAGAAAAAAAGCAATTTCAGAATAAGCGGAATCATCTCAATTTTAAAGGATTTTATTCTGGCCTCAAGGGGATTCCTCTGAGATTAAGAGGAAAATATTATAAACGTATTAATCTTAAAGTTGAAGGAATTATATGTTACATGTATAATGCAAATCTGATCGATTTTAATATAAATTTCCTCTTTGAAAAATCACAATTGCAAATTATGAATATTTCTTTTGGGTGTGAGGAAAGTTGCTATTAGGTGTGTGAATTAATTCGGTCCATCTGGCGGTCAATTGCTGTACTATGTAATTTTATAACCTCTAATGTCTGCAAAAGGCTTTGTTTTTTAGTTTTGATATCTGGCAATAATATTATTTTTGATTGTTGATAAACGTTTGGCTTTGTAACAATAACATCGTGTTTATCTGATTCGAAAATGTCGAAATTCGTGCCAAAAAAGCATCATTTCCGGGAAGTTCTCATTTTCTGTTTTCATTTGAAGAAAACAGCCGCTGAAGCTCATCGAATGCTCGTAGAAGCTTATGGTGAAAGTGCTCCCACCGATAAATCATGCAGAGAATGGTTTCGACGTTTCAAAAGTAATCAGTTTCAGCGTCGATGGCAAACCTCGTCCAGGTCAGCCGAAGAAGTTCGAGGACGAAGAATTGCAGGCGCTAATCGATTAAGATCCGTGTCAGTCGCAACATGAACTCGCGCGATTGTTGAATGTTGATCGATCAACAATTTCTGTGCGTTTGGCAGCCATGGGAAAGATTTACAAAGAGGGAAAATGGGTGCCATACGAACTGAAAGAAAGAGACATCGAGAAGCGAAAAGCCATGTCTGAAATCTTGCTTGCCAGGCAAAAAAGAAAAGGTTTCTAGAATCGTATTGTAACTGGAGACGAGGAGTGGATATATTTCGATAATCCCAAACGAGGAAAATCCATTAACGACCCAGGAAAACCATCCACATCGATACCAAAGCGGAATATTCACGTCAAGAAAATAATGATCTGTATATGGTGGGACCAGAAGGGTGTAGTGTATCATGAACTATTAAAACAGAGCCAAACCATCACTGCCGCATTTTACCAACAACAATTGATCCGTTTAAACAACGCATTGAAGAATAAGCGGTCGGAATATGCAAAGAGACACGACAAAGTGATCTTCCAAAGTGATGATCCAGCACGATAACGCTCGGCCACATGTTGGAAAGATTGCGAAGGCCACCTTGGAAGCACTTGGCTGGAACGTTTTACCTCACCCGCCGTATTCACCAGACATTGCTCCATCCGATTATCACTTGTTCAGATCAATGGCTTTCGGACCAACACTTCAACAATTATGAAGAAATAGAGAAATGCCTCAATGAATGGATCACTTCGAAGGACGAGTCGTTCTTCCGTCACGGAATGCAACAACTGCCAGACAGATGGGAAAAAATAATAGCAAGCTACGGCAAATATTTTGATTAGTGTTTTTCCTGTTTTCTCACACTAAAGTCCTTTTTCGGAAGAAAAAACGGACCGAATTAATTCACACACCTAATAATAAGAGGTCATGAGGTCGAAGTCATGCGGTTGCGCACGATTAATTATCGCGGAAGGGCAACAGCGCAGCCGACCAGGTGTCGAAGAAACACGAGAACGTGATGAAATAAATGTATCCAGATAAAAAGCGAGACACAATAGCTCTGTCCTTGCGGGAGGACCATATCGCGCGTCGTCCGCGCGATTTATTGGAGATACACGTCCGGCTGCGTATCCTATGTATATACGACGACCACCGAAATAGTTCGAAAGCGAGGTCTCCCGCACATCAGGGCGATGGAATGTTTTCGCTTCGCGGGGCCAGATCGCCGCGCGAGATCATCAAGGTTAATTAAGCGATCAAACGGCGGCTGGGGCTGCGAGATGCGCGATTCGGGCCGAATCGCGATCAAAGTATCATCACGCCGCGCCGTGCGCGAGCCACGTGGCCCCGTTCGCAAGCCGCCGTTCACTCAGCGCGACTCCACGTGAGCCACGTCTAATCTACACGCGAGCTTCCTCTATTGCCGGTATCTGCGGCAGTAAATCATTTCTCCAGGCGCGCATTCTCCACCCAACGAGTGACTCCCGTACCGCTCGCCGTGGCGTCGGATCGTAATTAATCTTGTTTATTAATCCCGGAATCCGCCGCTATCTGCGGCGCTTATCAGAAATGCCGTTCGCACTTCGGCAGAAATCTCCCAAGGAGAAAAAGAGGAAAAAATCCGGGCGAACAAGCGAACTCCCCCCTTCCCCCGCCAACCGTGTTCCAAGAGAGAGAGAGAGAGAGAGAGAGAGAGAGAGAGAGAAAGGACGATAGAGGCGAGCTCTCGCACGAGGTTCGTTTCCAAGCGAGTCTAATCGGCGAGCTGCACATCAAGCCGCGCCCAAACCGACACTCCTCTCTCCTCAATTGGATTAGCTCGGGATGAATGTCGACTTGCCTGCCGTTTGTGTACGCGGTGAGATCGCGCGAGATGTTAATTGTATGAATATCGCATGAGCGAATTTGTAAATCAGCGGCGGACAACGTGCGCGCAATGGCGTCGGGCGCGCCCGGGGCGTCCCGGCTGGAGACGCGAATGAGAGCGGAATAGAATTCTTCCGTTTCTTTTTTCCTCTTTTCTCTTTTCCCTTCTTTCTTAAGGTCGGACCGACGCTCCTCCGACGCAGGGACAGATTCAAACGCGAATATATCGACGCGCCCCCCATCTCCGGGGAGATTGAGTGATTCTCGAGAATTCTCAAAATCGACGCACGCGTCTCCGTTTCGACGCGGCTCGAGGCGGTCGCGCGGCGTTGAAAGCGCGATGTGAAGCGCGGCCTCGATGTCCCAGTGAGCTAATATCAAAATTTATTGGTTCGCATCGCGAGTCGTAAATAATAACGAACGAGCCATAATTCTGTCGAGCGCGCGTATGTGCAGCTCCTCGTTGCGGCCACATCAGGTGTTTACACTGCGATAAAATAACGCGCGCGCACGCGGAGCGCCGGAGAAACGTGTATGAATGCGCGACTAAGAGAGAGAGAGAGAGAGAGAGAATTCATCTCTTTCGCTCCCCTCTTTCCCCTCCCTCGTATCTCCCCTCACCCCCTGCTGCAATATCCTCGGAGATTACGCCGCGTTGTGTCGTTCCTCTTACCTAATTAACCGCCTCGCGTAACGCGCTCGGCCCGTTAATTTAACGTCTCATTAATTTAGCCGCGCCACGCAAAAATCAACGCGACGCAGCTTCCTCCCTCCCCTTCTCTCTTTCTCTCTCATTTTCTCCCTTTCTCTTCGTATGTCGCACGCGTCTCTTTGAGAAATTTCCGAGTCGGGCATCCTCGCGAGTCCTCCTGGACTTCGTCCTCCCCTTCGCGTTCGCGCGCGCGCGCCACTTTCGACTTAATTGACCCCGGATGAAGTTTCTCTCGTTGTGGACAACTCGAGCCAACGCTCGGAGAATAAAGTTGTAATAAGATGCAGAGGCAACGCTCGCGGTCGTGGTCGCGGTCGCGGTCGCGCGACCTCCGTCTCCAAGCAGAAGACTTCTACGCGAGCGAGTGTCGAAGTCGACTTTTTCCCCGTCGCGTTAATCCCCGTCGCTAACGAGTCCGCCACCAGTCGATCGCGGCGCGTGTATCCACGGGCACGGAGGACCAACGGCGGAGGATCGAATGCACTTCGTCAGGTTTCTAAGCGCCGGCTCAGCTGGATTATGCGTAATGTCACCGTCGAGAAGTTGAATGAACCTGGGGGGGGGGGGGACAACGTCGCGCCGCGCGCGTCTCCCTTTTTACGATAATCAAGATCGACGGCGTCGTGAGCCGATCGCCTCACGACGATACGCAACATCGGATCTCCTCTTGCTTAGTGCTTATTTTCGGTGCGTTATTTTCGTGGCCACTCAAGCCGTTAAATCCCCATCGCCCTAAATGCGGCACATAATGACGAGCCCGTTGCGTTTTATACATCGCGCCGCTCTTTTTATAGATCCGCTATTGGGTCGGCCAAGCTGAAGCTTCGGTGTCTTCTTTTCTCCTTTTTCTCTCCGTTTCTTTCGCTTTTTTTTCCTTTTGTTTCTCGATACCACCCCCGTGCTATCCTCGTTAGCAGCGCACGTTACTATTGCGCGTCCTTGTGCTGCTTTTAAGACGAAACCGATGATTCTCTCTCTCTCTCTCTCTCTCTCTCTCTCTTTTTATCTCTTTGCGCGAATATTTCGCAAATGCGAAAGACGCGATCGGGCGCTGGCTCTCGATAAGAAGCAAATTAAGCCTCGTCGTCTTCTGTAAAATTAGCGCGACTACAAACGACCGTGAGCGTTCGAGCGTCCAGCGTATAAAATCTTTCGGCGGGAGGAAGCGACTATCACACGCGGAACGTGCTGGAACGACTAGAACGTCGTTGTAGTCGCCTGCGTCGGCCGGGCAGATTCGGTTCCGCTCTCGATCCGACGAGAAATCTCACGAGTCATTAAACAAAACGGATATACAGAAAATAAAGACGTCGTCGCGCTTTTGGGGAAGAGACGGCCGCGTTGGCGAAGACGCGAGCGAACTTTGAGCGCCACGCTCCGGCAATAATGAAGACGAATAGCCGCCACATAAACATGTCAAATACGTTCAAGCAAGTGGAAACTGCAATCTCTCTTTCTCTCATTCTCTTTCTCCCCCTCTTTCCCTCTTTCTCTCTCTCTCTCTCTCTCTCTCTCTCTCTCTCTCTCTGGCTGGCCGTAAAAATTGTAACACAGCGGACCTGAGAGAAACAAAACTTCAGCAACTCGCGGGTTTCGCTCGCAACATATGACAAATGTGTCCATACTTCAACTTTCATTCCGCGCTCGCGACGCCACGGAGATTTAAGGCGAAGCTGATAAAAGCGCGATTTCCGTGAAAAGTTTCCGCCGAAATCCAACGAACGACGAGGTCACTCGTTAACTTTCACTTCTCTCGATACGCGATACTTCGATATTCGTAAAGAGAAATTTTCGGAGCGCGATTTCGAAGAAAAAGCGCGAATGAGAGACGTGACTTTCCACGCGCTCGACAGAGAATAACGTTTATACTTCTTCAATAATCTCGCACGCCAGACGCAGCATTTATTATGAAGAAACCGCATGATTTACGCCGGGAAAAAGGAGGAAAGGGAAAGAGAGACGCTCGGCGGTTAGAATTGGCGATCCGATTTCGAGTCACGTGGCAGGAAGTTGCACATTCTCTCTGATCCGATTATATTATTCCGCTATTCTAAAAATACACACCGCTGGCAACACTTAGCCGCAGGAATGCGTCGAGCGAGACTTCCTACTCAACAGATTCAACGCGCCACCACGCGATCCGCGATTACGGACACCGAAAACTCCGTCGTGTGCGTGTATTACCCGCAAGTTCGATTAATTTCGCCGGCCGCGCGTCCTTAAATTATCTATAATTAGGCTTCTCCTCTCTCCCCATCTCTCTCACTCTCTGTCTCTTAATTTATGCTAATAAAACAGCGTTTTACGCGTGAGCCGGAGCGATCGAGATGGTATTACGACATTATGACCATGAAAGGTTGGTCGTTTGTTCCAATTAACATCCCGCGATATCCTCATGACTTTTCCGCAGCAGAGCGATACTTTTGCCCCTCTGCCCCCTCTCTTTTCTTTTTGCTCGCGTAATTGCGATCTTCTCTTCTCGAGTGTGTTTGTCATTAACACGATCGCGGATTTAATGCGCCTTGTAAGTGCCACCGCACACACCTTGAATCTCGCGCCGGAGGGACCGGAAGTGTCCTTACGCGTGGAAGGACAAACACCGATTACGATCTCGCAAAGTACGCGAGAGACTTATCAACCGCTCGACGGACATTTCTGCTGTCTGCGGACACATGAGCGAAGGAAACTGCGAGTATCTCGAGCATACGAAGCATCACTAATATCGAAGATCCAATAAATTCTGAAGCTCCTGCGTGTTATCTTACGATCCAGTTGATATTCACACAGTTGTTATTCGCGCGCGCGCGCGCGTGTGAGTTCGTGCCTGACAGTTTCTCCGAAATTTATATTCTAACCGCCATGTCTAGCAAGCACGCGTCGGTGCATTAACCTCCGTCTAAAATATATACACGCATTTTCGGGGAATCTCCGTCGCGCATGTAGATAAAGCGACGCCCTCGAAGGAGACTCTTATCGCCGTGGGACGAGGAATCTGTAGTCGTGTAACACATTTTTATTACCTTGTAGAGAAGGAGCAGCTCGACGAGAGCTCTCTCTCTCTCTCTCTCTCTCTCTCTCTCTCTGTCTCGCTCTCGCTCTCTCGCTCTCTCTCTCTCTCGCTCTTCCTCGGTCGCTCCGATCGAAGAAACGTCATCGAACAAAAAAGGAAAAAAGCGTCCGATTCGATCGGTGCCTCGAAGAATATATCCGGGATGAATCCCGAGAGGCTTCTCGAAATTTCTATCTGTGTGTGAACTCTCTGCGGAGAGATGAAATACTGTTGTGTCATTTGGAATAAAACTGATCGAAAAGTCCGTCGTTGACAAGGGCGAGCATGTTCACTCACCCCAATCTTTTCACAAAATCGCATCAAAATCGCGATGTTTCATTCGGTATATTATTTTTAGAACGAAAGGAGAAGCCTGCGTGTAACATCTGCAGTTTCCACTTCGATATTGAAACAAGTAAAGCGACACAATTCAGCCACTACCGTTGAAGAATGAAGAACACACAAATAAAGAACGTGCGCATCTCGCTTCGGTATGACGGTATGATTAAATTTGACTTCTGGGCTCACGCAAGGAAAATGTAAGAGAATTTTTACACGCAAAGAGAATACCTCAGAAGAGCGAAAAGCGCAGCCAGCGGAAATCGCTGGCAAAAAAATCTTCGCGTTGCGTAATAACGCGTCGATTACCGCGCCGATTCCCATAGGTTGTTTCAAAACTTAACTAAAGTTGCTACAATCGAAGTTACGGCAAAGAGAAATGCGATTTACGATGCATATATATTCGTTGGCACATTTCATCGGCCGCCTGCCTATTGGCCATATATTCAACTTGTTATTCGCATTCGGTTGCGTCTAACGCGTGAATTAATGAAACGCGACGATATCATAACGGCCGGGTCGCTTCTCGGGCCGGTGACCCCTGCGGTGACAGGCGGTGCGTGAACCATATATGTAAAAAGTTCGAAAAATTGTCCCCCCTTCTAATGAACGTCGCTTCGTCGAGACCGGCATCGGCAAATGCGAAAATCCGCATCTTCCACCTCGCCGCGCACCGGGCAAAATCGACCGAGATCGACCTTAGCGGCCCGGCGCGATGCTCGTGACATGTGCCGGAACATATTTACGGACAATTTCGCCCACGTCTGATAAATGCCCGCAAGTTTGACATTGAGGCTGCAGCCGCAGTCGGTCGGTCGGTCGGTCGGTCGGTCGGTCGGTCGGTCGGTCGGCTTAATGGCGCAGTAAATCACGCGTCAATACATTCGTCGTTGCGTTGCGCTGCGCGCGGGTTATGCCTTACCGTTAAAGATAGCAGCAAAAAAGGAAGGACGAGAGGATGATGCATCTTGACAGATTTTCGCTCTCGGCCTCACTGTCGACGCATCTCGCTGCAGCTTCCGGTGAGCGCGCACGCTGGTCTCCCCGCGCCTCGTCCGCCTCCCTACGTCATTTTTCACCGCGCGTTAAACCGCCGCGCGTTGCGACAAATTGCAATCGGCTGCGGCCTGTCGGTTGGATGTTTCCTCGATCAGCAGTCACTGTTGAATTGCGGGCGAGTTGTTTCCTCATTGGCTTCTACAAACCCCTGTTCAAGTATCAAAAAATATCGGCGTGTTTAGTTTGAAGTTAATGTCGAATCCTGCTGTGTGTTGCTGAAGGTGCATATTTGGAGGACGCTGTGGATGATTGAAAACATCTGGGCTTTTTTTCAGCGAAGAAGTTGTCGATTATTCTCGTTTTCGTTAAAAGTTTCCTTTTCTCTTTGTATATAATTGGGGGACGATCAGTTTCTCGTAATCAATAAAGCAATAAAGCAAATTGTTTTTAAATAATATAAATAAATAAATAAATTTGTTTTAATAATGAAGCAAAAGAGCCTAGTGCGGTGACATCGCAATTATTGATTAAAGATAAGAAACATCTCGTCTTAAAATTTACTATTCGAAGAGAGAGTCGGATGTATCGATATCTTTCTTAACAAGCGAACCGCCGTGACGGTTCCATTATACTCGTACTCTCCGCGTGAAATCTACGGTATTATCGAGCGCTATCGAGGTTATTCACACGATATTTCACGAACAGGAACGATAAGGACATTACCACAGTAGCATTCCAGAGATAAAGCATCGCAAACATAAACGACGCGAATCGCGAGGAATGCAATTACATCATCGTCCCCATCATCGTTTCACCGACAAGCCGACAATTTCGCGAAAGTTTGATCGGACTGAACACTTTGCATAAACATCGCCAAGTCGGACGCGCGCAAAATGTCCGTCAAATGCCGACGAATTTATCAGCTACAGCGCGTCCCTTTCAATCCGATTTTCTGCGCCATCCGCGAACAATTCATCCCGTTCGTCGGAATCAAGGCGATAGAGAAATCCAAGCGGACGATTCAATTCAAATCAGACCGAAACGCGCCACAAAGTCGCCCGACTTAAATGTATACACAAAGTAAGAAAAAAAAAAGAAATACACACGCGAGCCGCGAGTGTCAACGTCCTCCCGCAGCGTCTCCGCAAATCCCGAGCGAACAGTTTCGCTATTTTTAAATCTCGCCTCGTGTTTTCTCGTCGATCGCTTCTGCAGGGTGCATCATTACGACTCGAACGTCACGATTCGACGGGGACAAAGGAGAGACCGGCGGGATTTATGCGAGGACGTTGCACGAAATATCGCGACGAACGCGCGGGTATAAATCGCCGCGACATTTTTGCAAGATCCGGAAACTCGCTTTGCGGAAAGTCCAGCCCGTGAAAAATCGCAAGAGATCACTCAAGTAGAGATCAAGTGACGGCCGTGTATGCCGAAGCAATTACTCTCCGGACAGCACGCGACCACCGAGCGCGCTCGAGCGCGATTAGAAACGCAGGCGAAAATGCAAATATCGCGCGCCGCGCGTGTCCCGGTGAATGCGCGACGGGGATTAATAAGGTACAAGCGACGCATTATGATAATTCGGCGTTAAAATTTCGCTTGCCATTTATTTAATTAATAGCTCGCCGCTTAATTATCCCGCTATTGCGCGCCGCCCGCTCGAGGCGGCTTAAACGATGTTTGACATTCAGATGAAATGTTATGGCGCGACGCCGCGCCGGAGAGGCTATCCGAGGCGAAGGAAATTGGATATTAGAGAAGTCATCGGCTGCGCGGCGCGCGCGCGTGTGAGCGCACATGCACGTATAATGCTTTCATGCTCCAGTTGCTAGTGAGCGTTAGACAAGAACCTATATTACCCGTACGTCGACCTGTCGAAGGTGGAGCAGCCCGGAGCTAGAATTATCGGCGAATTACGGCGAGACGGCGAGATCTCCCGCGACTTGCCGCGCTCCATTACTCGTTCCGACGAAATGTCCAAGATCCAAGTCCGAAATCGCGCAAACTCGGAATCGGGATTCGCCGGAATCCCGAGGGGATCAGGATGTGCCCTCGAGGAGATGCCCCCGCGACCACCGTGAAGCAGCCGCTTCCTCCACTTCCACGCGAGACCGGCTCGCGCGATTGTCCTTCGCGCAAATATCAGCCGATCGATCGCAGATAACTTCGGCCACGGGGATCGCGCGCGCGCGCGCGCGCGCCACAAATCACGGCGCAAGCGACGTCGATCGCATGCGGAATGGAATACGCGCCGTCCCCGCGTAAATCTCTCACGCGCGTGTCGCGAGATAAATTGCGCCGACAAAGGCCGCGCAAAGTTGCATCGCTAATTATGCGCGCGCGATTATGCAATCGCGCGCGATAAATCCGCCGCGGTCAGGCGCGCTCGCAGCGCTCTCCGCCGAGTCGCCCCGGAGAGAATTTGCTGCGAAACGGGGCTCGCGCGGGATCGGCCGCTCCGAAACGCGATAGCTATCCACGGCTCAATCTCGCGGCGCACAATGCTCGCGCTGTGTGACACAGTCATGTTCATAAAGTCGTGAAAGAAAAAAAAGACCGCCGATCCGACACGTGAAACGGGATCGCGACGCGCCGGTTATTTACCGGCCGGACGAAAGAGCCGGCCGTGCGATGAATGCAAATTAACCGGCGTGATATACGATCGTTAAAACGCATACGAATTGCTCATTAGCCTCACAATTATCGCGAGGCCGAGTGCATGTCGAATGCGAGCGCGCGCGCCTGCAAATCATACGCCGGCCGCGCGAGTGACGCGCAAACTATCCGGCAAACAATTTTATTAACTTCCCGTGCGTAAATATATGTGTATATATATTATTTATTTAGTTCATGCACGACCGAGTCAGCGAGCCTCGCAATTACGTGAAACGGCAGATTTCGCGCGATCGATCGAATTTCACCGACGCCGCGGGGAACTTGCATCGACATTCGCGACAGCTCGAGTGTTCATATTCAACATCTCTCTCTCTCTCTCTCTCTCTCTCTCTCTCTCTCTCTCTCTCTCTCTCTCTCTCTCCCATTTTTCCTTTTCTCTCTGCGACAGAGTTTCAGCGGCATGAACACTGTAAATTGAAGAGTGCTACAATAGCATGGCTGATGCGTGTTAAAGTATGTCTCCACTTTAGGCATACACAATCAGCAAATTAAATTAACACATATACGTATGTTAAAAGAACATATTTTATATATGTGTTAAAAGAACATATTTATGTATGTGTTAAATATAATCGTTTGTATGTGTGTTAATGGTTAGGTGTATTAAAATAACACACTTTCAGTGTGTTATGAAAGTATATTAAAATAATACATCTCAAATGTATTATGAAGGTATATCAAAATAACATACTTCAAGCGTGTTATGAGGGTGAATTGAGCAACATTGCAAATCCAAGTGTGTTATTTTGAAATGCACAAGCGTATAAATGAATGTGAATCTTTTTTACACATTTCTTTCATCTTAAGTCACACGTTATTTAACATATTACGTTTAAACATATAATAATGAATAACATATAATTAATGATTTAGTCTGTAATAATATGAAAGCAAGTTATTATTACATTAATTTGTTCAATAGATGCAATACTTTTTTGAAGGCGAGTAATCGCCGATGTTTCGTAATCGTCGATTTGTGTTTTTCTCACATGTATGTTTTCTTAATACACATATGTGTGTTCATTTAAACGTGTGTTAACAAAATTAGTGTGTTATCATGAATACATTACTAGTGTGTTACGCGACTCGGTGTGTAATATATCATCCAAGTGTGTTCTCAGTGTATTTCGATTATCATTCTGTGTCTAAATAACACACTCTACGTGTCTCACGGGATTGTTGAGGAAAAGTAACACGTTTCTGTAGTGTGTTACATGGTGTGTTATTGAAACACACTTTTTGTCACAGAAAACGAATTATTTCGACGCACTTAGCGCCTTAACGCCAGCTAATGTGCCAAAATAACGCACTAACGCTCAATTTTAACACACATGTTCCGAGTGCCCAGTTTTACAGTGAATATCAATTCGTCGCGCGGGTGAATCGACGAGAGACTTCCGCCTCCGCGAGGAACGGGCGCGCGCACACGTCGACCACTTGCGGTTCCTCGCTCGGCGCGTCACAATAATTACACTACGGAGATCGCGCGGACGGATTGATTCTCTCGGATCGCGAGCGCCGTTTACGAGCGCTTCTGCGTGCAACACACCCGCTGGAAATACCGCGCGGACATTCGGCGCCCGGCCGCGGCGCGGCGGATCGCGGCAAATTATTCGCGCCGTTTTCCGCGCGTGTGTTTTTTTAGCGGCCCCGCTGTTTGTTAGGCGCGCGCGCGTTACTTTATCGCAGCGAAAACACGGCGCGGGGCAGATGAGGGAGTCCTCTTGCGCAAGTCTTGCGCGCTGCGCCGCGTTTATTTGGACGATTATCGACCCGCCGCGGACTATTAATACGCGTTTACAACAGGCCGAATGGGCAAGAGGCGATTTTCGGCCCGGCGCGGCGTCGCGCGATTGCGACGAATACGCGACACACAGCTGGCGTAATCACAAGCTCGCGCCGAGGCGCTCCTTTTTTCTCCTCCTCGCCCCGCGCCAGCGCACCGGCGGCTTCGCGTTAACCGTCGCTTTGGCAATTATATGGACTTATGTGATAATTATCAGGGACGAAGGCAAAAACGTCGGATTAGCCGCAATCGGTAATTCCGTTCGATCGAGCGCCGCAACTCATGCTGAAAACGCGTTATTGCGAAATTCGCGCGGCTTTTGAAAAGGACCGCTAGCGGGCCCGCCCGGCTTCTGTTTGCATTTGCACGCAAAGCCCCGTTCAGTCTCACCGCGTATCTGAATTGCGTCCCGGCGGATTCAGATCGAGTCGTCTTGCAGTCTTATGCTCGCAAAGTGTCGTCGGCGCGGACGTTTTCACTCGGCCGGCGCACCGCCGCGAGACTCGACTTCATTCACAGTCGAAATTGGGAAACACGTTCATCTGCCGTGCCGCGGCGTTTAATTGGATCACGCCTACGATCGCGCTCGACGATTGCAACCACTTGACTAACCTGTTGCATCGAGTCCCGACTGCACGTGCAACCGTTGACGGGGAACGAGCAGCAAACACGAACACGGCGGCCAAAATCAACTCGCACACTTCGGTCACAGCCGACTCGCCGACAGCCGTTCGCGAAACCGTCGGGCGAGCCGCGCTTCCACCATGTCGCCGAGACTCATCTCGATCAACCGCACTCTGATAACGCACAATGGTAGAGCACGGAGAGCGAGGGTTCGCCGATTCGCAAGGCGAGGATCCTGTCAGGATCAGGTGCTCACCGGGATCAATGGTACCGCAGCCGGCGCGGAGCGGCGGGCGGCGGAATGAATGGAACTTCGCGCTTGGCACGTCGGTGTTTTTGCGCCCGCGAATCTGCGGCGACACGCTCGCGCCTAGAAAAATTAGGCGTGTCCGAGGCGTAGCGAGAGGTGCATGTTGCGGCCTAGACGAGAGAGACCGAGAGCCGAGTTCCTCTGTCAGAGGTGTCGTTTCGTACTGACGGCTCCCGTCGGTGGAGGACCGACTTTATACGTCCGCGTGGAGTCGCGGATCGAGAGCTTTGGGCGCCTCCGTCATCAGACGCGCGTCACCTGGCAACCAAGTATGAAGACGTTATTTTAACGGCGACGTTGATCGACCTTTCGTCGATGCAGGACGCGAGGTCGCACGCGAGAGACGGGAATCGCAGGTTCGACGGAAATTAACGGCGAGATCGATCAAACCTGTCGCGCGAGAAGAAGCACCTGGAGAGAGCACACTCGGTGCGATCCTCGTCGATTCGAGGATAAGAGATTCTGCGTTCTCACTGTAAAACTAGGCACTCGGAACATGTGTGTTAAAATTGAGCGTTAGTGCGTTATTTTGGCACATTAGCTGGCGTTAAGGCGCTAAGTGCGTCGAAATAATTCGTTTTCTGTGACAAAAAGTGTGTTTCAATAACACACCATGTAACACACTACAGAAACGTGTTACTTTTCCTCAACAATCCCGTGAGACACGTAGAGTGTGTTATTTAGACACAGAATGATAATCGAAATACACTGAGAACACACTTGGATGATATATTACACACCAAGTCGCGTAACACACTAGTAATGTATTCATGATAACACACTAATTTTGTTAACACACGTTTAAATGAACACACATACGTGTATTAAAAAAACATACATGTGAGAAGAACACAAATCGACGATTACGAAACACCGGCGATTACTCGCCTTCAAAAAAGTATTGCATCTATTGAACAAATTAATGTAATAATAACTTGCTTTCATATTATTACAGACTAAATCATTAATTATATGTTATTCATTATTATATGTTTAAACGTAATATGTTAAATAACGTGTGACTTAAGATGAAAGAAATGTGTAAAAAAGATTCACATTCATTTATACGCTTGTGCATTTCAAAATAACACACTTGGATTTGCAATGTTGCTCAATTCACCCTCATAACACACTTGAGGTATGTTATTTTGATATACCTTCATAACACATTTGAGATGTATTATTTTAATATACTTTCATAACACACTGAAAGTGTGTTATTTTACATACACCTAACCATTAACACACATACAAACGATTATATTTGACACATATATAAATATGTTCTTTTAACATACGTATACGTGTTAATTTAATTTGCTGATTGCGTATGCCTAAAGTGGAGACATACTTTAACACGCATCAGGCATGTTATTGTAACATACTTCAGTTTACAGTGCTTGTAATTGCGCCTGCGTGATTTCGAAATTTTCATTCCACATGGAGATACGGAATAAGCAATTTTTCTCTCGTCGGCGAGAGGATTGTCTCCTGCAGAGATTTTCATAATCAATCAGTGCTTTATGATTACTTTATAAATTGAAAAATAAGATATTTTTATTTTTACGCAAAAGAAGCGAGAGAGATATTTCTGTTTCGCGGAGACATTATAATTTGTTTGTCGCTTTCGACGACCCTCTCTTCGATAAACATGAGATGAATGGAAGAGTTGCTTTTAATATTTGTCAATAACTTTGCACGATAATTAATCTGCCGACGAGTCAATTCGAAAAAGAAAGTGCAACTCACAAATTTACCTTATTATGCGCGAATTTTAAATCGCCTTGCGCAATACGTTCGGCAAAATCGAGGTTTTCGACGACGGACGAAAGTTTAACAGGTTCAATTTAAAGGTAAACCAGGAGGAGATTTGTGATTTACGGAATTATGCGACATTATACAATTAGCCGAGTAGCATAATGCAAATTCCTTTCCGGAATTCTGCTCCTCCTGAAAGGATCCTGATCAGCTGATCAGCGATGACGAAACCACGCATGGAAACGAGGATTTCAACGAAGGTGGGGAACCTGGCCGGCCTCAGCGTTAGAAGAGAGCAAAAGGAGAACGCGCTGCATCGTGCAACCGGTCGTGAGTCAGATCTCGCTTATCTCGCTGCTGCGAAACATCAGTATCGATCAACCGTGATCGACCAGCGGTTCGACTTCGCTCTCCTCCACATTGTTATTAAACATTCACCTATTTCAAGCGTCTTTAACTCCAGACACTTCAAGCTGACATTAAATATCTTGCATAATATTTCAGTACAAACATTAAGAACAAGAAACATCATACTGTATTTTGTCACTTACTAAAATATAAACAATCTTATAAACATTTCTTAAGTACAGTAATCTTCAATATCCTACGATTAACATTTTACTTTTAATTTATTTTATTTTATTTTTAAAATAGCGATGTCTACATGTTTTTACCCAAATTTTCACCAGAAACGCGTTCGTTCGCGCCGTTTCGTCAATTTGTCGCAACACTGGCAAACAGTGGAAAATATTGTCGCACATTTTTCAGCCGTTGCTAGGAGAATCGCAGTCAATCTCGAGGGGAGGCCTATTGCTCTTAGCAGTTTTAGGAGGAAACGGTGACGGCAGCTGCTGTTAGCGCTGCTGATAATCGAAGCAGGACGACTTTCGTCTCTCGGAGTAGTTTAACATCTCGCTCGTAGCTTATACAGCGTCCGCGGGACAGCTTGTGATTAGCGGCCGCCCCGGTGGCGATCTAATACATTTCCACGAGCAAATTATCGAGTGGCGCTACGTAGATAGAATTAGCCACGTCGGTCTGGCTGATATCGCTAAATTGCTGCGTTCCTACGAGGCGTCCGGAGTGCATCTCGCTCGTTGTATCGTCGTCTTGCATCTCGGCTCCATTCCGCTCTCGCCGCCCGTTCGGGAGGTGTATAAATACATCGAGTCGTCCTCTCTCGATCGCACCGTCAAAGGATGAGAAATAATCTTCGCATGACGACAGACCATCTCCTTTAGCGAAACAACGATAACGGCGACAAAGCGCGAACAGACGCAGGACGTTTTCGAGGACTGGAGCGAAAGCAGAGCTCGATGTCTTTAATTGTACATTTTTCTCTGCAACAAAGTTGTATCTTGTGTCAATAATTCAGTTTAATTCAGTTTAAAAAACATTTGAATTTTAAGACAATTAATAAATTAATAAATTAGAAAGTGAGGAAGAGGAGTCTGGAATTGGAATCTGAAAGCGACTTGATAAATGGACAAACAACGATAAAAAATTAAAATTTTAATAAATTATTTTAATAATAAATATATATATATATATCTTTAAAATATTTATAAAGATATTCAGAGATGGAAGCAATTCGAGGGAGAAGATATCGCGTTGCGAGTGATATTAATATTAATAATAACGCCCGCAACAAAAGTGCCCGATTAAGCTGCCCGATAATAGTTATTACAGTGTATAATGATGACAATTAATGCGATTTAAATATCCATCGGCATTCCGTCACGCGCATTTAAATTCCGCGCGCAATGTTTCGATGTAATACGATGATTATAACGTAGCAAGTGGAGCTAATTGCACGACTCGCTAGCTACCTGCTTTTTTGCCGGCACCGCTCGCGGTGTCATTGACTCGATGACACCATTCATCAGGATCATTAACGTTGCGTCATAATTGCTCGATTCAGGCGATAACGATCGATGGGCCGTGCAACGTCGAACAACGTGCCCGCGACCATAAACCGTCGCTGTATGCAAACACGAGCTTTCGTCGACTCGATACCGAGCCGGTGCTCGCGTGTGTATTAACGTCGTCGCTTAAGAAAGAAAAACAAGAGGGAGGGACGAGAGGAAAAAGAGGAAGAGGAAGAAAAAGAAGAAGAAGAAGAAGAAGAAGAAGAAAAAGAAAGGAAACGTTATTTTGCGGAGCAATTCGGGCCCTCATATTTCACGCGCGAAATCGCATTTCTCGCGTCGTCGGTTACACCCGATAACACCGCGTGAAACACCACGATCGCCGTGACCATCGGTCTCCTCGACGACGACGACGACGACGACGACGAGGACGACGACGACGGTGATCCGAGAGCTCTTCTTCTCTTTCTTCGCTTCTCATTCTTTCTCTCCGAGCTCGCCTCTTGTACCACTTTGAGAAATACGTCATCCCCGACCCGGCCGCGGTCGCTCCAATTTTTGCAAGATTTCCCCGCGGAGAGACTGTTATTTATTAACGCGCGGAAATAAGCGCGCAATTCATTCGCGCTAACGGCATCTGGCGCGTACACACAACTTATCGGCAAAATACGCTCCGCTGCCGCGCAATGAGCAACGGTTTAATATTAGGCGCTGATCTGCGCGGCCGTGCATTCTGCAATTACGCAATGCGCCTGAGCGGACAGCTGAATTCTTTCCGTCGCGATTATCGGCGCGTCGGGCGCGGAAACGCGGGGATTTCGCAAGCCGGCGCTTCGGTCGTCCAGGGTGCGGCCCCTTAACCCGGCCCTTTGAAACGTCGCGCGCGCGCGCGCACGCGAGATAGAAACGCCTGCCGCGCGCGCTGAATTCTGATTACGATGACGGACTCGCGTCGTCGGCCGGATGCACTTGTATGTAAATCAGCGCGAAATAATGAGGCCGTAAATCGGCCGCCGCGGCCCGGCGGTTATGAGTTCGATTGTTTCTGAAAATTTTACCGGCCATTAGCGCGCCCGCCAATTCTCCAATCCGCCCAGATATTTACGACGCGCGCGCGCGACTGAAGGGCTCGTGCATCGGTGCACGATGCTGTTGCAAACTCGTGGCCGTAAGTTACGGTAGTTAACGATCCGACACGATTGCGCAGCGCGAGAATATTTCGTCAACGTGTCGCGTTGGGGAAATTACAGAAGTAAAGTGCGATAGCCGTGTCGGCTAATTAACGCCACTCTCATCTGGCCCGTAACAGGCCTGCAAACTTAACATTAGCGCGGCGACGCGTCGCGCGACCACTCGCGGCTGAATATTCGCGTATACGCGTGTTTACACGAGTAACGCGTTCATAAATTAGCGGGAACGCCGCGAGATGCGACTGCGATCGTCGTTATCCGCTTAATTTCTGCCTGCAGAGACACGCGACGTGTGTGTGAGGCGTCGAGAGATGTATGTTATATTTATAACAGAAAAAA